GCCCTCCTAATCCCTTCTTCACCGCCTCTTTTCCTTCGGTTCTGAGCCTGAATCCCTAGGAAATCTGAGGTCTCGTCGTCTAATTGGCCGCATCGGACCCCATCCTGTCTCCACTGCTCACTCATACGTATTTTCCCGGGATCGGTCGGGATTTAGGTTATAACTTTGCAACATTCTACGATGCAGTCGAGATCGTCTGAATAGTAGCTTCGACCTCGCGATTTTTGTATTAATCGATTCTGTACGCTTAGGCATCGGCTTAGGCTTAGACTTAGGCTTGGCTTAGGCTTGCCCCTGGGCTTAGACATGGTCAGGCTTGGGTTTATGCTCAGCGTAGGTTTAGCTTAGGCTTAGCGTAGGTTTGACTTAGGTTTGTCGTAGGTTTAGCGTAGGCTTAATTTAGGGTTGACTTAGGCTTACAAGGAGTCGCTTTTAGGTGCTTTTGGAGTTTCGGGACGGGACCTAGCTAGTTCCATAGAGAAAAAAAATTTGAGCAACATCCCGTTTTCAAAAAGTGCTGATCGATAAAGCTGTTTTAGAAAATTTAATTTAATTAAAAATGTTCCCGGTGTCCGGACCCTCGTGGCGATTTGAGGTTATTTGCGGCGGTCGACCGCCCCCGCCACATGAGGACTCCACGCGCGCCTCGGATCCCGTCCTAGGCATGGCCAAGTGGCTAGTGCGATGGCCTACGATTTTTTTTGACCTTTTGCCACAAGTTCGATTCTTATTTATCATTAACTCTTTGCTTTTTTGCTAATTAAAATTTTATGCACCGATAACGGGCTCAAGAACCAAAAAGCAAAGGGTTAGCGAGCGCGAAGATTCGAAGCCGAGGCAAAAAAATGTTGAAAAGTTGGTAGGCCAGCGCGCTACCAATACGCCAATGCAACCTGTGATGGAGGCATTGGCGGAGGGCTACGAATGGCGCCCTGCCCAGCCCCGAAAACGACGTGAACCGAGGAAATGGACCCGAAAACTAGAAAAAAGCGCGAACTTTAAATTAAATTTTCTAAAACACCTTGATCGATCAGCACTTTTTGAAAACGAGATGTTGCTCAGAATTTTTTTCTCTATCGAACTAGCTAAGTCCCGTCCCGAAACTCCAAAAGCACCTAAAAGCGACTCCTTGTTAGCTTATGCTTAGATAAGACCTAGGCTTGCGGTTTGGCTTATGCATAGTTTATGCTTAGCGTAGACTTAGCTTATGCTTAGCTTATACTTAATTTAGACTTGGCTTATGCTTAGGCTTAAGCTTAGGTTTAGACCTGGACTAAGCCTTGTGTTTTACCGATATATTCAAGGGATCAATCGTCTGTATAACTAAAAACCAGTAATCCCCTTCTTACTACGCATTTCCTACAACCCAAACTTTAGCACAGAAGAAGAGTAACACCCCCCCCATGGGATTAGTGGTCTTGTCGCTTTCCCGATGCCATCCCCCCTTTCCTTCAAGTTTTTAAACCCTCTCCAAATCTTCGATTCTTTGTATTCCCCCTTTTCGAGCATTTCTATTGAGGACACGCGAGTCGCCAATTCGATTTGTGCTTCTTCCACCCCCGTTCTTGTCTTCTCGTCCTCCCCGACCAAAGCTTTTGGTTGTTTTTGCGCGCTGTCCGTACCCGCCCATTTATTATCCTTTCAACGAAAGGCCAAAATTGTAGTCTTCCATCGATTCGGGTTGTTTTTGGACTTGGCAAGATGACGGGGGGGGGGATAGGGAAGGGTATTCTCGGCCTCCGGAATTCTTTCAAAGCCTTCTCGCTTAAAAATGCGTCTTCGCACGGGGCGGGTGGGACGTCAGCCAACTCTTATGGGTAGTCAGAGTTATTACATTTCTTGGCGGATTCTGGAAAATGCCGGCAAAGGCCGCAGCCGCGATTTTCTCATCTTAAAAATTAGTATGAAAATTGGTTCCCCCGCGAACAGTCCAGTACCTATAGTTCCACAAGGAAACGGCATCCTTCTTTCTCTCTCTTTCGCTCTATCTCTCTCGCTCTACCGCGCTATCCCTCGTTCTATCTTCTCTCTCTCTCGCTCTCTGTCTTGCTCTTTCTCTCGCTCTCTCTTTTTCCATCCAATCAACAATTTTTTTGCCTAAAATCGTACTGATTTAAATCAAGGGCCCGTGACCGGATTTTCTATAAAATCTCTAATTTTGACTACAATTAAACGCCTCAAGGGAATTGAGGTTGACACCTGGCTCTCCTGGGTTGCCAGGGGAAGTGAACGGAATTCTTCCCACGAGCCCCACGCATAACTCGTTCATTTCAATTCGGTGAATCGGGATTTGTGGATTTGCTTTCTAACTATACGTATTGAACAACAAAACAGGTACTGGTCTGTTAGCGGGGGGTTGGGGGGTAGCAGGGAGAAAAATAATGTGTAATATAAAAAATAATCTGCAAGAGGCTAGTTCTCTCCCTGCTCGACCCCCCCCCCGCTAGCTGCCCAGTACCTAAAAACGTTCAAAATTCCTATCTAGACCTTGCAAATAACTATTTTTGATGTTTTTATTAAAGAGAGAGGCCTCAGATTACATTGGCAATGGCTCAATTATACTCCGCGGTCCTGTTAAAGCCCCTATAAATAGGACAATCTACTAGTCGCTGCGGTCGAGGGCCGCGCTTTGATGAAAAGAGCCGCGGCAGGGGGAGTCCGTAAACAATTTCGGCTTCTCGCTTTCTTGATGGGGTGGGGTAGAAGGGCGGTTAATTAGGTATTAGACGCTTAAATATTCATAGTGGCTATGAGGGGGGATGGGCTACTGGGGGGTGTGGAGACTGCTTTGACCCTTCCGCCCCTAGGTCCTATTACCCGGGAAACGAATACGGGGAAAAATGAGGATGACCACTGCAGGAGCGCCGCATTTCAGCTGAAGGTAAGGTCCTGTTTCTGTCAGTTTCTCTCGACAACAACAACTGTCTCGGTTTCTTGAGTGGGCGGAAGTGTTTAAGGATTTTTCGACACTTTAATAGATGGCTTAAACATTGCCACATATTTTAAGCATTTTTCTAACGTCAATTATCGGTAAACTAGTCATAATTTTTATGTTTAAATTGTTTTAAAAATCGTTTTTCGAGCTATAAAAAAGCTCTTAGTCTATTTTCAGCCCTCTCTAGCATGCCTCCCGTTATTCTTTGTGCTGCTCATCATTTTCGACCATAGTTTTTCTGCTATAAAAGTTTAATATAACCTTCTTTGGTGCCGCAAATAATTCTCTTAATATATTGCTTGACGTTCTACCGACTGTCATTTTCAAAATATAGAAAATTTGAAAAATTTGGCTTTTCCCGCTCCCGTTCTCCTATATGCTAAACTCAGTTTTCAAAAATAGTTTTTATACTATAAGAATTTTGTATTACGTTTTTTCGTGCCGTAAATTACTCACTTAATATACTTTTTGACGCTCTGTCGATTGCCACTAGCGAAATCCCACAGTAATTTAACATATTAGAAATAATGATTTATGAAACATGACATGACTAACCCAAGTACGCCCTAGCTTTCTTTCTTCCTTCTAGCTCCCAAATTATTTCCTCTGAATTATGACCCCCAAAGGCCTAACCCTCCTAATTGGATTTCCGGGTCGAACTCAAGCCAGTCTACCATGAATATTTTCTTACCTTTTTCGCATATTCGACTTTTTCGTGGAGTTGCCTGAATGAGCCGGGGAGTGCCTGTTAATTGGCCGCGTTATCTGCGGAACCCCTCGTTAGCTAACCAGACATCTCGTGAGTCTCCAACTCAAAACACCCCCCAGGCGAACGGGGACAGCTTTAGGGCTAGCGTGTCTAGTTATTCATTCTCTACCATTTTACGCCTTTTGCTCAGAATAGCGATTAGGAAATTTGCGACAATCCGCGAAGAAAAAAATCTGGGATGACGTCGGAAAGTCTGGGCATTCATGATGCACATTATTGATTTTTTCGCGTGAGATGCCTTTTTATAAGATGCAAAGGATGTAGCTATAGTTCTTGCAATTTGAATTTAAAATTCGCATCTAAATAACGAGGGATAAATTTAGAAAATTAGAAGGTACTGGACTGTTAGCGGGGGGGGGGGTTAGCAGGGGAAAAATAATTTTCCAATAAACTTGTACGGGCCTATAACAAAATCAAATCATTTTTATGGCATTTTACATGGTTTTTCGATATAAAAAATTCATAAAAAGTGAGAAAACTTTCGTAATTTTCCCATCCTGGTCAACGTTGTATAAAAATCACCAAAAAGATGTAATTTTTTACTTTTTTGCCAAAATGGATTAGTTTCCCCTGCTAATTACCCCCCGCCAACAGTCCAGTACCAATCAAGAACATTACATTTTATTTTTTACTTTGCCAAAGCCGACCATGTAAAAAATGGACACCCAGGACCCCTGATACCCCACAACTGTTGTGCCATCGGTCAAGCTTCGTCTCTGATACCCAGTTTCATCACCAACACAACCAAACGTGATCTTCATCGTAAACAAATTGCTATCATTTATAAATTCCTATTCTTCCCCGCGTTCCCTAAACAATAAAAGTGTAACGCTTACCTCCATTTTTGAAACCTTAATAAAAAATAAAAAATGTTTTGTTTTCAATGTTTTAATTGGTACTGGACTATTAGCGGGGGGGGGAGCAGGGCGAAAACTTTTAAAACTTTACACAGTTTTAACTATAAAAACGCCTAGAATGTTCATAGCGATTTTTGAAAGTTTTCGTTTTTGTGGAAAAAATATATTTTAGTTATATTTTATTAAATTTTTGCGGTCAAAAACTACTCAAAACAACACAAAAATACATAATTTATTATTATTAATAGGTGATGATATAGGCGGAAAGATAAAAATTAGCTTTCCTCTTGCTAAAAGCCGCCCCCCTGCTAACGGAGATGTACCTAAAGTATAACGTTCACCTCCATTTTTCAAACTAATAAAACATTTTTAAAACCTCTAAATTGTCTGTTTTTCTTAAATTTATATGCATACTATCGATAGAGGTGAACCCAAACCGATGGCCGATAATCAAACCTATACACCGTTATTGGCCGATGTGCTCGACCATCATAATTCGTCGATGGACGGCGAGGGGGTGAGTTCATAAAATGGCCAAACCGAAAATCCCACGCAATATCCCTCTACGGGTTTTTCTGGCCCCAAAAATCTAATTTCCGCCGCACCGGTGGCCGGGTAAACGCTGGGGTGGGGGGGCAGGAATTCTGCAAATATCACGCCTCGAACTGGGCGCTCCGTGATGACGTTTTTTAAACTTTTGCTAAACACGAGTGATTCAATATGATCTTTTAATGTTGATATGCAGGCGTCCAAAAACGCCCATTCGGCATTTCGCGGCCTTACTTCAAATCGTTCCCAAAATTGAACCATAGGTGTATCAGAGGCTAAATAACCACGATCCTAGTTTATAGGCCGATAGCTACAGTAGTTCTCGAGTTATAACGACAATACTGTTTTTTTCCGCAATTGCAAACAGTTTTTCGGCTACCTTTTTGGACTCTGCGTAGATTTGTATCGACTTTCGGTTATAAATCCCATATTCCGCTGAAGATCTTGGGTAATTTTTCTGTGTAAAAATCGTTTAAAACTACGCTTATTTTATTTATTTTAGCCGGGGAAAAATTTGTTAAAGCAAAGAAGGCTTGCCAAATCATTTTCGCCTCACATTTATGTGGTCGTACCTCAAGGGAATCCTCTGAAAAATAGAAAAGAAAATTTATTTTTTGCTGTGGCTCAAAATCTACTTTAGCTACGGGGCTATAGATTATCATTATTGTTATCTAGGGTACAGTACACCCGTGGTCCTATTTTGGGACCGTTTCGGCATGAGGCAGCAAAATGTCGGATGGGTCTTTTTTGGGACATCCTATAGGGTTTTGAAAGCTCAGTAGCTCTTTTTGGGTGCAAAATCTCATCTACTCGTTTTTAATGTGTCCCCAAAAATATAGGATGTAGGCTCTGCCCCCGCAAAAATTACGTAAAATTATTTCCTTGCTTCCACACTAAAACAATTAAATAAAATAGATGGAGCGGTCGTGGCTTCGTCTCGTCTACTATTCGTATATGCCGTTTTGCGTGGTCGTCGGGTTGACGGGGAATTGTATGGTTTGGGTTCTTATCAGGTAAGAAAAATACAACAAAATTCTAATGGCATTAAATATATATTTATAATTTTAACACAAGCGACGCCAAAATTCCAGAAGCAATCGCATTTTATCAAAACTGCCAACAAACGTGTACCTACTCTGCCTCGCTGCAGTATCATCCGTTTTCCTGATATCTCTTTTTGTCTTCTGGCTTGAGGAGGTGGCGTACTACTATTTCCATGTAGGTTTATAACCTTATTTTCTAGCGCTTGATTACTTTTAGGAAATTGTGCGGACACCACTCTTTCCAAACACAAAACTCTCCTGCAAGCTGATGACGTTTATCGCTCATTATTGCGACTTTTCGTCAGTATGGCTGATCGTGTTGGTGGGATTCGAACGGCTCGTGCTCCTCCACCGTCGGTGTCGCTCCTTATCGATTGAAAGGTAGTAAACAACATGTCAGATTTTGAAAACATAATTAAATTTAGGGCGCGTGGACAAATTATTGGGCTGCTGGTGGCCCTCTTCATTTGCAACTCGTGGATCCTTATGATAGCCGACGTAAATCAAGAAAAGGAATGTGATATCGATTCTAGCTACGAATATATCTATGATTTAATGACTTATATTGAGGTAAGACTACTGTTATCGACAACTATTTTTGTGTTTTAGACGGTATTCTGCATGGCACTCCCATCAATCATCATAATTGTTTCGAACGTGCTGGTCGTCCTAAAGCTACGATCGCATCTAAAGGTTTGTAAAATTCACGCTGTAATTTGTAAAATTCAGCAAAGCTAAATTACTGATTTTTAGCGGATACCGTCCTCCCCAACGGTTTCTTTCCACACCGGTGATGTCATCTCGACGACAAGTGTTGTTCAAAAATCCTACACCCGTTTGAGCACGAGATTTTCCGTGGAAACCGAAAAGCCAAAGAAGAAGGAAAAATCGCTAAGGTAGGGCGGTTCGGCTTAGTTTTGTGGACCGCGCTCGTTTTTAGGTACACCGATTTACAATTGACGCGTTCATTGCTCGTCGTCACATGGGCATTTATCATCCTAAACTTGCCAAACTATGTCTACCGTATTCTAACTACCCTGTGGCCACACGTTTTCGAAGGCGACGAAGGGGTTCGTTTTTCCCGTATCTGCAAAAAATGGCAAGCCATTTCAGGAACAAATCCTTAATTATCTAAAACTATGTGGTCACATGTTCCTCTACACACATCACGGCTTCTTGTTCTATTTATATATATTTTATTCTCCCCAGGTTTGCTGTACAAACGAAAGCGGGGGACAAATTTATTCCAGATGAAGCGGCGCCTGAAGCCGACTGCTCTCAAGTTGCTTGAATGCTACTGTTTGAAGCCGATTTCTGAATATTCCGAGCATACGTAATTTCGATTTTTTTTTACTTGTTTACAACTGGTATCATAATCCTATATTCTGATCTCCGAATACAATCTTGTATATAAATGGGTTAATCCGATCATCTACCATATCCTTCTTCCCTTTATTTTCATATCCAAAACTTTGATGTTTGATTTGTTTTATTTCCTTCCGGTGCCACATCGGGTGACCACTGTGACAATGCAAAAATGGTTGTTCACTAATGGAATAAATATTTTTATAGGATACCGTTTTTTATGCAAATTAAAGCTTAGAAATGGACACGTTTTAAGGATACATGGCTTAATATATTTATTTAGCGCCAATTTTAACGAATAAGGTGACGTCCTGAGGTTGATCTGGTAGTGGTTGATGCTTCGACACGGCTGCTTATTGTTAAAGGCGTTAGCCGTCTACGACCACAACATTGCCCTAATACCTAAATACGAAGATTAGCGTGCTGTATCGAAATTTCCTTACCTTTCCCTTTAAATAATCATGTGAACAAAGCGGGGCTATGATCAAAAAGAGCATATGGATATCCATACTGTAGTGAAGCTGTAAAAATAATTTATTGGGTTATTTTCGAAATATCGGAACACATAATGTCTACAGTTATGATGTTAAAATTTCAGAATTGCGAAAAATAACATCGAAATTCGTATTTTCGAAATTTCATAATGTCGAAAAACCAGAATGCCGAAATTTGCATATGCAATTTTTAAAACACGAAACTCTACGCAAAAAATGTCGACATATCGAAATTTCGACACCAGGAATTTCGAAATTATCATATCGCCACGGTTATTTTAACACGGATTAAGGTATGCAGTTTTGAACCCACCAGTGTCAGCCCGAGTGTCGATAATTGAATGTTACCCGATATTCGACCGTAGTATATCAAGAACTGATCAATACAACAGATCAGAAACACCAAGAACAGCCCGATTGAGCTGTAGGCAAGCACTTTTTCTATCTACAACAATAGTTATCATTCTGGCTTTCCTGGTACACGCTACCCTTTTGTAATCCCGTCGCTTGGCAATTAAATATGCAGAAACTGCAGAAGCTGGACAACACACGATCAATACAAGTCCACCAGCCAGTACCGCGCAAAGTTTCATCGTCTGGCAAAATGTTAGGGTTTTATTTAAGATTTGCTATCATGGTGTCGAAAATTTAATGTCGAAATTTAGAACCTCGAAATTAAAATCTGCTGAAACGCCGACATTCTAATATTTTGATATTCTGAAATGCCGACATCCTAAAATGTCGGCATTCTGAAATTTAGACATTAAATTTGCTAATTTCGACACTTTTATATTCCACATTCTGAAAGTAACCTCTTATCAGCAGAAAAATCAAAAATCAAACACACCAAAGCCAGCTGCTCTGGGAGCGCAATGAAAACATAAGCGCCGGCCGGCAAAAACGCGACATCAGCAAAGAGGACAGGTAGGCAGTGACCGTATGCTATCACATTCTGTGCCCAAATGTCCATCGCCAACACCTCTGGCCTCCAGATTCGACGCTGAAAAGCGGGGGCTGCATCACTCTGCACAAACAGTACTTTCTACAGTTTTTAGATAAATAAACTCTGCAAAAAATAGAAAGAGTGAAAATTCTTGTGTTTTTATCAAAGATGCAGGAAAAGCCACCAAAAAGGACGAAATTTCGAAGTTTCAAAAAAGCTTAAAACACTTTTGTAATTTTTAGCAATCAAAAATCACGGAAACTTTATGCATATTGATAGGTATGTATGAGACGCAAACACAAAATTTGGTTTCACCCCTGCTAATAGCCCAGTACCGCAACCTTACATATGCATTCCGAAATGCAGCGAGTACAGCCGTCAGCCTGTTCAACGAAATCAGACACGTCCCAAGCGCAATCGACACAAAACCACCAAATTGCAAAAATAGCGAAATACGAGCACCCATCGGCCAGTCGTCCACCAAATATAGTGCGGTCATCAATGCCGAATAATATTCAGCCGCTCGATGGATTACTGTACTCACCGCTGAAAAAAAACATTCAACTCCCAGCTTTTGATGGGAAAGCAAGAAGGGGGAACTTCGCGGCCGGGGATCGAACCAGAGTCTTGCGAGAGGCAGCCAAACACAAAACCAAGCCAACGGGCCAATCCGATATGGAAAGGACATGCCCTCTTCCCCCCAAGGGGCCGATATTCACGCTTTGGAAACAGACCCTGTTCGCGGCGAATTTTTTGAAAATTGGGACGTGAATTTTCCTTTAACCGTTACCTGTTGAAGTGTAAAATTCGTAAAATGGTCCCCGCAATTCCTTCCGTTTGGAACCATGAATGATACGTAGCAAAAATAGCTGCATAACAATCAAAAACGGATCGACGACCAATAAAACCGCCCGAAAAGGGTCCATGCCTAAAAAGGAGGTTCTCCAGCAGGCTTTTCCTTGGTTTGTACACTACGGGAAAACATGTCAAGGAATATTTCACGCTTCCCGGTCAACGGCAGACGCCATAAATAACATTCAGACAGCAGCAAATGCATTTACTTGATGCAAGAGCATCCAACCCTGCACAACTTAACGAAAAGTTCAATGACCGGGGCAACTAGAAATTGTGTAAAGAAGAAAAGAAAAAGTTATGATAAGACTCCAAATGCCCTATGTACAGCGCAATATAAGGTATACTTCCTGTTTTCGCGATGTGCGCCACAAAGCCTAGGGTACTACATTTCCGGCCGGCTAGATCGAAAGCGTGGTTAGATGGAGACGTTTTTTAGTAAAAAATCGAGTCGCAGAATTTTGTGCTGATTTCAAATTTTCAAATCGGCGAAACGACGAAATTAACAAAAGTTGTGAAGCTTTTAAATGCAAAATGGCCCTTTTCTGTGAAATTTTTGCCTTTCTGGTACCTAACAGCCTCATAACTTTTGTTAATTTAGTCGTTTCGCTGATATTGAAGACAGGTTGAGAATCAGCGCAAAATTCTGCACAGGATGAGCTTGGTCCAGTGTGGGAATCGTCACTAAAAACGTCTCCTTGTTAGAATCAACGTAAAATGTCTACTAGCATGGCAAAACCCCGCGCCAGCCATACACATGAGCGAGAAACCTTGAATTTTCACGTTCACCTGCCATCATAGCTTACTAGCTTTGATTATACATGGCAGGAGTGGAAATGCAGGTGCCATTTCCAAGCCACCTTTTTATATAGATGTCAAAGATCTGGCGCGAAATTTGAATAAAGACGAATTAGCAGGTATATTTGCTGAATGTAAAAAATGCACAAAAAACTCGTGGGTGGGCCACCAAATAAATTCCGGGTTTTAACTTCCGGATCGTAGACGTGTCTACTGGAAACCCGGAGTAAATCAGTTATTTTTGCCGAGGTACGTTGCTCCAGTAACCGATGTCAGAATTAGGTTAATTTAGTTTTAAGCCCGAGGGGAAAGGGGGTAAGTGCTTTTTGTGTACGCATATTCCCTCAGGACATCGAGGGCTGTTGATTGAAAACGAGAAAAAATTATTTATTATTGGGATGCAAATCGATTCTTTGGGAATTAATTGGAAAATGCTGAATGAGGAGTACTGTATCATGATATTGACCACGCTTTTCAAAAGGTTCTATGCTGTTAGCGGGGGGACCAAATTTTTTTCCAGTGATTCTCGACGATTCTATAACAAAACATAAACTATATTTATAGTAGCTTACATAGTTTTTAGATATAAAAATAAAAAAATTTCAAAAATTTACGAAAAGTTTCCTTTTTGGTCAAAAATGTGCCAAAAAGGACAAAAATGTCTAATTTCCCAGATTCCAAAAAAAACTTAATATTTTAAATACATTTATAGCAATCAAAGACTACTAAAACGACTATTTAAATACACTATATATCATCAACGGGATTTCCTATTTTTTGTTTCCCAAAAACATAAAAGCTCGCCCGCTTTCCCACCCGCTACCCCCCCCCCCCCGGCTAACAGTCCAGTACCGTTAAATCCTCTCTGCTGCCTGATAGAAGGCAATTTGTTAAACTTCGTTTCTTCTCCGACCCTTTCAGTTCTTTAGAAATGCTCAAGCTTTCCACTGTTCTTTATGACGCAAGAAAGGCTCTCTAGCTAGTTTCTTTTAGCGGAAAAGTCGTCAATAAAGAGTGCCCATTTATCGCCCACTTTTTGCGCAATAATTTGTGGGAAAGCGGTGTGAATAAAAGGGAGGGTCTGCTCATAGTTCGGCTTATAATCGTGACGGGACCCCTGGGTTACGGTATCATCGGCATGGGTATACGGCTACGGAATGTACTATATTTGATGTTATGTGCGACGTTGGGGTCGTCGCTCTGCACAAAACCGGGGTTTACGGAATATGGCGGTAGTTGTTATCGGGTGGGTTTAAATTGTAGATTAAAATGTTTTTATGTGGTTTTAGATTTTGTATAGTCCAAAGCTGCTCTGTTTTAACGATGCCGAACATCTATGCCAATCAATTGGGGCTCAACTAGCCGTCATACGCTGCCCGAATGAGAATGAGCTCGTCAGAAGTGAGCAGATTTCAATATTTGCATATTTACATATTCATAGCAATATAATATTTAACCGTATTACACCTCAAAGCTAAAATTCAGGATTGGCACTAATTGACAAGCCTTTAATGAGCACCCGAGAAGCCCTAAAACGGAATAAAGCTCCGGAGCACGAGCTGGTAAAAATTATGATAATTCCATTCTTTTTCTTTGTCAGAATATGTGGATAGGTGCAAAAGGCTGTCCAGTGTCCCATGTACCACAGTGGATTCAAAAAAGCGAGCGTCACTTCACATATCGTAACTGGTGTCCGACCGAACCGAAATGTGGGCTGCCAGACCAAGAGCAATGCGTCACGGTATGCCAAAAAGTTACAAAGTTTGCTAGAAAATTACAAAAAAAACTGTTTTAAAGGATTTATATTTTGTTGTATGTTGTAATTATTCAGAAAAATTAGCTTCCCCCTGCTAACAGTCCAGTACCCTCTTACAGTACTCGATTTGCCCGAAGAAGGGCGGAATCTGGAGCATGCAACCGTGTAAAAACAAGACGCTGGCTGTTCTCTGTGAGGAACGAACGGTAGGGCTCAATTCATAGTTCCTGATTTCACACAAAATCCAGATAAACAGTGGCGGCGCTTGCAAGGCGTTCAAGCAACCGGTACTCGCCACTTCCAAATGCTTGGTAATATTTTATAACAGCTATTTTTAGTATATTTTGTGAATATAAATTTTGCTTTTAGAGAAGCCCTACCACTTGCCCAACCGGATTCCGACAATCACACGATTCCTGTTATTCCGTGAGTTATTCTAATGTTTTGTGGAATTTTTCTAGGAGTTGTTTCATTACGTCGAAATCAATTTGTCGAAATTTCAGTGCCTTTTCGAATCTTCGTCTCAAATATTTCGCAAGTTCTTTCAACGCATTGAAATTTTGGCCAAAAATGGGCAAAAATTTCGACAAAACGATATTTCGACAAAATGATATTTCGGCAATATGAATTAAGCCCCCGATAGCTTTTTTTAGCTCATCGAATCCCCCTTGGACTTTGCTAATGCCCGAATAAACTGCCGAAAGCTTGACCAACGCGCAGATGTCGCGACTATACGTACTGAAGCAGAGAATAGGGCCATTATCGGTAGGCTCTTTTTCTGAAATTCAACCTTTAAAATCCAGCCTATGTCGAGGCCTGCAAGACGCTGAAGGCAAAACGCGATCTGTTGAAGCCCCGGTTTACGAAGGCGCAGGAAGTGATGCTGGTAGGGAATTTATATGGAAGATAAAGCCTACATTCTATCTAGAATATGTGGATTGGAATGCATGGTTGCAACAAGACACGTATTCCACAATGGTTTTCCGCTTCCGAGAGGCGGTTTACCTATAGAAATTGGGCAAAAGGTCAGCCGCATCTTGCAATACCCGATGATCAGTGCGTATGGGTAAGTGGAATATTCTTTTAAGGAATTCTGCAAATAGTTCTCACTCTGCCCAATCCGTGGAATCGGTGTCTGGGGTGATCAGAGTTGCGGTGCAAAAATGTTGGCCACAATATGTCAAATACGGCTCGGAGGAGATGGTTTTCCTGCTCCTGATGCTCTTCCAGGTCCTAAGGGCTCTGCTACGGTCATCGAGGCACCGGAAGTAGGTTTTTTGGCGGAGATCACGACGAAAATCCGGTTAGGTATGAAGAAACTGACCACTTCGGTACTGCACTGTTAGCAGGGGGGTGGCGGGATTTTATGCCGGGAAAAACCATTTTATAGAATTTTACACAGTCTTCGATTAAAATTATTGAATTTTTTGGTCAGAATTGTATGCAAAATGTAGTGACCAAAAAAAGGCAAAAATTTTTGAATTTAAATGTTTTTTGTAACTTTCTAGAAATCAAAAACTACTAAAAACGTGATGAAGATAAACTTTTTATTATTACAGGTAGATATAGGTAGAAAAATAGCTTCCCCTGCTAACCCCCACCCCGCTAACAGTCCAGTACCCCGAATTCTACGAGCTACCTATTCATTTAAGGTCCCAAAGCAGCAAGCACAGCGACCACCTACATCAGCCAACAAAGATCAGCATCCGGTTGCCGCGATTCCGGAAAATGCCAAGCCAAAACCGGGTGGTGTCGACCCTTCAAAATCCACTCAGAAGGACGTTGCCAAACCTGGTCCGAAAGATCCAGTCAAACCTAGTGAGCAGGTCGCTGCCAAACCTGGCGTGAAGGATAGCGCTAAACCAGGTCAAAACGATCCGGCTAAACCCGTTCAGCCGGAAGCAGCGAAACCCGGACAGAAGGACACTGCCAAGCCTGGTGTGAAAGACACTGCTAAACCAGATGCTAAGGGTCCGGTGGCGCCAGGACAAAACGAAGCAGCAAAACCTGGTCAGAATGCTCCTACTAACCCTGCTGAAAAGGATGCAGCTAGACCAGGTCTGAAGGACCCTATCAAGTCCGTTCAGAAGGAGGTCGCCAAACCTGGCGCTAAAGACGCTGCCAAGCCTGGTCAGAACGCTCCTGCAAACCCTGCTGAAAAGGACGCTGCCAAACCCGGTCCGGAGAATCCTACCAATCCCGGGCAGAAGGAAGCTGCGAAACCTGGTGCTAAAGACGCTGTAAAGCCTAGCCAAAATACTCCTCATGGTCCGAATAGTTCATCCAACCCTGCTGGTAAGGATGCTGTTAAACCCGGCCCAATGGGCCCTGCCAAACCTGGCGCCAAGGGCACGACGGAAAAAGGAGCTGCTACGGCTAAACCTGGTGGTCAGGCTCCTACAAAGCCGGGCCAAAAGGACCCTGTGAAACCTGTTCAAAACGGAGCGGCTAAAGCTGATGAGAAGAATCCTGCCAAACCCGCAGTGAAGGACGTTGCCAAACAGGTATTGCACACCGCGTTTTTTTAGTCAACCTCGATAACTAATTTCAGCCAGTCGATCAAGCCAACAATGCGGTTAGCCTTGCCGAGCCGCCAAAGCCAAGCGGCCCATGTCCTCTGCCCGGCTTCACCAATTTTGGCGGTACATGCTATCGGGTCCGTAGCTACTTACTTATGTTTTTCTACTTTAATCTTTTAATTTTTATTTTCTAGTGAAAGCTCATCAGGAATAATCGAAATGTTATAGATTATCCTCGCACCAAAGGGGGTTCGTCAGATAGTAATGCGTCAGCGTTGCCAGCAGCTTGGTGTCGAGGTCGACCTCGGAACGATTCGATGCGCCGCCGAAAATTCTGCAGTTATGGGTATGCTAACTAAATAACAGGATTAGCTAACGTTTTGTTTAAAATTGCAGCCCTTGCCAGTCAAATGCAAGCACTGAAGAAACTACTCGCAAGCTCAAAACCGGCGGATATAAAGAAACAGGTAACAAAAGTTGTACCCAACTACCCAAATTCCAGAACATTTGGCTCGGCCTGCATACCGTATCTTATAACAACGCCAAAAACCAGGAAAAGTGGTTTGGCACCTCGACGGCCGCTTTTAGAAACTGGGCCTCACAAGAGCCCGCTTATGTTGGATCTGAGAACTGCGTTCAGGTATCCATCTCACGTCAAAAACATTCCAAAACCAATTCAGCTCTCCTTGAATGCCTCGATTTTGGGGCAATGGCATTCGACAAACTGCGCGTCACTCAGTTACGCAGCTCTTTGTGAGATTCAATTGGTATCGGTGCCTTTTATTTAATCTATTCCAACTAAATAGGACACAAACGGCCAGGGTTGCCCTAACACGGATGTCCTTGCGACGCAAGCAGAAAGCCCTGTTCAGGTATTGTTTTTATTTCGCACTCTTTTGACTGGTCATCTAACAGTTAAAACCCGCGCAGCAGAGCCCGATTATATCGAAGGACAGTGAGAGAGACGACACCCCTCAGCCAGGTAAACCCTTTCAAGAAACCATTTCAGTGTTATGTCTTCATGTTTTGCTTTTTCTTTATGTTCCGAAATACAAGATTTATCTAGAAATTTGTGAATTACACATAGCTCATCGCACAATCGGTTATGGCCAGAGTTTTCTCGTAGGCAGCGTGAACGAGCTGAAAAAATGATAACATATTTTGTTTTTTAATTACCTCTTTTGTGAATTGTAGATAGACAAAGCCATGTCCACAAGGCTCTCCGTTGTTAAGTTCTGAAATGATTTGTCGGGTTTTTACGTCATCAATAGCTGGTGGTACCTTCAAATAATTCCTTTGCCATCTGGCAACAACTAGGAGTCGTGCCTCCAAACGACGTGAAATCCATCCAGCCTTCCTTCCGCTTCAAAAGATCGTGCACTAGGGTTCGAGCTACAGCCTATAAGGAAATACACTAACGAAATCTCGGATCTTGCCGAAGGAGGATCTGAAATTCAAGACTACCTACCATGTCATCGGCGTAGAACGGTCCGGCACTGAGCTTCTTGCCGGTTTCCCGGACACACAATAACCCCACGATCTTTTCGTCTCGGTAGGCAACCTAAATGACGCTAAATAGCGATTGAATATACTTGGCAGCTATATCCAAAAACCTGGAAAATTAAAATTAAGTTAATAGATCTAATCTATCCACTATACATGCCTAAAAAACACAAACCACCACGAACGGTTAAGCAATAACAAATTAGCTGACCATCGTTAGTGCCTCGGGCGAGGTGATAAGCAGACGGAGATACTTGCTTCTATCGTAGCCAGGCATGATCTCTGCACGATCCCACGCGTCAACCTCATCCGCGGATACCTCTACAGCAAACCAAATTTATTCCCGAAACCTAAGCTAAACGGCAAAACACTCACATATCGCTACCTAAAACTATAGGCCACCTACGACACGCAAAATAGGTAGCATGCCAAAATGGGGCACTAATTTCCAAATTCCAAACAATTTACTAACCTCGATAATCCTTTGTGACCACATCCTCATCGCGAGCCGGCACCACGAGCTTCTTGCAATCAACCTAAAGTTTTCATTCCGCGACAAACGAAAAATCTACTTGGTAATATGGATGCGGATCTCCCTCCGAAAGAATTTTATCGAAGCCATACGTCGCCGAATAACGTGGGGCCATCTTTAGGACTGAAATTACGTTTCGATGTTATAAATATATTGGCAACACTTACCTCCATTCAAAACGGCATTATCATCTCCAATTTTGGCCATCATTTTATCAAACAGGAAGGCACCAAGCCCTTTTCCGCGGTATTCGGGGTCAACGTAGTACATACCAACCTTGAAAATATGTGAATAGAAATCTCATTGTAAGGGGTGAGCTGCTGCTGTTGGTGAATAAACTTACCGCCCACAAAGATTCTTCCGGTTTGCCGCTAAGGGCGTCGTAGCGTCCGAAACATAAGCTGCCAACCGCCTTCTTCGTCTCTAAAGAGGTAAAAAATATGCTAAAAAGAAAGAAATAAATAGTTGTGTATCCTGACTTTCGCTTGAGGTTACCTTTGTCCAGGGCGAAGTAGTAGTAAAATTCTTCGAAGGCGTCTAGCCATGTCGAATAATCGCTTGGCGCGAAAACCCAACCCTCCGTTCGGACGCACTGTAATAACCCATGTAAATGATACATCGGTTAAATTGCAATGGTCGCGTATCCCCAATTTGGTCAGTTTTCAGATCTCTTGTAGCGCTAGCTCACCTTTTCCATAATCTGCTCCCAAAGGCCCGCATCTTTTGCAGGTGTTACAACGAGGTCGACATTTGGTAGCTCTTTCTCAGTACCCATCTGACCGTCCTCATAGCGTTTTCCTCCGGCACATAAGGTATTTTCCACTAGAGCTACGTTCTCTTGTTAATTGTCGCCAATTGTGCGGCGGCGTCAGATCATACAATTCACAAACTCGTTTATTAACTTTCAAGAAAACAGTTAGCCACTACTTGTAGTAAAACAACCGGCACTGAGCATACATGTGGGTATTAAAAGACCTAAAAAGAGACCAAACGAACAGAGCATAAATGCAGACTAGAGCGTTGCTCTCAAAAGAAAAGTTAGTACATATGTACGTACATTGGCCGCTTCGCCTGCGAATTGGCACGTTAATCACAATAGGCCTAAGAGGGTGGCACCATGTAAATATTTTGCGACATAAACCTGCTCCGAATTGAGCGCTAGATAGCTTCAGCAAGAAGAAGGGCAGGGGAGCCAGGGAAAAATTTCGACGACTTCGCCCATTCCTTTGGTCTTGCCTTGGCGGATGATCAACGGGGTGCCGACACGGACAGCCTAAAACGACTGTATTTTAGACAAACAAATTGGAAATTTTGTAACACTGTTAATACAGTGTCTGTCAAAATGCTTGAGCCACCCCGTTGAACGCTTCAAATCTTCAAATTCCTAAGCGCTACGAGACCTGTTGGTGAGCTTGACCTCACACTCAACTAGCACCGAGATAATAGTGTTCAAATAGACGGCTCTATCGTTTTGACACACACGGTAATTGAACAGCAGGCAATAAATCAGGATAAACCAACAAATTACCTCAGGATGGAATATAAAGGCGAAGCGGGCCAGCGTCCACTTGCCAATTTCCAAGGCTACGGCGCCATCAAATCCCAGCAATTTGGCAGTCTGGCAGACCGAGCCGATGTACACTTCAAAAAAAGATGTAAAGATAAATTCAGGGAACTATTCACCTGTAAACTGGAACCCGGTACATACAGCAGTTGTAGGGTGAGAGAGCAGCATGATGTTAGCCGTGAAGTGGATGCAAGCCGACTCCCTGCTGCGGATGGATTGAAGTACCATGCCCTAAAACGAAATACAAATTACGTAAAAAGTAATGAGATACCCTGCGAACCGCTGTCTCAGCGCCATGAAAATTGATGGCGATCGAGGCACCTTGGCCGGGGAGAATCGAGCGCACCGGTTGTCGGGATCGTCGAATTGAGCCAACTTCTACCAGCTCGAAGCTGAAAATGAAGTAATAAACTGAGAACTGGTTTCCAGAATTTGAGATTGAAACTGAATGAAACCATTGGCACCGCAACGTCCAAAATAGACAAGAAGCTGCAATGCGCCAGGCAGTGGGCAAGAAATCCGTGAAAAACGCTGCACTACCTTCCATTCTTCGCGGGGCCCATCACCAGTTTATCGCCCTCATTGATGCGACCCTCCTGCAGCATTCCACAAGCGATGGTGCCCACCTAAATACAAGGTTGTTCATTTCTCAAGAATAAAGGCCTTACATGAGGCACATTAAAGACTTCTTCAATTATGAAGTACGGGTTGCGGGCCTGCAGCTCCTTGCTTTGGCGCTCATCCATTATCGTGCAGTCCACAGGCAGGTAGTTGAGAAAACGACGGAGCAACTTGTGTCCTTCGCCAGTCACAGATGAGATGGCCAGCACCGGAATGATCCCCTTGGCCATATTGGCGGCGGCCCTAAACGAAGGAGTCGTGCGAGGGAAATTTATCATATTCCCTTAAGCTAGCTAGTATCAAAAGACACAATTTTCGAAAGCCTGAAGTATGAAATAAAGAAATTACCTTAGTGCATCCTGAGTACTTTTCACCCGTCTCATTCCACCCGATACTCCGGCGCGGACAAGCAGCATTCCTACTTGTTTGCTGACCCTAAAATAAAAGGTGCAAAAAGTAGAGATATCCCGACCTCAAGAACTGAGCCCTGTCGACGAGATCCCGCTTGGTGAGGACGACGAAAAATGGGATTGAAAGAGCGCGCACCAATCCGAGATGTTCGCGAGTTGCCACCGTTGGCCCGGTTTCGGCCGAGATCAACCTGGAAACGTATAATTTTATAAAATCATTGGATGCCAAGAAGCAACGAACCACGCTCCACCAAGGATAAACTTACAGGCAGCAGCATTGCGGATTGTGACCCGACAATCCTTGGATGGTAGTGCGCAGATATTTTATGTCACCAGCAAGATCAATCAGAGTCACCAGCTTTTGAGATCGCTCCACAACCTCCTCCAAAGTTTTTTTGACGTAATTCACGATCTAAACAATCTAATAAACGTCAGAAATGATTCACAACCTTTCCGCGCGAATCAAAGCCGACAACGTCGAGACAGATCGAACTAGTCTTTCCGGAATTGAGCTCATGAGGATAGCTAGAAGAAATGTAGAAAAGAAATTATCATTACCGAAAAAGGGCTTGTCGCTTGCTGCCCTGCCCGTCATCATATCCCCCCTGTGTCAGCACACCGCAAAGCGTCGACTTTCCCACATCTCCACCACCAAGTATCGCCAGCCTAAATTTAAATAAGGGATCAAAGAATCGCACGCACCGCAACTCCAGAAATTGTTGATTTTCAGGCACGAGACGGATCAACACTTCAATGGCGCGGCGTCGGACCAGCGAATTCTGCGGCGTCACGTCACGCTCGTTAAGCTAAACAAATTCGTGACAGTGAATATACGAAAAAAGGTACTTACAATTCCGACGGTCGCATTCAGAGACGATGCCATGTGCCGAAGGGTCACATACGAAGCTTCTAGCTCCGCGTCGGTAAGTCCGCAGACAGCGCCGTCATCCCTGACGCCGATCTATAAAAATTACATAATACCTTTGACATAATACTGGTGATATTTAGACTTGAAGAAACGAATTTACCTCGTAAATGGCTTCCCCTTGTCCCTCGCGTAGGCGCCATTTCATTTGAGTAATTAAATGTTCCAGTCGAGAGGCACTTGGGTTCAGCAGCTTTACCTAGAGAAAAGTGGTTGAACAAGGCATGGAAACAGACTTTGTATTCGACGTTGCCCAATTCCATTTCAGGAGGCAGGCGCACGGCATTTGGTCCTTTGTCCTCGGCGGCAGCGTTGTTACTAAAAGATAAAAAAATCTTGCCGTTCACTTCAGCTTCAATCGAGATATCCCCTAGGCCCCCTTGTCCATGTTTTCACACACGTTTACTTGGTCAGCCTATGACGCAAAGTAAGGCGACACCTGTTCATCGGAAAACGCGCCTTTTCCCAAACAAAGCTAACAAAACAATTGATAGGATAATCACGACTCGTCGGTGAACGGGAGTGCTTTATCCTATACTTCATTATTAAAAACGCTTCAAAGTGCATTGTCCACCATAAACTTACTTCAGATACTGTATTGGCGGTGAATTCTCCTCGTCGCAAAACTTGGAGATCATAAAATCCATTGTTGAAGCTATTGATGTGGCTTTTAGGCAGAGATGATGAGTTCGTCAAATATTCGGATGATCATCCAACACTGGAAAGGATTTGATAAAAAAGAAATCAGCGTAATGAAAGGAGGAAAACAACAAGAAACTGAAAAAATGTTTTAGTCCAGTACTAGCGTTCATATCAATCTTGAAAGTCTTTTTAAATAAAAGATTCTTTAATAAAACCTTTTAATCCATTATAGGAAGCAATACACGCTCAAAAGTGAAAATAAAAAACCCTCAAAAGTCAAAAATTTAGTCGATAATCGCGCAGAGTTGTTTTAGTAAAGAGAGAACGATTTGTTAGTTTCCGGCCCGTCCCCCTTGAATTTTTGTTTGCGAAAAAGAATTGAAAGCAAGGGAAAGTCGGCAAACTGCAATGGCAGGGGGCGACGAGCGGACGAGAGAAGAGAGCGCAGAGAGTGTGAAAAGAGTGAGAACCCAGAATTGACGGGGCAGTCGACTGCTGGCACCCCCGCGCTGCTTTCCAAGATCCTTTATCGACTTGGGGAAAGCGGGTATCGTGTGGCTAAGAAATAAAAAATAACGTTTGGGAACAACAAAAGGGATTTCAGAGCGCAGGAACACTTCAGGCACGCGCCAAACAATATTGGGGTCAGATTGAATCAGTATTGCACAACGCGTTGCCATAAGTTCAATTTGGTACTAGCCAAGAACGTAGTGCATAGTCCCGGTAATATTTGTTACATAGCAAAACCCGTAAAGGTAAGGCCGAAGAGCTTGTTCGCATAACATTCAACATTATTTCTTTTATCAAACCAATTAAAATGTTAGAAATAGTCTAAATGTGATCAGTAATGAACCGAAATTGCGAAAATGCAACTCGCCGACGGAGCTGTTTGCCAAACGCGAAAAAAACGAAACGCACCAATTTACAGTCGTACGGAATTACGGGCCGTCCGTCCAACATGAAAATTTTCACGGGAAAAATTTGAACGAAGATATAAAAGTGAAATTCAAGTGTAAATAAAATGAGAGAAAACAAAGGTTAGCTCAAGAAAGCGCTAAAATCTGAAAAGTATTAGAAGGGCCTGTTTCGGCCATGTCCAAAGGAAGCGAGTTCCTCAATGAAAGAATACAGGTTTAAAAATATTAAAACCTGAAAATAATTTCGTTTCTATTGGATTTCGAACAAATAATGGACAAAAATAGGCTTGAAAGTAATTGGGAATAGATGGGGGGTGTGCCCCTCCGCGCCCTCTGAGTGTTCCCTCCCCTGGGCTGACTCGACACACGTCTGGACCACCCTCATAGGGTATAGGTAGGCCACCTCGTTGGACAAACCAGTCGTCTCTTCGATTGTTTAGATAATACTAAACAATCGACGAGACGACTTCGCGCGCGCGCCCGAGCCGAACCTCGCGGCTCGTTACTAAATTTTGGAAAAGGCTTTGGCTATTGACGGGAGACCGTCAGTGGTACCATAGCCTTCAAGCATAGCCGAAGGCTATCGCCATTTTTTTCAGGAATATCGAAAAAGTCGGGTCTAAATAATTTTATATTTCGTATCAATATCGATAAGGACAAATCGGTTGATTAGATACTAACAAGACTGTCCTGCCAAATCCCTACTTCATATACGTAGGTGTCATTCTGTTGCAACACGGAATTCGGTAGTAAACCCAAGATCATGCAATACGCGCGTAATGTCCGGTAACGATGATGCAATACGTAGTCACTTTGCGATAAACATTTATCAACGCAAGCGAAAACATGATGGCTGGAAAGGCATTAAAAACCCGTGTCGTCATAAAGATCAAAGATTGTGTCTTTCGCGTGAAGTCGTAATGAATAATCTAATGTTGACGGGGATGGTCGGACGGTCGTCGGTGGTTTTTCTAAAGGTACGTTATAATTATTATGTGGTTTTAAAAAACCGCAGTTGTTTTCCTCTGAAACTAACCTAGCTCTGATCCCCCTGGATTTATTGTCGTTACAACAGTGTTGCTTTGTCGTGGCTCCTGAAAGTTTTGATTTTTATTATCGATTTTTTTTCTTCTATATTTTGAGGTTTTTTCTAAGTTTTACCTTCGCATTCATTGATGACCTGGGTTGCTTTGCATCAGCGCGTATGATAGAAATACTTGGAGGCCCTACAGAACTTCGGAGTCGCAACGTGTAGCGCTGATTGACTCCAGGCTTCGGGTTGATAACTTCGACAGCAGTTCCGGCTGGCGCTTGCACAACGAAAAGGTTCTTCTTCGGAAAATGCGACTGTAGCTCGGCCGTTTTTAGAAATAAGTTCGGGCTTGTCCCGTCTTCGGTGATATTTTTTATGCTCTAAAAATTGTGTTCATTTTTATTTATTTGCGAATTCTACAAAACTGCTCCTGAACTATATTTGTACCTGTTTTAGCCATCGTATATGTTCATCTAGCGCAGCATCCTTTTTATCAAGAATTGCGCATTCCTAAGAAGTAAATTAACGGTAAAATCAGCAGAGTTACCTCTTTTAATTGATTTATCTTTATTTGCTGCTCGGGTGTCATATTCGCCATGGAGTCTTTATTCAAATCCCCGCCTCTACAATAATTTTGAATGTAGTTAACGTATTTAAACTATCTTATAGAAATGAAATGTGACTTACTTCCACTGAACAACATTTTTCGTTCGCTTCTCAATTAGACCGACGCCTTCAAAAACATTCGTTATATCGTAGATTCGTCTCTTTTGAGACACATTTAAGCGCTCAGCGGCCTGAATCAATTTTTAAGTATCTTTTCGCATTGCAAACCTCATTTAAATCAAGATACCCATCAGGAGATTCCTGAAGTAGCTTCACAAAACGCTTCGTGAGTAACGCTAGGGATTTATCGGCTCGGGTACCCGCCTGAGGAGCATCTTCTTCTACAGCTGCCAACAGGGCGTGCTTCATATCCATATCCGGGGCTCCCTCAACTATTTAGAATTTGAGGGAATTCATGGGATTGCTGGTTTTGTTTAATGGTAATTCTTGAGCATTAAATATAGGTCTTACCTTCAACTTCCTCCTCATAATTTATACCATCCGGGTCCAAAAGCTCTTCGTCTCCCATCTAGAACTATGTATCAGTAATAATTCTACAAGTACAAAAATTTACAATGGTATCTGGAACGCCTTACGCAGGCTAAAGAGCCGCGTTTGAAACCCAGCGGGCCTCGATGGAGGGGTGGAGACAGGGGGACAGGGTGTGGACGTGGTTTGGATTCCGATGTTGGGCTAATTGATAGCGGGTTTATACGACGATCATATGTGTACCAACGGACTGTTTGGTGTTTATTTAGTTCTAGGAAAGATTTCAACGAAGCTTAAACATTCTTCAAAGCTGTTTAAGGGCATTTGGGTTTCAGAAAACTGAGAAAGGCTTTTTTATATGTAGTATTTCTTCCGTTTTCTCTGGTCCATGGTATATTTCTAGTATATTTATAGTCATACCAGGGTTGAAAAGCCGCTTTCGCGACTTTTCAACCCTGGCCCCGTCTCGGACCCCATACTATTCTACCCTTTGCATTCTTGTCCTTCATTCAGAAGACAAAAAAAAATGAAAAACAACCCCTTCTACCTCTTTATAAAGACTACCGCCCACTTCCGGTCTATGCTAATTATTCCTAACAAAGAGGTTTTTACAAAAACCTAAATTTAATAGCGAAAATGGCTAATTTTTAAAAATCTGTTGTGTGTGCAGTCATCCCTAGACCATTACGCACCTAGTGACGTATCATACGTAGCCTAATACCCGTCCCTTCTTGAGATATCCTCCGGACAGAGAGACGGAAGTGGATGCAAAGTGGCACACACACACACACAGACACTATTTTTTTTATATATAGTAGGATAGCTTCAATTAAACTTAAAATCACTTGCAGGTCTATGGACCGTGACACCTTCCCAAAGAAGTTGTTCGCTAATGAAGATTTTGAGCGTACAATTCAGGAGATCATCTCCAGTCCAAGGAAGGGCAAGCATTATCAGGTTGGTAAACAAATAGGTAGCTTTAAGACAAGTTTTTTTGATACCAAAATCACAGAGAACCCCAAAAACTACGTTATTCAGCAAATTCAGGTGGACGACGTCAGTGTCTATGACGTTACAGATAAGCAAAAAGCCTATTATACTAAATGCTTCCTCCATTTAATGAAGACCACCCAGGTGAGAGATACGAATAAATATAACAAAAAGGGGTCCTTTAGGGTACCGCTGTTCTCGGTGGAGCACTTCACGGAAGTGAAAACAAAATCGTAGACTTTTTTCGAAAGTCCGGCCTTGATGATGATGAACTTTCGAGGTCAGATCAAACATGGAAGCTGAAATTTTTTATAGGATTTGGTCACTTTCTGATGTTAATGAGGATGGGTGGCTGGATTTGGCTGAATTCTGTACGGCGATGCACTTGATTGTGCTTCGAGTCAAGGTAAGGGTTTTCGAGGAATGGCGTTGATCCAGAAAAAAAGGAAAAAGGTATCGTAAAATTTTAGGGAGAACTGCCAGTACCGCCTATACTACCGCCAGCCTTAAAGCCTCCAATGACCGCTCCACGGACACAGTCACAGGTATGTAAAATTAAGGGTTATTCTCGTTTTGTCGAAAATCATGCTGTCGAAATTCCATTCTGTCGAAAATTATGTTTTTTCAAAATTGTATTTTATCCAAAATCAATTTACGAAATCCCTTTTTCTCGAAAGTTCAATCCGCAAATTTAATTTTTTTCACATTCTGAAAATCAATACATTTCAATACAATAGAATTGCGACAAGATTAAATCTTCAAATATCAATCAGATACTCGAGAGAAAATCGCATTTTACAAAACTTATAGGTCTCTTCGGAAGGATCAAGACCCTCAGGTGAGTCACAGACGACGAGCACCACCATGCAGCAAAACGAGGGGCCGGATGGACGGCCAAATACATTTACACGGAGTGAGGGCAACTTGTCCTCACAGATCGAGAAGGTAGCATCCGGTCGGCTTGTGACATCGTAATAAACTTGCAGGAGCCACCCCAATTCTCGGACGTTCCGCCATTGTTAGTGGACAGTCGTCCGCTACCAATAAAAGCACTTCCTATCCGTCCTTTACCCGATGCGTTGTTGATGTTAAGAAGTCCACAGGTTAGGCTGAAACTCTGCATCCTATTCGGTCACAAAATCAGTGTAAATGATATTTTCATTTAATCCGTTTTTATTTTCATCATTTTTAGGGGCCACCCCCCGCTCCTCCATCCAGACCATCGAATCGAAGTCATATGAGAAGTGCCAGTCTTGACTTGAAGCAATTGGCAATCCAGAATCTTCCGATCAACGGGTACGTCCACTACATGCATCCTGAATTTCGCCGCTTCACATCCAATAGGTCCTAAAATTGGACCGGAGGTGTATCAGACCCTAAATAATCACAATCCTGATTCATAGCCCCCATAGCCAGAGTAGTGTCGAGGTAAATAATGTTTGCCGAATCATTTTCACTAAATATTTAGAAAGTCGCATCTCACGGTAAATCTATGTAAGATTCAAAATAAGGTTGCTTTGCTGTGATGACCACAGTCTCTAAGCCATGATTCAGGGTTGTTGTTATTTAAGGTCAGCTGGACCTCTGCTCCGATTTTGGGACAGATTGGCTGCAAGGCGGCGAAATGCCGGATTGGTTTTACCGGATGCCGGATTAAAAAAAAAATCGTTATTTGACGTACTCGAGTTTTTTTGCTCGGTTTTTGCTGTTTAAACCAATTTTGCAGTATTTTTTAGTATTAGCGGACCTTCATCTGCTCGCCACATGTCGATCCCTTCAAATCCAGTTCATGCTCCTCCAGTACCGAGCAGATCTGAGCATGGATCCGGTACCTAATGCATACCCCTCACCATAACTCAAATATTTTAGCCGTCCTACCCACCCTGGCACATGTTGTAAACCCCGAGCCAATCAAGGGTTTGTTAAGTCCAAAAAGTATCACAATATTTAATAATTTAGAACCTACACAAAAAACGATTCCCGGAAGTGTTTTACCGCCTTCGTCGGCTGTATCATCTGGTGTTCAGACCGAGCACAAATGGATTGATCCCAGCCATGTGGAGAATTTTATTAAAAATTTTGGTGGGTAACTTTGAAACCAACTTCGGACGCAATCCTATTTAAATTTTTAGGCTCTCAATTCCAAGAATTATGGGATCGGGAGGAGCGCTTTGAAAGCGGGGAGAACGAGAGTGATGCCGAGAAATGGGAGCGACGAGTTGCAGGTACGATTTGATGTTTTGAAAAATTCAGGCCATGGATTTACAATTCTGCTAAAATTTATGGTACTGGACTGTTAGCGGGGGGGGGGAAGGGTTAGTCGAGAGAAACGGATTTTTTGATTAGTTTTCCCCTGCTGGTTAGCCCCCCCCCCGCTAATAGCCCAGTACCAAATTTATCCGTTTAGCCCTGAGACGCCAAAATGCCGAGTTAGAAAAGGAGCGTGCTACCCTGGCTCAGGTAAACGAACGAAAATAATTTAATTGCAATACATATATAATTTTTTTAGATACGTATCCAGCTAGAATTGCGACAACAGGAAATGAAGCCCCCAACATCGTCAAAGCCGACTCAGCTATAGCTTCAAGCTTCAGCGCTTTGCGTCCGCTTCCGGCTCTGCACCCTGGGGTCAAACGGGGAGATGCGGTTGTCGGTGCCATATGTCCGCTAGTCGGTGTTTTTTGTGCGTGAGTCCCCGATTCGCGCGCGCGTCCCTTCAAAAACATCCCGCATCTTGTCCTCCCCTGCCCCTATAATATATCGCTCGATTCCATTAGTCATTTCAGCACTCTGATTCGCTCACTCTTCTTTCAATTTTTTCTCAAGCTATTTGAATCAATATTTCTTTTTCCGTCTCTGTACACCCAAGACAGACCAAAAATTTTTGGTCCTGGGCTGTTAGCGGGGGGGGGACCAATTTTTTTCTATATCTGCATGTTAATAATAGATACTGTATTATTGCCGTGTTTTTCACAGTTTTTTGATAACTAGAAAATTACAAAAAATATTTTAAATAGTCTGAATATTCGAAAATTTTGATTTTTTGACCATTTTTCATTCATTTTGGCGAAAATGTGTGGGCTTTTTTTACTCTAAAAATTGTGTAGATTCTATAAAATCGGTTTATATTTTTTTTTAAAAATTACTTCCCCCCCCTGACCCCCCCGCTAGCAGTCCAGTACCAAATTTTCACTCGACTATATTATCTCGGAAAAACGTCGATCGAAAGCGTTTTTCATGCATAAATTAGGCTGTGATTATCACTAGATTTTCCAAAGCTTCCTTTTTTCGTGATTTTTTCCCTTTACTCAATACCAAAATCACTCTATATATCCCATAAATGTCACCTATTGTCGACCCTATTCCAATCGTTTACATGTATGCTAATGTGATCGCCCTTCCCAATGTGCCTTCTCAACCCGCTTTTCCGTACCCTATTCCCCCTTACTGTACCGGTGCCACTGAAAGACCCATAATCCAAGCCATAATAAACTTAAGCAACTTAAATATACATAGAAAATATCTTAATAATACAGCTTCTTTCGAATTTTTTTGAAATCAACAATGAAATCGCACTTTTACGCAATTTTCACCAATTCCAGAATAATTACTCTCACTTTCCAGACAAACTTTAAATGCTCTCGCTCATTAAGATTGCTTAAGATATGAAATGGATAGAATCAATCTACTTCCCAATTTTCTTCTACCACTTCAGCAGCTCGCTGTTCCATCCATTCATCAATTCACTGATTTATGCACAGGTAAATGGTAACCTACAGGGTGTCCCAGAAAAGCCCACCATGAATTTTGGCCGTCTTCTATCCGAACGGAACCAAGTTTTTATCAGCGATGGGGATCCAAAAAAATATTCGAACCCGAATTTTGGATGCAAAATAATGTAAAATACAAAAGTGAAATTGTCAGAAAATGGCCCTGAAGTTAATCCCAACGCACTTTTTGACAAATTACCCAACATCGGCATGCTAATTGCGTGAATACAGTCCAAAACGCGTGCCAACATTTCTAAAAAAACTAGTAATGGTATGCCAATGTTCATAGGTTTGTGAACGCCACCATGGTGCTGCATTGTGTCGCACAACAAAAGTCGCAAGAGATCTGGATGTTCAGGCTGAGGCGAACTTTGTATTGTTTGCAGGGTTTGTTGTATTGTTAACTTCGTGCTCAATCTCATACCTCATTTTAGGTCAACTGCCTTAAGTATCTGTTCAATGGGCTCAACACTAGCCATCGGGTTATTAATGGATAAACATGGCAAATCCCGAATAGCATTACTGCTACCGTATATTGGTGTCTCAATCTCGGATCTGATTGTCATTCTCCAAACACTGCAAATTATCGGCCGAGTGCTGTGTGGTTTCTTGACAATTGATGGTATATTTCCAGGGTTCGACATGGTTATTCGTGGTATCGCAGATGGTATTTGGGTTATTTGGCGGATTTGCATCTGTCATGTCTACAGCCAATGCTCATATTGTTCGTCAATATAGCATGAACCCTGAGAAGAAAAGTTCAGCGTTGGCTCGACTTAGCGGGGTTGTTGGAATGGGATGTTGGTGGTTTATTGGATTTGATATCAGAACGTCGAAATTTCATAATCCTGAAATTTTTAGCAAGGTGATAACGAAGCTTTTGCGTCTATACCTGTTAATACCAAATCATGTATTTTTGTAATATTTTAGATAGTTTTTGATTCTTAAAAACTTTCAAAACATTATTTAGACATTTTTAAAATTCGAAAATCTTTACATTTTTTAAGAAAAATTCCAAAAGCCGTGAATATTTTTGTCATTTTTGCATCAGGTTTGTATATCTAAAAATTGTGTAAAAACTCTATAAAAATGGGTTATGTTTTGTTATAGGGTCTTAGAGGATTACTGGGGGAAAATAGATTTCCCTTGCCAAAATCCCCCTGCTAACAGCCCAGTACCTAGAATTTCAACTTTCGGAATTTCGACAGATAACTCGGCTTTTAATTTATATATTTTTTTTCAGCAACCCTCGGTTTTTTAATGGCTAGCCAACTTCCGAAAATCTCCTATATTCCGATGAGCATCTTCCTATTCTCTTCTCATGTATTATGCGGCATCTTGATGGCGATAATCACCAGACAGCCGCAGATGCCACTTACGGGTGCGCGTACTAAAGAAAGGGTTATACATATTTTTGGTAATTTCACAATTTTTTAGTGTTTTTTCTTGGCTATAAGGGGTGTGACGTTCACACGAACATTAGGATTATACCTCATCGCATCTGTCGCTTCATATTTGGCGGTGATTGGTGAGTTATCGTTCCTAACCATCTTTTTATTTGTTTTAGGATGCCATCAAATCCTTTTCCTATACCTCAAGCTCAAATTCGCCTGGGATGCCGGCCAATTTGGTCATCTTAAAGCGGGCAGCCGATTGACCGCCACTATTATGGTATTTTTATATGGAAAAAGTCAATGTAGAAGTTATAGGCAATTTTCGGATTCGCTTGGCTGAAGCGTCGCGGACTGTCGGATTTTACGATGACAGTCATAGGGTTTATTTCGCGAGTGATCGCAATGTTATGGTATGCTGTAGTGTGGCGAAGTGAGCTTGTGTTTTTCGGTAAGTTTTATCTTGCCAAAGTTTCGAAGGTACTGGACTGTTAGCGGGGGGTGTAAAAGTTTGCTTTCCCCCGCTAACAGCCCAGTACTCTTTAGCCATCATCCCCGAAAGCCTGAACCGATTTGCTGCATCGGGATTCCGCGCGTTAATTGTGAATTCTGTTGGTGCTGATCAGCAGGGTAACGAATATACATACCGTTTCACACATTTTTTTAGGTCGAGTCCTGGCTGTGCATGCCTCTCTTGAGAGTGTCGCTCAGCTTTTTGCGTCTTCCATTTTCCACCCACTCCTCCCCTTGTCTGGTAATTGATTTTTTCATCACAACAACCCGAATTTTTCAGCAAAATTCGGGTTTCCTTCACTGCCGTTTTATATAATGAGTGGATTATTTCTGGTAGCGATTCTATTACTCAGGTAAGAGCATTTTAATTATCCCTTAACAAAAGTAATTTATTTTGCCGCGCTTCTTGGACTCATGGGTAAATGCCACACGAACCGATAATATCGATCGTAGAAGTCTGACGCTACGTGGGGACGGTCAGGAGGCATAGAAGAATTTTAAAACTGGTTCTGTTCCGTTATCGGGGGGGGGGGCTTTTTCTTAGGATCCAATTCTTTAAAAATAAATAGTGGAAGTTTTTTAAACTGTTTTTACAATTCTTAAGCCTAATTACTAAAAAAAAAAACACTAAAAATATCGATTTTTCGCACAATGACCGATTTTTTACCGAAATTTCGATTTTTACAAATGATTTGTAAAATTGTTAGATAGTTTTTCTAGTTGAAACCTAATTATATACTACGAAAATCACCACAAAAATAGTTCCTATTAAGTCACTCAACATTTCTAGACAGAAAATTTCTAGAAAAAGTTCAGACCCTCACCCCCCGGCAATGAGACAGATCCTAAAAACTTTATGAATAAATTTATTTATAACCATTGGCACCAATAAAGAAAACCGGTCGTAAAGTCTAAAGACCACAAAATCTAAAGATTAAGGATAGGTAAAAAATCATAAAATTCTTGAGCGAAAAAAGTGTAAAAAAATTTCGTTGAAGCGGGAAGCTCAGGGTCAGACTAGCAGATGACGATAAGAATATGCAAATTAAAAAAAATGGATTTTTGGAAACAAGATATTCAGGGCCAATTGTAGGTATTGTTTTTCTTGAAGCAATTGAAGGATGCCGACGGCGCCTTTTTTCAATTGGCTCTGAAAAATATGAAAGAGATCATTGAAATGGGCGGAGCCGGGTGTCAAAGAAAAGAAAAAAAAAACAGATCGACAAGAAGACACCGAACTATTTGTAGGTACATTGTACTCGATTAAGTCACCAAAACAATCAGGGGGGAATCACATGGAGTGGAGATAGACAAAATCGGTTTTCAAGCAAAGTAAACAAACTGCAAAAATCGAAGAAAATCGGAAACTGGGGGCAACGGCCGTATGATTTTCGAAGATACAACTTCTCAAGAGCTCAATAGTGCTTTTGCTTACATGAATAAAGTTTTGAACAAATTAGAAGATGAAGCTATTCAATAAGCTATTTGATATTTTCCAAACCGGAAACCAAGCTACAAGAATCGTCACGACTATACAGGCTGTTCCAAAAAACCATCCAGAATTTCGCCGCCTTACATCCAATCGATCCCAAAATTGGAACGCAAAGTGGAAAAAGACAGACGAAAAAGGTGCTGAGAGTTGCGGAAGGAAACAGTATTTTCATTATAAAACGGGAACTACTGTAGCGACCGAGCCATCAGCCAACATTATACCTGGCCCAATTTTTGTACTAATTGGAAAAGGAGGCGAATGCCAGATGCATCTTTTTTTGGGGCACCCTGTAAACCAAAAACTGGGAAAACAATTGGACCCGTCGTTTTCATGGAATGGCAATGGGTGGATGATTTCAGAAGGCGACTATCGACAGCCGCACGCTTCGACCCGCATCCCTTCGTACGGCTTGAAGACAATCGAATCGTTCAAATCACGGTAGAGGATGTTCAGGGCTGATGTTTCCGTTGGTACGCAGCATGGCGCTTTTACGTCGTTGTTCAGGCTGAACGGCGATTGTTTTGATAGGAGTTTACGTAGGCTTAGGCTGAGACTTAGGCTTGCTAAGACTTAGCTTTGGAATTAGGTTTAGGTTTAGGCTTAGGCTTATGCTTAGGCCCAGGTTGGACTTAGGCTTAGGATTAGACTTAAGCTTAGGCTTCAGCTTACAAGGGAAGGGCAAGTGCACGAAGTGGAAATTCGAAAAAGCTCGCGGCTACCCTAGGTTTTCGACTACGGCGATTCCGATGCGCGATCAGAATTAGCCACCGAGGTCTGTAAGCGAGATACCGCACTTCCGGAAAAACATAATTCATCGCGTAATTAGGAAGCTACTAATGGTTTATTAGGATCTTCCATCTATATCAGCTGTGAATTGGTCGAGTGCCAACACTCGCTTTTGAAATACCAACGGGGGTTCGGATCCACTGTCATTTTGTTTTTCTTTTTGGAAGTTTGTGATTTTGGGTTGGACCTCGGACCTTGAATAGAATTCTTTCAACCATGAGGAAAACGGGGCGATAACCTGCATACTAGGCTCCACAACAAACAAAAAAATCAGGGCGGATCCGAACCCCGTTGTATTTCAAAAGCGAGTGGTTGGCACTCGAAATTCACAGCTGATGATAACGTGGAAGATCTAATAAAATTAGTAGCTCCTAATTACGCCTGATCTTTCCGGAAGTGCGGTATCTCCTTTACAGACCTCGGTGGCTAATTCTGATAGCGCATCGGAATCCTTCAAAACCTAGGGGCCGGGGCGTTCGTTCCCTTCGTGACTTGCCCTCTTAGGCTCAATGTCCCAATTCACAAACCTGTTGATGAGTGACTGTACAATGGCGTGGTTCGTAGCGTTCAATCGAGCGGGCAGAGGATTTGGGCATTCCCCAACACACATATACGCGTTGTAACCCACTAAAAAAGTTTTAGAAGCCTGGCTAATACATACTTGGCGACAGTATCCAGTCGTCCCAGTTTAATTCTTTGAAATCTACATAAAGATCGACACGCCGACAGATACGCCTTTGGGCCGCACGCGAGTGGTGGGTCTTCTTTCTTTTTCGCCCTCTCCCGCGGCGTTTCTTCTCCGGAGCTGTAACTGCCTCTAAAAGAATTATATTGTTTTTAAAGGAGGGAGAGGGGAGAGAGAGATAGAGAGAGAGAGAGAAAGCGAGAGAGAGAGAGAGAGAGAGAGAGAGAGGGCGAGAGAAGAAAGAGAGCCGGAGAGATAGGGAGGGGAGAGCCCGAGAGAGAGTGAGAGAGCCGAGAGAGAGAGAGAGAGAGAGGGAGAGATAGAAGGAGCGAGAGAGAGTGAGCGCTCCGAGAGAGAGAGAGAGAGTGAGAGAGCCGAGAGGGAGTGAGAGAGCCGAGAGAGATAGAGAGAGAGTGAGAGAGCCGAGAGAGAGAGTGAGAGAGCCGAGAGAGAGTGAGAGAGCGAGAGGTGAGTGGAGAGGAGAGAGAGAGAGTGAGTGAGAGAGAGGGAGGGAGAGCTTTACCCACCTGGAGCCACGATTCTCTTTGACCTCTTTGGCCCATGATAATCTACCATCAACACCGCTGCTTTATCATCTACCAAATTCGGTCGAATCGTCCCATAGAATAAAACAGAAAAATCTATCTGTAATTTTTTGGATAATATTTACAATCGCTGAGTACCGTCTGCTCATCCGAATTCGACACCTCCTCCAGGACATCCCATTCCAGCCACGTGTCCGGTTGAGCAGCACCCTCGCACTCCAGCTCCTCATCTAGCAACTCGTTCTTCACCTAGAAGAATGTTTATGCATGAATTTAAATAGAATCTGGACGAACCTGTAGCGTGGCATTTCCACAACCGCTGACCCGAAGCCGAAAGACGGCTGAAAGCGGATGTTGGCGAGCGTCTAACGACAGAGCGAACGACAACGCCAAACCAGAATTGGCCTCGACAATTTCCTAAATAGTAATTAATTTGAATTATGTATAAATATTACAGAAAATGTATGATAAATATAATTCTTGTCACTATTACTCACCCGCGGATAGAAGAATCGGACAGCATCTTGTAACATATCCTCATCATTAATCTGCTTGACTGGCTCCGGGGTAGAAGTTTTTAATGGCAAAATCGTCGGCATGCTGGCCAAGCTGGGATATGGTAGAGCAATAAATAGGAGTAGAATGTGGACGAAGCGGGGTTGTAGAGCCGGGAATATGGGCTGGTATTCAGCACTGGTACAAGAATGGCTTCTCGCACTCATTCTCAGTAGTCCCACGCCTTCGCACGCACATCACAGCAACACCATGCGGCTGGGTGGCCGCCAATTCCTAAAGGAGAGTTATATTAAAGTCGTTGTATTAACATTTTTTTTAAGATATTTAAATTAATTTAAAATTTAAAGCAGATATTCAGGTAGCTACACGAGCGCCGATTTTCGACTGCGTCTCTCTTTCTCGCGCTTTTTCGGTCTCTCTCTCTCTCTTTATCGCTCATTCGCTCCCTCTCTCGCTCTCTCTCGCTCTCTCCCTCTCTCACTCGCTCTCTCACATTGTCTCTCTCTCTCCGTCTGTCTTTCTCTCTCATCTCTCTCGCCCTTTAACATTTGCATACTTAGGCGCTATAATTTAATAAATGTAGCAATCAATGCATCAATGTAGCATTTCTATAAAATTCTGTTGCCTTTTGAATTGCTCAAATAATAACAAACGATACCTGAAGTTTGATGGAGAATAATTTGATCAGTCGTCTCGTGGTCCGTTTTTGAGGGAACCTCGTTCGTATAGATTAAAAAAAACCGAAATAGAATAACAGCAAAATACAGGAAGTAGATCGTTTGGAGAGAAGGGACGGGTGGTGTTGTGGATGGGATGTGAAGTTGTTAGGGCGTTTCTCTCAAAACTCAGTGACGATCTGAAATAAGAGATTTTTGAGACGGACGAGACCAGGGACTGTGAGCTTGAGCACTAAAAAGGGGAAAAGGATGCAGAGAGGAGGAACACGGGTCGGGCTCCGATTTCTGAGGGGCCGAGCGGTGCTTCAAAGGGAATCTGAGAACGAATGATGGCTTCGAAGGCTTGTCCCCACCACAGGAATACTTCTTTCAAAGGTCCCCCGGGGGTCCCCCTTCTACATCGTCCCGCCCAAGGGTTTCCACGAGAACCTTTCTTCAACAAATTCGACTGAACTGGCAAATTACATGATAGAAAATGTGGAAAGGTGTCTGTGTAGACCCGCTAAAAATGCCCCAAGCCGAAACCTAAGCTAAGCCTAAGCATAAGCTTAGGTCGGACTAAAGCCTAAGCTGAAGCCAAAGTTAAGCCTACGCTAAGCCTAAGCCGAACCGAAGCCGAAGCCGAAGCCTAAGCCGCAACTTAAGCTAAACCTAAGCCTAAGCCGAAACTTAAGCTAGCCTTAAGCCGCAACCTAACCTGAAGCCTAAGTCGAAGCCGAGGCCAAAGCCAAACGTAAGCCAAAGGCGAAGCCCACGGTGTCTTACGTGTAGTCTCGAAATGTTACAGTAATTTTAATTGGCAGGTAGGCTAGCCAGTTATTTACCCCCTCCCCCACTATGCTATCAGTACCTATTTTTGAACTTTTGTAACTTTCAACGTTGAACGTTCAGAGACCCGTTCAAAGGGCAACCCCAACCCAAAAAGGGATATAGGTGATGGAGGGACGGCTATCTATCCACACAATGGACCGGACTCCATTTTGGGGGCGCATTATAGTGTTGGGAATAGACACGTTCGGGTGGCTTTTTGAGTGGGCGGCCACCAACCGTCCCCCCGGGACTCATCCCAAACTGCCCCCCCAGTTGAAAAGACTTAAAAAAGTGACCCGTTACTCGGGGTGCCAGCGCGGGGAGAATTTTGGGTGAAAACACGTTTTTGGAGCGGTATTTTTTTGGTGTCAAAGACACGTACGCAAGTGGCTTTACGGAGCGAGAGAAGGGGACACTTTGAATCTCGACAGTAAAAAATTGGCTGAAATTTCGATTGAAAGCGGAGAATTTACATCGAAAAGAGTCCGGAATTGACGGAAAGCGGTAAAGACGCTCCGCTTATGCTATCTGGTTTTTAGCTGAAGCCTGACCTGACTTAGCTTTAAATATGCTTAGCTGAAGCCCAGACTTCCCAGCCAAGCCTACGCTTGCTAAGCTGAAATCGTTTTAGGAGGTGAAAATGGGGTGGTTAAGGCTTAGCTTAGCGCAAAGCCTCTTAGCTCAAGCCGCGCTCAGGCTTCTTTTGTACGAAGCCAAGCTTGGGCGCGGCTTATAGTCTATCGATTTGCGGATCTGGGTTTCTGGAAGCGGGTAGGTTGCAGGTGTGTGGAAGCAATTTCGAATAAAAGGGGGCTGTTTTTATGCGACACACCGGCGCCACCACAGCCAAAGCCAAGGTAAACGGTTGGTGGTGAAATTTGGCTGAAGATGCAGATTTCGTAATGTAATGGAGAGCAAAATTATAAAATCTACCGTAATCTACTTAAAAACCTTATTGATTAAAAAGAGCTTTAGGCCGTTTAAAACGGCCAAAAAGGGCTGGAGTCAGTCAAAATAGTTAACTTAAACGCCCGAATTTTTGCATAAAAAGCAAAGCCCCAGATTTATTAAAGAAAATACGGTATAAAAATGTTGAATTTTATTAAAAGAGCCGAAAACGCTTCACATCGAAATACTCAAGTGTGCGAAAGCCGAATGAGAAGTGCGCCTCCAATTTGTCACCCAAACTCGACCTTTCTGGAATAAATAGCCTCCCCAGTTGCCACAGCTGGGCCCCAAGGCTACCGTTCACCAAAATGGCGTCAGGGCTACTGGTTGAGGGGGAAATGCCGACGATGCCGATGGGGGCCATCAAATAGAAGCGAATGGCTCTGGAGCATACATCATCCACTTGGTCCAGACACCACTCACCCCTAAAATGGGACCACAAGCCCGAGGGGGGAACAAAAAAAGAGTTCCGAAGACATAAGGAAGTCTGGAGGTGTCGAACCAAGAACTACATTCTGGGGGGTGGCTTGGAAGATTTATTTTCATGTCTTTTTGAGGGCTACTTGAGATGTAGCACGCGGAACGACGCAAGCTACAGGGTGTCACAAAAAGACCCTTACGGCATTTCCCCCGGATTACATCCAGTCGACCCTAAAATTTGGCCCGAGGTGTATCAGACTCTAAATAACAACAATCCTAACTTATAGCTCCATACCTACAGCAGTTCTCGAAATATAGCAAAAATACCGTTTTTCAGCATTTTTCGGCTTTTTGGCATTTTCAAACATTTGCATCGACTTCCGGTTATGAATCCCTAATTCCGCTTAAGTTCTTGGGTAATTATGCGTTGTAAAATTGCTTAAAATTACGCCATTTTGATAAATTTTAATCGAAGAAAATTCTTAAGGTAACGAAGGGTGTCCGAATCAGGTTATTCTGATTTTTAGGGGGTAGTATCTCACGGGAACCCTATAAAAAATGGATAATAAACTATATTTTGACTGTAACTAAAATCAATTGTAGCAATGGGACTATAATAGTATTGTTGTTGTTTAGCGTCTGCTACACCTCTGGTCCAGTTTACGGACCGATTGGATGTAAATGGCGAACTGCCGACCGTGACTTTTTTTGGGAGACCCTGTATGAAAGCGGAATACGAGTTGGATCATAGAGCCCTCTAATTATTCAAACTACCCCAATTTCGATTTCCACATCCCTCAACAACAATAACGTAATCGGAGAAAGATATACGTGAAAATAGGCGCTTTCACTCATTGCCCAAACCATCACGCGATCACCACAAAAACAAGGCAAGTGTTGATCTGGGGGGTAGGGTGAAGGGTAGGGCTTGGGAAGGGGATCGGGCCAATGGATTCGTGGATCAATGTCGTTACAGCTTTATCCAGAAAGTGATGGAAGCTTCTAGACAAATTCGGAATTTGATTTAGTTTTCACTAAATCTTCCGGATTGTTTACTTGATCTAGATTTTCCCTTTTTCTTTAGGTGCGCCACGCAACCAACTAAAATGCCAACATAGTTCCCTGAACCTGAATTGAACCCGGAATTTGAACCGCGCAGAATTTATGTAATGTCGCTATTAAAAATCTATTCAATACAACTTTTTAGCCCAAACTATTCTAAAATACTATGACTAAATCTTATGGTAATTTTTGGTGTTACCAGAGGACAATCGCAACTCGAGCACACAAAAACGCGATACGTCATTTAAAGAAACTTTGAAATCACTAGAAAACCGCTAAAAAAGTCATAAAACTTTATTTTTGTCAAAATCGCGAAACCGGTAGCTGTCAAACCTGTAAAAAGTTCAAAAAAGACATTTGGGCTCGGAGTTTAAGGTGCGCGGTATGCATCTAATTAGAAACTAACGATGTATACGCCTATTTATGCGCTACGTATACACCTATTTACGGACTACCTATACACCTATTCACGCATTACTTATACACCTATTCACGCACTGCTTATACACCTATTTACGCACTACGTATACGCCTATTTACGCGCTGCGTTTACACCTGTGTACGCACTACTTATACACCTATTTACGCGCTACGTATGCACCTATTCAGGCACTACGTATATTCCTATTTACGCAGGGAAACTGTGGCAAAGAGAGGTGGTGGCAGGTGTTCATAGGTGTATACGTACAACTCGCTTAAATAACGCACGACCAGCAAATCGGACTCCTTCACATAGAGCAGCATCTCAAAAAAACTCCCAAATCAATCGATCAAATAATTAATGCAACATAGTCCGATGAAATCGATAAATTGAGTGGCAATGTGAAGAGCCCACGTGTCCCAATGACTGCGGCTCCGAATGAAAAGAGCCGAGGGTTTTCAGAGGGAATGCCGATTTGTCTGCAGGCCCTCCTGGGGCCCGGGGACCCATTGATCAGGCGTGTACGGTCGGGAGGGGAAGGGGAGCTCCCGAGCGAGTTGCGAGCCAGAACAAAAGAGCACGACAGAAAGGAGATTGTGAAGGGAAAAGCATGGATCGAAGGTGGATGGTGGGGGTAAGGAGGAGGGGAAGGCGATGCTCCCCCCTCTGAATGGGCCCCCCTGATTAATGGACAGCAGCCGCTCGCTGGTCCACCGCCAGTTCGGATGGTCTCTCGCTCAATCCGGAGGACGGTTTTTGTCGCCCTCAGCAAGTCCTTATATGAGGAGCGGGATTGGTGGGGAGCAAGAGCTGATCGAAAATTATCTGTTAATTCCGGTTGGTAAATTAGCTATTCGACAATATTTTGTTCGAAAGCTCAAATTTCCGAGCTCTGCCTCTAGGCGATTCCACATGCAAATTTTTGTCGGTTTTTAGGGAAGTGAAGCCCAGCGGGCTGAGCAAGCCAAGAAAAAAAGCCGTTTTTCTTTTCTTAAATAATTTAGCATTTTTTGGTATGAAGCTCCTTACACACAAAAAAACACGGTTTTTCAACGTTTCAGCGTTAAAAAGGCAAATAGCATACGTAGGTCGCATAAATCAACGTTTTTCACGCCTAGAAAACCCGAGCTTTCGATTGATACCTAACTCTAAAAAATCACTTCCAACTGCTCACGGCTATTAAAAGATTTCCAGCTACGGGCCTACGGTAATGGTTGCTTAACGGGGGTAAAACGGTGGTGGAAAGAACTTTTCCTCTTATAGAGCCTCCTTATAGCCTTTTCAAGGATGCCACCGGTTAGACGATCGAAAATTATACTTAAACTACTAATCTCAATTCGAAATCCCATTATTTAAAATTGTTTCTTTATTATTCAAAAAGTCTAATTAACTCACGTTGTAAATAAGTCATTCCGGGCTAAAATTCAACTTTTAGTATAATTTCTACGCCTTATATAGCTGCGTAACTTTTAGAAATCTGAATATTGTTCCCACCCCCGTTATCCCCCCCCGTTCAGCAACCTTTACCCGATCCTACATCGCGCGTCTAGCAAAAGGCCAAGTCACCAATTTGAGGAATGCTCTATTCCCCCCTCTTTGTAGGCGGGCATCAACTCCTCCGAATCGGCACTTTTCGTAGCCATAGACAGACAGCCTGTATATTTAGGGGGGTTTACTGAGTGGGCGGAGAATTCGTCGACAAGAAGAGGTAAGGTAAGCTTCTTGCCAAACAGTGCTGGTTACCTGCCCAGGAATTTCTGCCACGGCTTCGCACAGGTTTTCCCATAGGGCCGGGGTGATTGTTAAAAGAGCTGAAGGGAGATTTTAAGCTTAATGTAACTTTAACTTTCCGTAATTTTTTAGCTAGCCAGGCGCTCAGGAAAGCTTAAAAAACAATGTGCTCATGAAGTCGTCATGAGTCAGATAAGTGTGGTCACAAAACCCACCTGTACGTGACATCGACGTTACACTATAACATGATGAAACAAAATAAACCCAAAATAAAAGTCTGATTCCCAAAATTGGATCTGAGGTCTATCAGACCCTAAATAACACGAATCCTGAGTTATAGCCCCATTGCTACAGTAATTCTCGAGTTATATCGCAATAACTGTTTTTTCCGGAATTCTACATAATTGTTCATCTATCTTTTTGGGCTTTACATCGAGTTACATCGACTTCCGACTGCGAATCCCTAATTTCGCTTCCCCCTGTAAATTTTCACTGTAAAAATTGTTTAAATCGACGTTTAATTGATCAATTTTCATCAAGAAAAATTTCTTCAGGTAAAGAAGGTTTGGCGCATCATTTTCACTTAATATTTAGGGAATCGTATCTGAGGCCAACTCTATCAAAATTGAAAAATTAAGTTTATTTTGCTATGACTCGAGAGCTACTGTATTGACCGCGCTTTAGATCCGAAGCGTTCTGATTCAGGGTCAGCTACACGTCTGGTCCAATTTTAGGACCTTTCAGATGAAAGGTGGCGAAATTCTGGAGCGGTCTTCTTTTGAGACACCCTGTCGTATGATTTGATCCTATCACTCTAGAAATTCTCCGGTATTGAACGAGACTGCGAGACTACGACCACTACGTTAAAAACAAATCTTTGAAAAAAATTTAACTAAAAAATGTCGATTTGCTACGTGCAGTAAATCGATGGGCAGAGACAGAAGCTGGCCAGCCGGGGGGTTGGTTTGTATGCCTTTGGGCCTAACCCCTGTCTTCCCCCGTTTCATCTCCCCATACCACCACCACCAACCATGAAATGTTGTTCTCCACCGTAGTAGATGAGCGCACATTTATTTATTGAAATCTGGGGCAAAGAGCATGAAATAAACAAGAGCATGAGATAAATTAAGGTATATGTATACAATCATCGTCCGCTGTTGAGGTAGTCGACGTACATCGCTGCATCAGTCTGGGGCTGGGGCTGTGGAGCTGGTGGAGGGGAGAGACCCTGGGAGCTATAGTTTGTATTAAAATTATAGGAATTTTGGAATATACACAATTAATGCCAAATTTTATGAATTATATCCCATTTTCAACTTTCATTAAATCTTCGGTAAACTCACCGGCATTGGCTTCGGCGGCGGCGTGGCCCAGGCTTTCCTCCCCGTTGAAGCAACTTCACCCACTCGACCAAGAAGCCAAAATGTCTCCATGACTCCCTTCCCTTTAATGATCACTTCACCGCGACTCTCCGTCACGTATCCACCGTAATTTGTTACGGCTGCCAACGCCTCAGGTGATAGATGGATCATGGCAGCTGAGAATTAAGGTTAAAAAGTTATTAAGTAATAAATAGTAATGATAATATAATAATAAATATTAATAAGAAGGTCGGTAATCACCTTTTCCGTTACTTTCCATTCGACTTGCTGTGTTTACGGCATCGCCAAAAAGACAGTACCTCGGCATTGTCAGGCCAACAACACCAGCCACACAAGGGCCTGAAAATAGAGATATTATAGTCGAGGTATCCTTTAATACATTAAATTAGATTCAAAGTAGTAAGTGGTAAGTTAACTGACCTGTGTGAACACCGACACGAATCTGAACTGTCACGTCCGGCAAGTGGGCCACACGAAAACCTCGTAGCTCTGAATTCAGTTCAAGTGACATGTCGCAAATTTCCTAAAATTCTAAATAAACTTTGTGCCCTTGATTTATACCTTAATATGCCGCTTTCCGTTACGATGGGGTAGCCCTGATACACATAAATAGCCATCCCCAATTGTCTCCACCTAAATGCCGCTAATTAGCGGAATTGGCTAAAAAGGTACCTTATAAGCATCGTGCTTTTCAATAATGCCATCGAAAATAGTGTAAAGACCGTTGAGCAGATTGACGACCTTAATGACGAGCTATTTGATGGTTTTGCTGCTATACCTGAAGCGGAGTACATCGCGATGCTATCGACGTGAAGCCAACGACGTCAGAAAAGAATATTGTAACGCTTTCAAAGCCCTCCGGATCGATTGGTTGACCGAGTTTTAACTTGTCCGCAACTTGCCTAAAAAGTATCAAAATTAAATATTTTATAGCTACAAGAAACGTTTAAAAAGCGGAAGCAAAAATATCAACAAACTTTGGGAGCATTCGATAAAGCAGCAAGTCGCTTTTCTTCTTTTCATCGATCAATTCCTTAGTCCGAGAATCGACTTCACGCTCGAGACTCTCTGCATGCTCCTCCAGCGTTTGTAAGACATGATCCATCAAGTTTTTTTGCCTATGATATCATCTTGATTTTTCTAGGTTCTTTTGCATCATCGGGGGGGGGAGAAAATTTTTTCGTAGGAACCAATTTTTTAAATACAAATAGCGGAAGTCTTTCTAAGCTGTTTTTTACTATTCCTAAACGTAGATGCTTCACAAATTTTTATTAAAAATAGAAAAATAAACGAATTTTCGACCAAAAATTACGGTTTTGAAAAATGTTTTCACTTTAAGATAGTTTTTCTAGTGAAAATATGGTTATGTTTTACCATAAATTTTATGGAAATACTTTCTATTAAATTACTAGCATTCCTAGACCAATGTCTAAAAAAATTGTCCGCCCCCCCCATAATGCGAAAGAACCCCAACACTATACTCACTTCCCATTATGCATATTCCTCATCATTGTTCTGACAATATTAATGTCCGGCCGCTTTCCGGGGATCTCATCCCAGCAATCTTTTATGAGCAACAGCTAAACTTATGCATTATTATAATTTAAAAATATTTAAGTTACGATAGATTGGCTGATCTCAACTCCATCCGGGGGAAATAATGACGGGCGCATAGGTGGGGACAGCCCTTTCGAAACCATATGCACCACTTCTAAAAACAGAGAAAAGCAGAGTTTTAGAAAAGTTGTCGATTGTCTACCTTCAGCCGTTTCAACGCGGTTCTCCAAATTCCAGGGTGATGTCTTGCCGACGAGTTCAGAGGCGATGATCGACATCGAGTAGATGTCACCAGCTTGTGAGCCGATTACAGAGAAATCTCTTAAATGTTCCGGAGCAGTCCAGAGCATTTCTGAAATACTTGATTTAGGATTTTCTATTATAATAAAATAAAGTCTTAATGTCGAAAATGATAATCCCGAACTTCCTAACGTCGAAATTTCATAATTCGAAATCCATCGTGTCCACATTTTTTGTATACGATTCGGGAAATTCGGGATTTTCCGGGAAATTCGTTTATGTAAATTTTGACATTCTGAATCTCGGCCTTAGGAAATTCGGTATTTTTAATACCAACGTTATGAAATATCGACAGTGGGATTTTTGAGATTTTGAACCTAATCCCAATTTTCGTAAAGACCGTCAATCTCATACCTTCACGCTTTACATTTGCATTTGTCCGAAGAGACGACAGCCCATATTGAGAAATTTTCAACTGCCAACGGTCATCTAAATGACTTTTAACAAAATTCCTTTCTCCCCTACCAAGCAGGCAACTCCGCGATGTTAATTGACCGTGACATTTCAGGAAGGAATTGTGAATAAAGTAAAGCCCCTGGAAATTCAAAAACTTTGTAGAGTTTTACGACGAGGCAAACATTAACGATATCCATGATGAGGGAATAGATGAAAAATCCATCAAGCGGCATGCTGCCCCTCGTAATCACATCCGTCAGACTGCCACGATGACAGAAACGCCATAAGGAATAGATTTTTGGACCATCGATGGATAGACCGATGAAACGATTCAAGTTGTCTTGTTCGATGCTACGCATCTGAAATTAATGATGGCTTAGTATAGAAATATAAACAAATAAAGTGTGGTTCATTTTGAAACGCCTTGGACACTCAAAAACGTCTCTTTTCTAAAGCGCTCTCACCCACCAAACGAAATTCATGTGCATCTTCCTCGTCAAACCTGACGACAATATCATGTGGTAACCCAAGAATGGGCTCCTTTTGATAGATAAAGTACACTTGATTCCCTTTTACGGACATCTAAATGGATTTGACCCAGAAATACCAATTTTTCTACCACCTTCGATTCCATCGACAATTTGTTCGACCATTCGCTTTTCGACCCCGATTTGTCGGATTGGAGTGACATTTGCGACTGCGAATCGGCTTTGCTCTGTAATGAACATGAGAAGTCGATTTGTAAAATATAGTAATTACCGTAGCGTTGCGGACTTCGGTCAATTCAAGGTACGGTACTCTCCACATGCTGTTTAGGCGGCGTTTCTCATCCATGCGAGCCCTAAAAGCTTTTGATAGCTTGGCCTTGAGGTATCCTAAAGGTTGTCCAGTAATTAGGATACCTTAAGGCCAAAATGACGCCGAAGATGGCACAGCAAATAGTGATCAGAACCGCGACAATGCCGACGATAAACCAGCCGAGGTAGTCGACAAAAATATTTGCAGCGCAGTTCTAAAAAATATTTTTTTCTATGTTGTTTATTTATTAAAAATTATTTTAGATCCATTTAAGTTTCAGAGATAACTACCGTACCCTGCCACTCAGCGAGCATGTTGCCTGATCGTCCGGAACCCCTTGAGAATAGAACGCAAATATCGATTCGGTGTTCGGCACAATTCGAGTGATGTTCTGCAGCGAAGGTATAATTTTCGTTAACATTCATCGTCAACTTACAGGGCTAATACCATTAATTAACTCGATCTGCCAAAATATGCCCGTTTCATAGGCCTGTGTCAAGGCTTCAAGCACAAATTTCGGCTGAACACCGCCATTTGAAGCAACGGTGATGTTTCCATTGATTCCTAGGTTATAAAATGGTCTTAAATATTTAATATATATTTTAAAGATTACTAAATAAAACATTAATTAAACACTAAAATCTAAAATAATACCTTCATATGTTCCAGCAGCGTTGATCAAGAGGGCTGTCCCATTGTTTAATGCATCTTCACTTTGGCCCAAACTTTTATTTAATGCTTTTGCATAGATATAAAAAGCATCATGTAGATGTCCAGCGCCGGTGGACACCTTAATAATGACTTAATATTTTTTAGATATTTCTATAAATTCGTATTTATGCATTTTAAGCTATATGCTTACCGTAAGGTTGTTGCAAGTCGTACAATAAAACGGAGCCAGTGGCATTTTCGACATTACTTGCTTTCCAAATTCATCATAATCATCGCCCTGTGCCGTGGCCTCGGTGAATAACTGCAAAGAATTCTTAAGCCCAAGCCGAAGCCAAGTCTAAGCCTAACCCTAAGCCAAGCCTAATCCTAAGCGCGCTTCTCAGCTTTCTCTTCCTTTAAATTACTATCTCATCATTCCGCTGTAGACCATAATAACAGTCTATCTCCGTAAATACCCGGATCAACTGCCGGGAGATCCCGGCCGAAGCCCTACTCCATCTAATAACCGGCCAAAATGAATATTCGCCGAATATTCCAGATTGACGCTGATGAAAAGTAATAACAAATACCAGGGTCCTTGTAAAAGCCTGCTTTGCCGTTTCATCACGTCCATCTGCCGGGCTGGATTGCCAGACGTTGAGGGCGGTACCGTCTGTTTGTCTGGTGCCATCATCTAAAAAAAATCATAAAAGCTAAATTTCAAATCCACGGTTTCTCTATAATTCCTAGAAACAGACAATAATTTTGTGTATTTCCTCTATAAACTAAATAGGTTCTTTTGCATTATCGGGGGGTGGGGGAAGCCGAAATGGCAGAACAAAATCTCGACTTTTTCAAAATTTTTGCAGGTTTTTAGGTAGTTTTTCAGGCAACCTATGTATTTATTTCCTTACGATACCTCTAAAAGACGTTTTTTTAAGTTACTAGGCATTTCTAGGCTTCTACAAAAACTTTCGCCCTTTCCCCCCGATAATGCGAAAGTACCACTAAATACAACACTAACAACATTTTAGTGCTTTATTCCTTTTACCAATTAATAGAATAGACAATATACCGGCATACCTTCTTTCCCTAAATAACGCAAAAATAGATATACCTCCCTGACTCGGGTTTTGCTTCAGACATACCGTATGCCAGAGCGGTGATCGACGGAAATACCCAAACATAATCTTCGGTTGTCATCCCGGCATCAGATGCGGCGAGCATCAACTTTCTCGACAATCCATACCCGGAGGCTACACACGCCACAATGACTGAAATAACAAAATTAAGTAATAAAGCTGTTGCTCCCTACTTCGAGCACGAGAATCGATTTCTTGGAGGGCCGCTTGCAATGTTGCGTTTGTGAAATCTTTCAGTTCAGTGGTGTAGGTGGTGATTACCGTATTTCCGAGCTCCGTGACCGCGTCCTATAGAAAAATATTTGCTTATTTTTATTGCATAATATAAAACATTAACGCTAAAACCTAACCTGCAGATCTGCCTTGAAAAATGGACACTGCCCCTCATCGTTAATCGAGGAATAAATAAAGGCAAATTCCTTCCAGCCCAATTCTCGAAAAGTAGATAGCATCGCGATGGAGAGGCTGAATTCGATTTATAATGTATAAACTTTAAAATCCAAATAAAAATAGAATTTTGTATCCGAAAACCTTACTGGAACCAATTCGGAACCAAGATGATTGTAGAGGGGAATCGAGCCACATTCGCCAGGTCAGATGAGGTGGTCAGACCCCAAGCAAAAACTGGGGTATCGTAGTAAGACGCCAATACCGCAGTGGCGATCGCTGCTGGAAAAACTTTTTTGAAAATACTTTGTAATTTTCCCAACGATCATTGCAGGTCGGGCCAATGATGATATTGGCGCCGCGGTTTAAAATCATATCAACAGCCAGTCCGACGGCTTCCGCTTCAACGCAATTATCAAAATCAATTACATAACTGAAAAAATTATTTTAAATTGTCTCTAGCTGTGGCAAATTATACTTAAAATCATATCCATCAAGCAGCCGCTCTTTCCGGATCCGTTCCTGCGCCACAATAATCGCCCCAGCACTCGTCTCGTACCCCACTTCATACTGTAGATCACGAATTCCACGCACAAACATTAGTCCCACAGTAATCACCGGCCTGCCAGACTAAAATCACCTCGCTCTTCTACCTCGCTTAATAAAACCATACCGTCCCGGTGACTGGCAATACGGTAGTGCTGGCGATCTGCGATGATACAACATCTAATAGAAAATATAGTAATCCGGGGAGTAGTATTCCTCTAAAGGGCACCATCATAGAATGGTAAATCCCGGAAGCGACAGCCTCTATATAGGCCTCCTATGCCCGGGCACCTGACGAAACCGAAGAAGCCCCACCGGGGTTACCGTAGACGGGGGCGAACTAATAATGCCGAGAAATTGGCCATGCGCCCATTTGGTGCGACGGGTTCGGATCAAAAAGGAAAGGTAGAAGCACAGAGATGAAAAAGTAAAGATGTAATACGATGAGACTACGACAAAATGAGGTCATCAGATTATCAGATTGCGCTATTTCCAGGGTGTCGTCGTCTTCCGGGGAGATATACGCGGATCGTCGGGGGGTAATCCGTTTTGGCGAAAGAAGCGCTGTCGAAGTGAATTTGGTCTCGTCGGTTTTATCGGCTTATGCTTAGGCTTGGGCCTGGGCTTAGGCTTAGGCTAGAACTTATGCTCAGGCTTGAGTCTAGGCGTGCGTGATGCTTAGGCGTGGGCTCAGGCTCACGCTTAGGCTCAGACTTAGACTTCGACATGGGCTTAGGCTTAGGCATTGCTCCATGCATCGTTCTCATTGCATAGAACCGCTTCGCGGCTGTTTCCTAACTCAAAAGCTTCGTCGGGAGTTTCGTTCAAAGTCTAAATTTTAATAAAACCTGTGAAGCTTTTGGGTCTATTAATTCCACTAGGCACCTAATTACACATACCTTTAACTGCCAATTATACGTTTAAATTCTTCTCTTTCCAAATACGACTGAAACATAACCTTCCCTTAATTACAAAAAAATGCTAATTGAACCGCGTGTCGTTCATCTTCAGGAAGGTTAGGAACTGACAGGCATGATGATCGATCAACACATTTGAGAGGAGAGAGGAAGTGAGAGTGATCGAAGGGAAATATTGTCTCGATACCCGAACGAGTTTTCGACCTTTCCCTTCAACCTCACTTTCTCACCGGTCATTCTCCTCGCTCCCGATTTCTTTGGCCATTTTTAGTACAACGATTCGTGGAAACGGCTCTTAAACCATAGTTAACCATATTTTGAATAGTTTAAATAGCTTTTCAAGTTCATATCTCATCAAAATATCGTAGTAGTGGTAACCGGAAATTTACATATCTTGGTCAAAAATTAATATTTCCTCCTTTGAGTTTACTTCCCCTTAACCCTGGTTAATATATCTCAAACAATGACATCTACGACGTTTCCTTGAGCTTTGCCAAGCGCGCGCTACGCGCCGAGCGCGAAAGGGGGGTAGATCAACGGCGATTCGACGAATAGACTCTGCGAACCGACGACAGACCCCCGGCTTATCACCACATCGATCCCTATCCATCCGCCTTTCCTTTTTTCTTTCTGGTTTCGCATCAATCTTCCCCGACAAACTTGCCGGTCCACAATTTAACTTTAGGGTTTTCTAATCTGATTTTGATATCTTAACATTTAAGGTAAATTTCATAGATGAGCAGCAATGTGCGAACTGATTGTTTCTTCAACCTTAGCACCGAGGAGCGTATCGACCTATTTCGGGTATGTTACAGTCTCAACGGTTACTTCCAAAATGTCGAAAATCATAATATCGACATCATGACGTCGAAATTTACATAAGCTAATTTTCCGAAAAAATCCGAATGCTATGCAAAACACTGTCGACATCCTGAACTTCGGCATTCTGAATTTCGACGTTTTGACAGCGAATACAGTTGATTTTGAACCAATATCTTACCTTTAGCGACGACGCAGCGTACTTCTAGACTCGGTCTACCGCTTCTATTATGGTAAATTAATGCTACCCATGGCTCTTCTTGGTGCAGTGCTGACACTTTGCTTTCTAGGTGAGACTCCATTTAAAAATTTCCAAAATATGAATGAGTTCCAGTTTCCTCATACCGAGCGATCCGCTCTCGGCGAGTCTCTCGTAAATGCTATATGTTGCTCTTCAACCGTACCCTCGGTGACTTATTATCGTGTATTGTCGCGTTGACGACCGTCGGCTACGTCCTTTTCTCACAGGAAGTCAAGTGAGTATCCCTTCATATTACTTCAATTAAATGGATCCTTTAGTCGCGATGTCGTCTTCCTGTTCGAATCCTTTTTCATTGGATCATTTTGGTCCGCGATGGTGTCTTATACATCGCTGTCTTTACTGAAGCTCTATGCCGTTTGGAAACCACTTGAATACCGTAGAATGGTGACGATGCGGCGATGTATATATTTAGTAGTATTCAGGTATATCGTTGATTTTTCGCATGTCAATGATTAAAATCATATTGACTGCGGTACTAAACTGTTAGCGGGGGGAACCAATTTTTGTCTTTCTAACAATTTGATTGCTAGAAACTTACAAAAATATTTAAAGCATTTTTGAAAATACGCGATTTTTTCCGCTTTTTCGTCATTTTTCATACATTTGTTCAAAAAGTCAAAAACTTTCGAAAATTTGTATACGTTTTATGAGCTTTTTTTATCTAAAAACTGTGTCAACTTTATAAATGGTTGATATTTTATTATAGAGCCGTGCAGGAGTACTCGGAACCCCCCCCCCCCGTTAACAATCCAGTACCTTTGCTCGACTAAAAAGATCCCTTTGCAGTTGGCTGATATTCATGATGATATCTGCTGTAACGATGGGAGTGACGGCTCTGGTGAAGGTGCCAGTTCTGAATGAGTGGAGTGGGTCTGTGGCCACTCGCCTCATACACGAACCCATGATTACAGGTGTAAAATGGAGACCTGTCTACGGCATATGTATCGCGTGCGCAATTTTCTTACTGTATGCATCTACTTTTTCACCATACTCGTCTTTATCATCACCGGTTAGTTTGATTTGGCTTGATTTTCGATATTTTGAAAATTTCATTCGATCAGCGCCGAAAATTATACTAACGGATGGCTTATAATGTTTTAAAACCCACAAAAACAATGGTTATGACGAAACCCCACTATACTGAAACGCCCCCCCTATCAGATATGTACCAAAATTCACTTATTTTTTTAGTGCTTTTGATTCGAAGGGCCCAAGCCTTTTCCGATTCCTTCCGCTCAAGAGAGTCAACCTCATCAGATGGCAGAAAACCAAGAAGCGGTTTCGCCAGAGCGAGGTATCGAAACTCAACTAAACAAATGACCCTAAAATTTTTAGATTCCCGCTATGGAAGCTCGGCTTGAACATCCTCACCTTTTCCGTCTTATATGTATTCTATGTTGTCTGGTAGGTATCGTAAACTTGGCGAAAAACTACGTTGAGCTTCAGGTGTGTCGGCCTGGTGCTCAACACCGACCAGTGCTACTTTCAAAGGAATTACGCTGAAATGATGCGAATTTTGGGATGTGTCCGGTAGGGCTGAAAACCTCTAATTGTAAGTTTAATGTTTTTAGTGTCACTTTGGTGCTGAGGATTTGCCTTGATCCGATTCTTTCGTTTTTCACGGATTTCCAGGTATGTGCCTTTTAGCGGATTTAAATTGTTGGTACTGGACTGTTAGCGGGGGGGGTGTCTTGGACCAGATGTCCAAGTAATATCGTTATCAGGAAATATAAATAAATTTTAGTTTTTTCCAGTTTTTACATAAAAATACTCGTAAAATAAATATAAACAAAAATGTAACATTTCTAAAAATTTACGAATTTTAAAAATTTTTGTTAAATTTTTCGATAAGGTTCCAGCAAACAAAAACTACCAAAAACACTATAAAATACATCATATATTTCCAATAGGCGGACATCCCAAATTAGTCCCCCCCGCTAACAGTCCAGTACCCGATTTTTATCCCAATTACAGCTACGGCGCTGCTTCCTACAAATGATCGGTGTAAAACACAAAATTTCGTTCACGACCCCGTCCGCGATAATGAAAAAAGACATGCTGACCGACGAGCAAACAGACGCCACCGAAAATTCAGGTAATATTACATCCTAATTATTGCACTATCTTAGCTTTATCCACCGATTTTCTTTTAGACGCTCGCATGTCTACAAAGCGACTATCACGAACAACTTCGGCCACGCTACCCACTAGTAGCTCGGTGAAAACAATTTGCTAAGAGCATTCAGGTTGCAACCACGGGTATTGATACCAATAAATTTTTATTATATCGCAAAAACAAGGCACTTTGTGCAAGAGGAAGACATACACCACAATAACCCGTAAAAAATTTGGAATTTTGAGGAGTTTGTAAAAAAATAACAAATTATGGAAAAACAAATCAGCCAAAAGATGTGAAATTATTTAGCTGTATCGACGTCCGCCGCGGCTTGGCGAGCGCTTGTTGTAGTAGTGGTAGCCTCGGTGACGGCTGTCGTGCCTAAATTTTAATATCAAACCATAAAAACAAATCTATACCGGCCCTGACGGTACACTTCCGGGCTACGACGGTCGACTCGACGACGCAGCGGCTCCGCCGGAGCGATGAAGCAAGGGATGACCTCCCTAAAAAATGTATCATTTTTAAAAATTTTGAAGCTGCTTGAATTTATTAAATGATTCGAAATTTAAAACATACTCCGGCTTTGGAAGCTCTTTCTTCTCCATCGGCTTCGGCGTCGCTCCAGTTTTGTGGTCGTCTCGGGCCTTCGGATTTTCCTCGACCGCTTTTTCATTCTTCTCAGACTTTTCCGTCTGGTTTTGTTTGGCAGCGTCAACATTTTCCGACTCGCCCAACATGGCCAGCGAAAACTGATGCAACTTCTCGCGGTCGATCGCCCGGAATCTAATTCGCTTCAGGCCGACAACTTCACCGTCCATCGGTCCCACTTGACAATAGTAGATCGGCGTTTCGGCGATGTCCGCATCAAACGAAAACATGTTCGTCGGAGATCTGAAATTATAAAATAAATATGCGATGGCATTCTGTTTGGCAGAGGCTCGAAAAGAATCCATTGGCAGTAGCAAAATAGCATTTTTGAAAGCGCGTTTTATGAGGATGAAAGAGTTTTTCAAAATCGATTCAGAGATACTAAACTAACGAAATTCCGCTACAAGGCATTCCGTTGCACGATCTGAAATGGCAGCGTAATTTGTTGCGTTCTGGACTGTTAGGGGAAAGGGGGGGGGGGATTTTGAACAGGGGCATCAATTTTTGTTTTTCGCTCTTTGCCTACCTATTGATGACACATAGGGCATGTTTATAATGTTTTTCGTAGCTTTTGATTGCTAGAAAATTACAAAACATATTTTAAACACTTTGAAAATGCGAAAATATTGACCTTTTTTTGCTCATTTCATACATTTCCGATCAGTGTTTTCGAAAAATGCTATCGGTTTTAGGAGATTTTTATATCTAAAAAATGTGTAAATGATATAAAAATGATTTATATTTGGTTATAGGACCGTATAGGATAACTGGGAAAATTACTTTCCTTGCAGTTACATTGAATCTAGTCGGATTCTATGAGGTGATCCGCTTACTTTGTCTGCTCACCAACAACAGCAACCCCAGGCGCGTTATGCTCGCTTTCTGGTGGCGAAATTTCAGAGGTGGATTGTGCACACTGCACATTGTCTGTTCTGAAACCGCATCGTATCAAAACCGTCCAATTTTGGTCGATTTTTGCTTTTAAAGATTGTTTAATAACACCAACTCGGATGGAGTACGGCTACCCTCTGAGGAGACGTCAGACGAATTCCCCGATTCTTCGAGTTGTCCAAGGTTAATTTCCCTGAAAATGTGGATTGAATGTACTCCACGTATACGTACCTGCAAATTATATCGCGCTCTCTGATGCGCAGTTCATCAATATCTTTGTTCAAACTTGCAATAACATCCATGTGAAATTCGCGTCTTTTAATCTAAACCGATGCTAGTCAACAAATTATGTGCTTTACCAAATCTTCTCGGCGTAAATCGTACGGAGTTGGGGCGGGCGTGCCAAGACCAGCTTCATTTCTGTAGTTTCCGTTTGACTTACGTTTTTTGAATAAAGCCTTGAGCTTGTAACGATTAATTGTGTTCCTAATTCTTAGAAAATCTGAAAATATTGCTTACCGTTGAGAAACGTTTTCGATCGGTCTTCGATTTAATGTATGAAGTGACGGTATTAAAGGTAGATCGGAAGTTGATGGCACCGATTGCTGAAAATTCATGTTGCCTATAAGCCGCCCTTTAGTGACGTAATTGTAAACATCAGACATACCCCGTCGAAAACCGGCATTATTGACGGCTGTCCTGCAACTGGTGGTTGATCGGGTGTTTCCGGTCCACTACCCACCAAGGCTCGTATTTTATGTAAGCTGTAATGAGGAAAATAACCACCGGAATATCAACCCACATATCCTGAGACCGGTCCGGCTCAGCAGTCGACGGCGTGTTGCCGGAAATCACCCATCGTTGCAATCGTTCTAATCTGAATAGACTAGCTAATGCAAGCTAATTATTTTCTTACGCGCTGGATGCGGTTCCAGAGTACGAAGCATTCCGCTCCCGTTCGGGGCTAAGTGGCTCTTCGATAAAAACGGAACGAGTTGGCCAATTGCGGGTATCCTATTTGAAATAGTTGTGAATGCTTCGCAAACGTTACCTACCCGAATACTTCCATCAGAATCGGATTCACTTGAAGTATCGCTTTCATCGTCGCTAATCTTTTCGAAATTAAGTGGGGTGAATTTGCCGCGCTTATTTTCGGTTCTCCGTCGTGGCGACTTCAACTTTTTTGGTTCTGGACTACTAGTTTTCCGTCTTCTTCTATGTATGTCAGGCAACCGTGATTGGTTGGTAGCGACGTTTTCTCTTGGGGCCGATTTTTCTGCAAGGGAGACCCTTGAACGGACTTCGGCTTTGGAAGGCTTCGAACGTAATGTTTTTCTCGACTTTTTGCAAGTTTCATTCTCCAGTTCCAAGCTCACGTCGTACAATTCGTCTTCAGATGACTCAATTTCACCTTCCTCTAGATCGGGCTGCAAGTTTTGGATCTAGATTTGCGTATCTCAAACACCGAAATCCCCTGTAAGACTCTTAAACAAACCTTAGCTAATTCATTAGGCTCTGGTTGTCCTGTGCTCTCCATCTTAGGTTATAAGCGCGCCGCATCCAGAAATAAATAAGCATATGGGGAGGGGGTGCTTCTTTGAGTATTAGTGGGCGTAATCATTCCAAGGGCGCACATGCTATCGAACGCCAAAGCAGCGAGTCGTACACAACATTCCCCACTTGTAACTTGTTTGCAACAAAGTGGCCGCTCCTGTAGAACGAATGCGGTTGAAATTTATGGATCAAGTATCGAGGACTTTCAGTGGAATAAGCCATTTGAATTGGCATGTAAGGCGTTGACGCCCCGGTCAGTCCGAAATCTTTGCGTATTACAAAACCCAACGCGGTCTCATATCCCTACCACAAACAGAATTTTTAGGGTATTTTATTTCCAGACGTATCGCCAGTCATTGAGGAGCACAAACCAATCACCTTAAAGACGAAACTAATAATAAGCTTTGAGTAAAAGGCCTATGACTAGCCTATGCATGACGCATAGCGACGCGCGTCGCTGTAACCATCCGCAACTAGTCTTAGTTTTGCGCACCAGAAATCAAATTGTCACAACCAGACCTCGTAACCCTCAACAGCCATCATATAAATGATTATACGAAGCGCCTCCAATCCACGCAAATCTCGGCAATCGCAAACGCCCATCTTCACAAAACAAAAGTTCCTGAGCGTACTCATAGCCTTGACGCTCGCCCCGCGTCCATTGTAACAAAATTTTTATGCAGGTCAATACAAAAACAACAATTCATTCAACAAAAAAAATTTACTTCTTCTCGGCAGCCTTATCAGATTCGGACAACTTGCGAAGGGTTTCTTGTCGCTTAGTTTGGATGCGTTCAGTTCTTCTCTTCCTGGCCTCCTTGTTGCGGTCCCTCCTGGCTTGAGCTTGCTCACTAAAAAGAAAAATTAAATGAAAGCAAAATCCGGCATGAATTTAACTAGCAAGGACAATTAGAACGCGTAGCAGTCTCGTTTTAGATCCCGCCTAGAGAAAGGCTAAAGGAGCTTTTGATGTTGGGGGGGGTTGAGTCTTTGCGGCCGAAGCTAGGGCTAGGCTAAGTGTAAGCTAGGCCTAGACTAAACCAAGACCACGCCTAACCGAAGCCTAGGCAAAGAAACCAAGAAAAAGATGCCCACCCCGCCCCTCCCAACAACAATAGCTCCGGCTAAATCCTCGAAAGCGACCGCAGCTCGCTACTAGACATTAAAGGCAGGTTACTACAATTGTCACGACAGACACCCAATAAAGAAACTTACGCAAGTTGCTTAGAGCGCTTGTTCTCGACCTTCCGCTTGTGGATGAATTCAATAAGGTTCCTCTTGTTCTTGAAGGAGTTGCCCTTAGCCTTGAGGTACAGGTCGTGGTAGAGATGCTTGTCGAGCTTCTTGGCTTCACGGTAACGGCGCAGCAAATTTCGGAGCACGCGCATGCGTCGCATCCAAAGGACCTTCTCGGGCATACGGGCATTTTTCGTTCCTCGCCGCTTACCGAGACCGGTGTGGCGTCCCTAAGCAAGAAAAAGTTATAATATAAAGCCATCAAGTACCTTTCTTCTGGCCTCAGCGTAAACGCGAGCACGGAAGCGAGAGTGCACTGCTTCGGGCTTCTTGATGATCAGACCATCCTTCAGCAGCCGACGGATGTTTTGCCGAGAGTTGGCGTTGGAGATCTCGTGGATCTCGTTGGGGTCGAGCCAGACCTTGTTCTTGCCACATCCAAGGACTTCTGAGGCAAGGCGCTTCTGCAGTCGCAGATTACTGAAAAAAAAACAAATAAAAAAGCATACGCCGCTTAGATCACTTTTCTCAGCCCTAGTTTAGACTATAAACGGAAGCAATTTATACACAAATCTGACAAAAATGAAAACCAAGTCATAATGAATGCAATTATCATAAAAAACCAACCTCATCTTGCAGCTGCCTCCTAAAAGTAAAAATCGCGTGGTGCCGGAGCGGTAGGTGACTGGGGGGCACGGTAGGCCGCCGCCGGGCGTGCAGGGTGCGCGCTACGGGACCCTGGCGTGGAGAAAGGCTTGCTTTGAAGAAAACAAAAGTACGGAAAAGCATACAAATCAATTCTTGGCGAGATGAAAGTAAAAAGAAAAAAGTTTTTAGGTTCGTGAACAATAAGTAGATTAACAATAATATTGGATGAAATGGTTGCTGTTGGGCGTTCGTTTCCTTTTTAACCCTCCAATCTGGTCCAACATTGCACAACCGTCAGAAATATTCAGCTTTAGTAGAACGCAAATTTAGAGAAGATTAAGAAAGGAAGGGAAGAATAGTTTCTAGGTAATGGCGGAAGTTGATACATAATTTCAGTCTTTCTGAGGCGCATGGATCGATGTGCAAAAAGATAATTTCGGGCTTTGGCAAAACTAATCAATCTAACTAAGGAAGTAAATAATATTATAATACGAAGGACACTTCCGGATCGGTATAGAGCTTACATCGGTATTAGCGTCTTTCAGTTTGATTTAGTTTCAGGCTTCAGGTTGCAAGTTGTTCGGCGACTCGATGATCCCCGACGATGTTGATGAGCAACGTGCTTATAATCTGGCAGCTTTCGTCCCAGGGCTTTTTGAACAATCGTGTCTTTTGTTGATTTGATTAAGAAGTAGAAAAATACCATCCATAATATGTGGTCGAGCCCCATTACTGACTAGAATTAGCGGCGAAATAGGAATTCTTTTTGTAATTAGCGGCTTCATTTTCAAGATATAATTAGATTCTATCACCCCTGCTAAATTTCATCTCCGTTCACTTTCATGCTCCTTCCAACCTATTCTCATTACTGACATGCTGCTCAGTTTGTTTTTTCTCAAGGCACGCCGTGCCGCTCCGACTGCCGCTTGGGGTCCCCTTGGGAAGGCGCCAACCTAAATGCGCGCAAACATTGGAGCTAACAAACAGCTGATTGCACTCCGCGTGCGGTTTCGTTATAGCATTTACACCCGATAACACTTACTTTGCCGATGTTTTCAATTTCCTTTCTCTACTCTTGCGTGGTTTGTCCAAATCAATGTCATTTTAGTTATCAGATGCTCAGTCGAGATGAGCTTGATGGATGTCGTACAACATTACTCTCGCGTGTTTACTTGGAGTTCGTTCTTGAAGATGCTGCTTCACACAATCGTCGCGTCGTGCTTCGCTACAATGATCCCGTTGTTTTTGAGGTATTGTTGTCTTTTTTTGGAGACTGTTTATAGCGCTTACCTACGTTTTTTGCTGGATTTTACGGATTCTGTTCAATGGATATATTCTCCTTTAGATGGATGTACCTACCGACCTCCGTGGATCATAAACTACCTCTGAATATGGCATTCAAGACGTGTACAGGCGATCTTCATGGTGTATGCTCGTTCCCTACGGCCACACGAAGATATCCACCTGATACGATTTTTGCTGAGGGTGTCACCTATGATTTAATGCTGGAACTGCATTTCGATGGACAGACTGCCGATTTCTCAGAATTCTTTCAGGTGATGTTGTTGTTATATTTGCTGACAGAATGTTTTAGGTTGCCGTTCGTTTTCAAGATTCTGATGGCACGAACTTGCATGAATACACCAAGATTGTTTACCCCTTTAAACCGCGAGGGATTTTTTCCAAGGTTCGTTTTTACTATGAATTAATGAGATTTTTTAGGTTTTCAAGCTTTTCTTCTATCCGCTGTACTTCGTTGGGATGTTCGACGACAGTAGAACGGCTCATGTTCCGATAACATCTGGTGAGCCAGGCTTGATTTTTACATTTTTGCCGCAGGTCACGCTGAACTCGACGAGCTGTCATCCCAATTTGTAGTAGAAGTGCAGAATAGAGCTATTGTGGTAAGTGTTACTCTCACCAAACGGTTACCAGTTTTTAGTTAGAGTTCGCGAACCTCTACGTGAGTGCCAATTTCGGGCTAATACCGCGTATGATGTATTCCTGGCCCATTTCTTCATACCTTGCGCTCTACTTGATATGCTTTGGTTTATATTTTACGGTGAGCACGTTTTCTCTGAAAATAACTTTTTTGTAGAACATAGCTTTCTTCCATGGGCTCGGTTTGCTCTTCAGTAGCCCGGAGGGGACCGCCAAACGGAGGTGAGGTGTTTATATTCCGAAATACAATCGCAATAGACCTGAACAACGTTTGGAGGACGATGCCTTGGGGACTGAAGCCGAACATATGAAGGTGATTGTGATGAAAGATTTACAATTGTATGTTTTATTTTTCCAGGCTCGAATACGTCGCAATTCCGAAATGATTGAGGAAAGAACAAAGGGGCGCGCTGGCATACGAGGATTAAGGAAAATGAAGTGATCTGTGATTTTTCAGGTTTTTTTTAATTTGTGATAACGTGTGATGCCTTCAATAGGGTGATGAAAATAAATGTACAGATTCTAGCCTATCTACTATAACATGCAGCCTGGTCCCTTAGGTCCCACTTCGTATCAATAATATTTTGCATGCGATGGTAAAAAGGATGCATTTGTGTCGCGCGTGCTTTTCATCAGCGTTACAGTCCCTTGCTGCTTTGTTATTGATCCGGGCGGATATACTCTCACTATTGTTGTCATCCGGTCTTGTTAATTTGGCGAAAAGCTTGATACCTTATCATGCCCTGAGGCACAAGAGCGTAAGCTAGTGGGGCAGGACATCTGGCGCAGTATCTTGCCCCAACCCCATCCCGCCCCGAATACTACCACACTCTTCTTCCGTTCCCAATATTCGTAGGGTTCTTTTCTTGGCTGTCCTCCGTTGTTTTTTCTTGATTCAATTTCTGGTTCAGCACGTTCAATGGCGATATCATGATCGTCCGGGCAATCTCGTTTTGGGTTATTTTGTCAACGGGCTGCGCGAATCAGGTTTCTTTCTACCCAACTTTTTAGTAGCACATCCGGTACATTTGTATAGTGGCGTAGAAATTATTTTTAGATATGTCCCGGGTTTTGCGGCAAGGTCATCTTGGAACGCCATGATAATGGGACAAACATCTTATCTGAATGCCAGGTAAGCTAAATTGAATATCTTAAGCGTCTTTTTATAATTGGACTGATCGGCAATTCATGAAGCCGAATTTCAGGCGTGTCCGTGGGGATCTCGCGTCCAGATGTCGTTCACCGATACAGGACGCGTGACAACCTGTGAACCGTGCACGGAGGAATTGCCTCTTTATGACTGGCTATTCCTGCTCTTCGTGGCACTTGTACCGACGATCACAAATTCATTTTTCGTCCGATACTACGCGCTTTCCACGAGGTAGTGTTTTGGCTATCTTATTCAGGTTTATTCCGGTATGTGATAGGGCCATTCTGTATAGTAACTCAGAATGTCATTTTCAGCCAGCACAAAAATGAATTCCTTGAACATTTTTGCTGCCTCCTGGAGAGCTTTGTGGCCGCTTGCGCTGCTCTTCTGGTCATGGAACCGCGTGGATCGTTGAGGCTTTATGTAGGTCCATGACAATAACGATAAATAGAACCGGGTATCCATTTTGCAGAGTTGCAGCAAGTCGTTACTCCGTGAATGGTATCCGGCGCTCCACAACCCTCAAATTTTCTTTGGGCGAAAGTTACACTGCAGCTACGAGTTGGTGTATCCACTGTAAGTACTATTGGATCGCCATCAAGTTGATTTAGTTATTCGCTACCCTTCGTCTATCTACTCTTTTGCCTCATAACACTACTCGTCTTCCGCACGATCTTGTACTCTACAATTCGACGGAAGGACCGTTCGCGCAGAGCTTATTACGCTGCTTTGTACGCAATTCCGTTGATAGCGCTGGGACACGCACTCCTGGTAAGTGTTTGCAAAAGGAAATGATGTTTGAACTGATTTTGCTTTTTTATGGGCATGAATCATATTTTCAGGCAGGTCTCCTCTATTACCTCTTCGCATACGTGCTGATGTTATGGAGTATGGCTTCAAATGCGGTTCATCTGGCTTTAGAAGGCAACAAACCAATGAGGTGGGTTCAAAGCAAAGTGCAGAAACAAAAAGAAGAGGAATTTGAAAAAGAATACAACAAATTCAGAGTGTTGTTTAACGACCTTCTCCGTTGTGGCAAGCATTTGACGTTCCTCATCGTGAACATGTGCTTGCTGGCATTCGCCATTGTTACGATTGCGGTTGAGAGGTTGGTAACTAAATCATTTTAGTTAAAGAACGTTAATTTCAATATAATACCCATTATTTTAGAGCTGATGGATGGTCATTACTGCTGATCGCCTTGATACCAATGCCGGCATCTTTTTATTTACTAACAAGCTCATTGTCCCACCCATCTGCATTGGCTTTGACCTAGATCTACCAGCATTACTGCTTGTCATTTGCCTTGATGTTTTTACAGAAAATCACCATTACCGCAATGCTACGGGTGCTTTCTTCTCATCTGCCATCAAACAAAAAATAATGTGGAATTCCTAGGATATATTTTTTTTATTGGTTGTGAACCAAGCCATTATTTTAAATGCTCAAGATTACCAAAAATCGAGAAATTTAAAGCAGGATCATGAAACGATTTCGGTGGGGACGTGCTGATGACCTTGAGCTGATCGACTTTATATACCAGTAGGTTATTCGTGGCTATTTAGACCATGTGTTTTAGATCTCTAAAATGCTCTGACCCGAAGATAAGAGATGCTGCCAGGAAATGCAAGGGCAAGCAGATCTGGACCTTATTTGTCGCGAAATCGACACGTATACAGAATTGGGAAACGGCTCAATCTAGGTAATCCTACTAAATTTTCACGCTGATGCCCTGTTTTAGGTTTCGAAAGGGGATAATGCCGAATATTCAAGAATATGGGCTAAGTGAAGATAAGATGACGTATCTTTTGCTGAATTTGACGTTTCCTGTGACAATGGAACAGAAAGAAAGGTATGCTTCTAAAATAGTATAGTCTTATAGTCACCTAGGATCGAGAAGCTCTACAATTGCTCACTAAGCCTAAACGAGAACAAGGAAATAATGGATTGTATTACACTCATAGGTGAGTTTAACTTGCCTGGATTACTTGTATATAAATTACAGATAAGCCGGCAGGTGCTGCGGAGAAGACCCCGGAGAAAAGTCAAAATACCGATGTAGATTTTCCAATGACGGAGATACAGATTCCGAACGTCGATCTACCAAATGACGCGGAGAAGGAAAATTCTTGGGTGGAGGTATTTTTTATTATTTACTTATGCTTAATTGGCGGTTGTCAGTTTTAAAATAAGTTCGAGTAAGTAGCATTCATGTTCTTTATTGCAGGAGCCCGAAGACGCTTCTCAGATAGAGATGAACTCGTCTCAACTGAATACCACTTCCCAAAGTGTTGCCGTAACCGAGCTGGATATCGAGGTATCGCGACTGTTCGTTCAAAGATAATTTTTTTAGAATGAGTACGATTCCTTGGCACCTACAACATCCGAGGATTGGTATATGCCCGTCGCCGAGTTTGCCCGCTCAAGAAGGATGCAGACGCCGTTGAGCGCCAAGAGAGTAGCGCAGAAACGCCCGATCCTGACACTGAGCGCCGTTTCAACAGTTATGGTACCACCTACGCTAATACTCCCACCCACCTGCCCCTTGAAGGTAAGTGCGCTTTGAATCTATGAAATAAAGCTCGTAAGTTATTAACAAATCATGTACAAATTTTTTTACAGCTCGACCGATCAGAAACACAGGCTTGTACTGAGGAAAGAAGTGGACTTTCCGTGCAACCATCATTCTCCTACCAAAGCGAGCCAACAGATAAGCTCCAATTCTATATTCCCAAGCCGCTTGACGAAAACAAGGTAAAAAAAACTCTATACATCACCCATTTTAAACATTTTTATCAATTATTGCTATTTTTAGAGTAAATAGTTTTAAATAAGCCTAATTTACAGCACTGGCTTGATGAACCAACGCGTAAAGACGAGATGAAGAAATTGGCTGATACCTTACAATCTTCGGGCGCATACATTCTTGCTAAAGAAAGTATGCAGGTGGGCAACAGATAAAGCAACATTCCAATTCAATATAGTTGGTCACAGAATACGAGCACGAGGCTGCAGAAAGCAGTGACTGTTTATTGGCCTATTTTGCGGCGTTGGCGGCTACAAGGGATCATATTTTGGAAGAGATGACGATTAACGATCTGCTCGAGGCAGGGTTGGCTAACGAAGTGTGAGTTAACAATCAACAAAAAAAAATAGATTTATTTAGACACCAGAACCCATGTCACGAGCAACCAAATCCCATCAGCGGCCAGGAGTGGCATAAAGAATTTTCGTCGACAGAGCGAGCGAATTATATTCAGGAATGTATGGAGCTGATAAAAGACCTCCCACCGGTAAGATACTAATTCCAAAATAGACTTATAGTTTAGGCCGTTGCACAACACATGACGGCACTCACCATCGAATTGGAGGCTTCTTTATGTGAATCCGTCGCTAATAAGGTACTTTTTGTTAGCTGAGAAATTATAGCTTGGACCCAAGTTTCCGTAATAAATACAAAAAAAAATTTTCAGGAGGCATACTACGCGAATATTCAGCAATTGAAGGAGCTGCTTACAAGAAAGGCAGAACTATTTCCCGTTCAGTGAATAATCGACAGAATAAAGCGATTGATTTTACTGGATACACCGTATTTGGGTTTTATTGGCACCCGTTGTTACATTGAATCAGAATCGCTCTAGAATTTGAAGGACTTTATTAGTGTTTTTAAAGCGACAATTTGCGAAACCGTCAAAGAAACGAACATTTTGGAGGGATCCTACTAACATTTTTTCAGCATATATTTATGGCTGTCAATATAACTTCCATTTTTCTTCGTTGCATCAGCTGGCGATTAGAAACTTACTTAAATTACTTTTTCCAGGTAAGGTCGACCTGCTAGATGTGGAGTGCCGCCGTGCTTCTTGTCGTTATCCTGCCTGGCCGTTCTCTAGTACAAGCCTCTATTGGCGACTCACAGGTTCACACATTTTTTCCTTCCCTTTATTTATTCCCTTTTCAGTTTTCCTACCGGAAATGCCTATCGGAGTGTCGTGATCGTTATGACTGCGCTCCCGATTTTTCGAGTATTTCATGGGGTATTCAGCCGTGTTTTAGGTAAGCGTTACTATATTTTGATCTTTTTGTATTTTTTCCAGTTGCAAATATGATTGCATGTGGCTGACTGAAGAGGCTTTTCGAGCCGAACATGGCTTTACACCGCAATTTCACGGGAAATGGCCCTTTGCCGCGATACAGACAAGCTCTATTGCCATTCAGGTTGGTATTTCTTTGTGGAAAATGACCGCTATTTTAGGAGCCAGCCTCGGTTGTGTTTTCCTTATTGAACCTGGGCACTGTGCTGCTGTTTCACTATCGACTCGGCCCCTACTCAAATTTGCCGGACAAGTATCTTTGGCGAAGTTATTGTAAAGCTGGGATTGTTACATGGTAAATTGGCTCTAGCTTTTGCAATGGTTTTTAGGATTTCATCGACGGCTTTTCATTGCGTTGATTGTTGGCATACGGAAAGGCTCGATTATTTTTTCGGTACGTATTACTTTCTTTAAGTAAAACCAATTTTAGCATGCTTCTTAATCTTCGCTAGCTTTGTCGTGGCCGCAATCTTCACATTGCCAGAATTGTCGAGTGGGAGCTATGGGTCATTTTAGTAAGTGTTTATGTTTTTCTTTAATCTTTTCTTTAGTCGCTCTGCCCTAACATTCCTCTGTGCAATTTTGTGGGTTCATCACGTCTATGGCCTTTTGGTATTTTCAGGTTTATTTATCAGCCAGTTCTTTAGATCCACTTTGATTATGGCTACAATATGTTCGTCTGTATAATGGTATCTATCGCAACAACGGCTTTGTATACGCGATATTTTTTGGCGCGCTTTCGAAGTAATCAGAGGTAGTAATGCTTACTAACATTTTAAAATAGCTAATTTTTTAGGTTGACACGTGGTGATCAAATGTTATTGAAGGCGATGCTATTGTTGAACGGAAGCGTGCTGTTTGAGCTGTTCGACTTTGCACCTATATGGTAGAGAGCTTTATGGGACCAAGTTTAATTTCTTTTTAGGTGGACAATTGATGCGCACGCACTGTTTCACTTGGCAACCGTTCCGGTCCCGTTGATGATACACAAGGCATTGCGGTTATACGACAAGGAAAGATTTACGGCATAGAAAAATATATGAAGAATCAAGACTAACTTGTTTTGATGGAGCATTGCCTTTACATAATGCGAGGCACTTAATTATTACCTGTGGAATTTTCGAATAAAATGGTAAAAGGGTTTATTGACTTTTAATGTTCAAAGTTTCGCTCGATAATTGAAACGAGCCCGGTCGTGATATGTGTGATTTTTTTTCTACGGCTTAAGGTTGAATAAAGATGTACTTTCCCGAGTTCTCGGATTTGGAAAACATAGAATCTTTTTATCAGCCGATTTTGTTATACAAATTTGCGAGGCTCCTTCGGAGTTTTCATGGCATTGTGGCGGAAGAAAAAATGTTTGAGGATAGATTCGCTTGACCAGTCGGTCAATTAAACGGCAAAGCTTGAGCATTCCCAGGGAAATCCCGCAAATATCTGATTCAGAAGATCGAAAATGTCCAGAAAAGATTTACCTTTCATGCCTACTCTAAACTTTGCCCAGGGTTTCCCGTAATTCCGTATGAAGAGAGGCTAGCATTTTTTGAAATCCCCACCCTCGAAACACGCCGAAACCAAAATGACCTCGTCCTGTGCTATCGAATAATTTTCCAGCAGAGCTATCCAGTCAAATTTCTTAAACTTGCGACGCGACCTTCTAGGAGTTCCCACAGGTTCCAGCTCACTAGATTTAACAGCGTAGGAGATACCCCTAGGTCTATCTTTTCACGACGCATCATAAAACTATGGAATTCACTTCCGCCACCTCTCCTCTTGAACCCTCTGACCAGCGCGAAACGCTTTAGGAAAAGTCTTGAAACCCTTCCCCTAGCCCATAATCCCTCCTAAGCAAAAAACCTATTATCCCCGTCCCTCGTCTTTCACCCATGTTTTTTTTTTCACTTTACGTGTTTATCATTTTTTGCCTACGTTATATTACCCGGTTGAATAAACCATTCATATAAAACCGACGCTCGATTTCTCGACTAGGAACACGTCGCCCATATCAGGTGTGTGTCATGACGCCAAACCCCGCTTCGCCTGAACGGGTACTGGATTCTTAGCGGGGGTTAGCCCACGGAAGCTACGAGCGTTGATAAAATTTTATTTCTTCGAAAAATTACGATCCAGCAAGCACATAACACAAAGATTACACTAACAAAAATACGTTCACTTCCTTCTCAATCACCGTTTCGCGCCCTCTTCAGCTCATCCTTGTACCTAAAACAAGCTTGTTACAACCGGCAAAAATGAAGCTCACGCGTCGTGGAAGTTGAGCCGGTTGTGGGACACTTGTAGCTGACCCTCGAAGACGTTTTCTTCAATTTCAGTCTGGAGGTCCAGTTCACTCACCGGCTCTAAATGGAGGGTTAATATAAAATGCTAGAGCAGACGCACCAAATAGGTGCGTCTGCTCACCAGATAGGAGGCAGCCAGCTCGTTGTAGATCGTGATCCAATCCCCTTTTTCGTATCTAAAAGAGCCTGATTTCGAACAAGGCCACAAAACATACTCTTTCAGTTCGCAGATTTCGTTCATCACTTTAACGTCAGGGTCGACCTCTTCTAAAAATCCGGTGTGTACGGGTCTGATTCGTTATCTGGGGGGGACTAACTTCTTTTAATCTGTGCCTAACCTCAGTAGTAATAAAATAAACTTTTGTTATATGTTCTAGCAGTCCTCGGTCACTAAAAATCCACCAAATCATCAATAGCCAAAAAAAACAGTTCGTCTCCTAGAGACTCCGCAAGAGCGCCAACAGGACATAAAAAATAGTTACCCCCCCCTGTTAACGAAACAGCACCTGGCGTATACTCTTTTATACTATGATACTTATTTATGATACTTCTTCTCTATCACATAAATAATCTAGGGAGCCCGAGTCCCAAGGAAGCGGGAGCAAGACCGGAAAGCCATAAAAAACGGGCTAGTTGGAGCTTCGGCATTCGAATAAGTTAGCCAAGGAAGACTATGATCACGACTTTCAAGGTATTGGTAGCATCGGAAAAAGGGGACTCTATCACATAAATAAATTAGGGAGCCCGAGTCCCATGGAACCGGGAGCAAGACCTGAAAGCCATCAAAAACGGGCTAGTTGGAGCTTCGGCAGTCGAAGAAGTTAGCCAAGAGATTTTCTTCGCCGGGCAAGTAGCATATATTTCGAACTGGAAAAAATGGTTCTATTACATATTAAAAGCAAGGGAGCGGGACTCAAAGGAGTCGGGTGCTAGGAAGGAAACCGCTGCCTTACACGCCGGCCAAAGCCTGGATAGGGCCCCCTTCCCCCGAATTTTAACTTAGCGGTACAAACCTGATAGTGTGCATTATTGCCGGAATTGCCGAAATTTTCGAATAGTTTTAATTAAACAAAAAAAAGACATTTTGGCGCCAGTAGCAACCCCTCGAACCCCTAACATTTCTCGGTGCCATTTTCTGGGTTCATCATGCAGTCGTGTTCGGTTATGTGACATTTTCTTCTGCGACATACGGTTGAATAAAGATGTATAACAATCTACCCGAACTGTGATTATTTTATTTCGTAGTGTTCGGGCACGGAAAACATAGAATCTCTTTATTAGCCTATTTTGTTATACAAATTAGCGGGGCTCGCTTCCGAGTTGTCATGGCATGGTGGCGGAGCAAAAAGAAGGGTTGATTTAGGATAGAATCGCTTGACCGGTCGGTCAATAAAACGGCAAAGCTTGGGCATTCCCAGGGAAACCGGGTCTAGCCTGCGTAAATGTCGAGAAGGTAGATGGGGGCATTGGCAAGGTTGCGAGCAGGATAACACCGAATCACACATTATAAGAAAAAGGCAAAAATGTCGAAGGGGAAACCGAGGAACGGAATTGCACGGTACTGGACTGTTAGCAGGGGGGACTAATTTTCCCGGTAATCTTACACGGTTACTATGACAAATATAGACAATTTTGAAAGCGTTTTACACCGTTTTCAGATGTAAAAACCTGATAAAACATAAAATTTTCGACTTTTTTTGACTTTTTGGCGCAAAATGCAGGAAACATGAGCAAAAAATGTAAAAACGTTTGTATTTTCAAAAATATTTAGAGTGATTTGTACTTTCTAGCATCCAAATACTACCAAAAACCTTATAAAAATACTTTTTTAAGGTTATTAACCGGTAGGTATAAGCGGAAAAACAAAAATGGTCGCCCCCTGCTAACAGTCCAGTGCCGGCTGATCTCTGTTTGAAGTTCTAGACACTCTCCCAGCCGCTTTTTCTACGCGCGCATTCCTTTACAAAAAAAACAATTGAGCCGGAGAAGTTGTGGTGAGGCAATATAAAAGATGATACCCGAAAATGGCCTGAGGCGATGGAGATTCTACCGGTTGTTACGAGTGAATACGGTCTACAGGTCTGTGGCCGTATCACATGACCATTGGGGCTTTGCGACTTTCCGGATATGGGGGTGGCGGGGGAAGGTTTTGGACTTGGGCCGAGCCGTTTGACCAGCCGTAGCTCCTCGCCGTCGTGGTCGGGAACATCGTCGATTCGAAGACATAAGACCCTCTTAAAAGGGTTTTCTAGTTTTTGTATGAGTTTTGCATACCTTGTATTTTCACCGGGATACAGTAGTTCAATTGGGTCGGCTTGCGAAATGTCAAGCATTGATGTTGAGGCTGCCTTGCGCGAGCTGAAAAGTCGGTGTTTTTGATGCTGGAGTGTGATTGGACTGGCTTATTTTCATTTTGTCGAAATTTCAATGCTTATCCGCATCGATTATTCTTCTCAAAATTGATATTTCAGTGCACTGATATTTCGAAAAAATAACAGAAAATCGATCGGACTCACTTGGGATCATTCAGGTGATGAGAAGATGGGTACGGGCTCGGTTCATAGGCAGCCGATGAGGTCGAGGATTCGAGGGAGGCTCGCTTCTGCTGAGACTCAGCCCATAGAGCACGAAGCATCGGTACGTGGGTCAGATGTTCGAGGCTGAGTTGAGCCTCGAGGGGAACAGCCGTCGACGCGCCAAACTGTGAGACAGTGGCAGAAGATGGTGGGAAAGATGGGTGTCCTTGTGCTTCGGCGCCGGCCGGGCATCCCTGAAATTAGCCAATATTAACGGAAATTGTGAAAAAATAAATATTAAAATTTAAACAATTCAATTAGTGTTTGGCAGGTTATCTGGGCTTGGCTTATTTTTGCTATTACTATTTTATTTTACATTATTTTGGGCTGAAATTTAAATTATTTGGATATTTTTGGACGCTCTATCCAGTGGCGTCGAGAAAAACCCCGAAAAATAGCTAAAATATCGAAAATTTTGGAGTAAGCAAACCGTAGCACCCGTAAAAATTCTCTCACCTGCAGTTGCAGCGCTTTTTGGTAGGATGGTGGTTCGCGATTGCGATTCAGTTTTGGTTGTGATGTTGCGAGTGTATTGGCGAGTAGAGCAGGAGACTGCGGATACAGTGAAGATGCGGAATTTGACATCCCGGGGTCGACCTAAACGTTTCGTTTTGGTCTTATTCTTCCTTGTATGCATCTGTAAGAATTACGGTACTTACCTTACGGTATCCTTCACTAATCGGTAGATGATAATGGGCGATGTAGCCATGATGGTGGCTGGATGGCATTGATTGAGCGCGATTGACACCCTTTAGACGCTTGACGAAACGTCGCCCTCCCTGTCCCATCGATGCTTCGGGAGCAGCAGCTGATGGGTAGGTCTGAAATTAAGCAATTAATTAAGTATAGATTAACTAATTTAGACAATTCAACTCAAATTTGCGTACCTCAGCTGTGTCGATTCGGGGCTCACTGCCTCGAGCTGGGTGTAACATTTCGGCCATCGCCTGCTCAACATGGATAGGGGCTACGGGGACCGTTTGGTATCGAGGTTTTGGAGAGAGTGACGGGCGTAATGGTAGTTGTTGTACCTAAAAAATTATTTAATTTTTTTATTAAATTATATAATGATATCGGCACGTAAATTTTTTGGTATTGGACTGTTAGCGGGGGTGGCAGGGCGAAACTAATTTTTGTTTTTCCAGACATCAATTTTTGTTTTTATCTGTTGAGAATTAATACTTTATTTTTATCGTGTTTTCGTATTTTCTCTCTACCAGAAACTTGTAAAAAATACTTAAAAGTTTTTGAAAATTCGAATTCGAACCCTTGCTACATTTGCACCCCCCCGCTAACAGACCAGTACCCAAACTTTCTACAGTAGTTGTGATGCTCACCGGTTCATTGTGGTACAATGGTCTCTGATATGGTGGCGGGTCACTACGCTGGGCAACTCTCGGCGGCGGCGTCGTGCGTAGCGAATCGTACTGGGACGATTGTAGCGAATCCGACGTGGAATTCTCGTACTGTAAGGAAATACGGTATTTTGCTAGAAATAAATCGGCATACCGCACGGTTGGGCCGGACACTATCAAGGAAATCTTCAGATGTTTGACCGCCCGTCTCGAAGCCAGATGATGCCGAGAGTTGATTGTAAGCGAATGATGGTCCCTATAACAGAAATACTAAAATAATTAACCGTAGTATCTTTCTAAAAATAATAAAAACAACATTAAACGATTATTTGTCGTTCTTAGCTAGAATTTTGATCGAAAAATAAGCTTAAAGGAAGCTTTCCAGGCCTTAATTTCATATAAAATTTTATTACTTAATTTTATTACATACCTGATCAAGATATGATGGGTATTTCGGGTACAACAGATCGTAAGAGTCGTTGGCAATTGGGCTGATACGCTCGAGTGGGTCCATTCTTGGGCCGCTATTTCTATACAATATTTTTATTTTTATTTTCATTGCTAAATACCTGGTTGAGGCGACGCTGCTCGAATATGAACGATATGAATGCCCCTCATCAGCTTCTGGGTCAAGCCGTCCCCACCTAGCCAACTCGTCCTGATAATTTGTTTCCGCTTTCAGGGTATCGTCCTAAAAATCGAGATAAATTGTTGATGATCTGTTTTTTTTACTGACCTTCTCGACGACGACGGCTTCTTCCGGTTTGACTGTGATCGGCTTCATCGAACTCTTTCTTCCCCTGGAGATCCGTTTCTTTTGATCCGATGTGGTGGACGGGGGTCGGCTTGAACCGCTTCGCTCCGACGCAGACAACGATTGGCGCAAAGAATCCAGATCTGCAAATATGCAATTTTTTAAAGTGTAAAGCGTAACTACCAGCTTCACGATGTCGCATAGCTGAATGGCGATCGGCTTGGCTGAGGCGATCGGAGACTATGCCGCTTGTGGTACTGTGGCTAAGCTGGCTGAGTCGGTCGGTTCTGAAAGGGGTGTAAATAGGTGTTATTCGGATTATTTTCAGTTTTCCGAAAATCATGTTGCGAAATTTCATTTTGTCGAAATTTCCTTTCAAGCTATTAAAACTATTAAAACCTACCTATCGACACTTTTCTCGATTTGCGGATACTGTAGCTGTCGCGGTCCGGCGGTGGAATGTTGAACGACTAGCAGACATTGGTGAACAGCTCGGCAAAGGTCCAAGAGGTACCTAAAAATTGCATTTCTCTATTAAAACACTAAAACAAACCGGGCTTTGTTTTCGGTTTGTGCATAGAGGCATACTTTCTCTCCATCATCACGGGTGATGCATAGCTTCTTTTTTGTCGAATTGTAGCTTATTCACACGGCGCCACGAAAAATGGCGGAGGGGAAGGCGTTCTCCATCTTCACTAACATCACAAACGTCGATGCCGCTGGAATTAAGTAGTCGCATTGAAAAATAGGAATTCTATACTAACCCAGATGTTATGCAAATGACCGCATTGTCGCGGGAATCGAGTTTGTGACGTCGTAGACCATAGATATGACAATTCAGGGCAAATGGTGATCTGGAAGGGAAAATAAATATTATAGGGTAATGGATGGTAATGGGCTCTGAGCGGGGGGGGGGGTGTTTTAGTAGCCTTTACAAATAAAACAATACAAACAAAAATAATTAGTTTCTCCCCCTGCCAACAGTTCAGTACCTAATGATTATACGATTTTAAGATGTCGCTTTTTGTTTCTAGTGACTTACCGGCTTGCCTCAATGCAAAATTGTAGCTGTGCTGTGTTTCTGCTCATATCCTCTAGATCCGCCATAGCAGATGGGATATGCTCTCGGATATACTCGAGCCCTCTCTCGTTGATCACCCAAAGCGGAAAATAGTGCTCCGGCCGGAAGAAGCTAAATCGATTTTTTTCGAATTCAATTGATTTCTATATACTTACCCTTTGTAATCATCCCCCTTGTCAGCTCTCAATGCAAGTGCGGCCATTTCCCATACACGCTCTTCAGCCACCGTACCCCTCTGGCCCCATTGGTCCAGAAGATTTTCGCGGAGTTGAACGTAGTACAGTTCCAACGCTCTTTCGTCTCTGAAACCATTTTTTGTGTTGGGTTAGATGGTAGATAAACCAACGTGATCAATCGAACCTCATCGATATACACTCGGACTCGGTAGTAGAGTACGAGTAATGGTCGTGTTTCAGTACGTGACGACGAGGATGTCTGAAAATTTGGGCGTAAACTATTTTTAAAAACATTTTTTGGGACTGGACTGCTAGCAGGGGGGAAGAGTAACTTTTGTTTTTCCCGCCTATTTTGCCTGAAGATAATTTAGAATGTTTTGCCGTGCTTTCACGGCTTTGTTGTCATAAAAATACACGATTAAATAAATTAATCTAGAAAACGAAAAGTGCCTGCTTGTTCGCCGTTTAGAGAGCTTTCCATAGATACCTAAATCGTCAAAATCGGACGCTCCTACGGGCCGCTACATTTTTTTTGGACGGCCTGGTATTAAAGGTGAAGGGAACAGGCTAAAGGGGGCGGGGACCCGGGACAGGGGGTATCACCCGCTACCACGCCCCGGGTCCCTGTGGCCCCATTGGCGCAGTCGGTTAGCGCGTGGTACTTATAGTCTGTAAGATATGCCAAGGTCGCCAGTTCGAGCCTGGCATGGGGCAAAGTTTTTGCTTTTTGCGCGGAATGATCGAATTTATGTCTTTGTTGTTCTGATCGCGCTCAAATCACTCATAATTACTTCTGAAAGTGCTATTTTGGGACACCTCGTACATTACCGATTTTTTTCATATAAAAACGGCCCAAAAACACTTACCCATTGCGCAAATCGGGATTGCTTCGTTGGGGCATACTTGAAAATTCGGTGAGCTGGGTCGAGGAAAAAGTACTCGTTTCGGGGTTGATCTCCTAAAAAAGGATTTAGATATGCGAATTATGCTAAAAAAGAATTTTGGTATGCTGATGATGCAAACCTCCAAGACCCTCTGATGGCGAACGAAAAGCCAATCCGAAAAATCGATCGTCGATCACCAGCTGCTCGCCACAAGCCCACAAAACATCATGGACTCGTGTTTTTGCCTGTAATAGGAATTTTTAATCTTAATTTAAAATTAGTGTAATTGTATATACTTATATTTTAATGCTAAAAATGTTTAAAACTCAATGTTTTACAAAACTACTTAATCAGAACCTACATCAACTACCACCGAGAGAACTGTTTTTGATAATGTATGTACAGTGATGAAGTGTTGGCCGGGGCGGAGGCTGAAAATACTGTATATAGTGATTCGACCATGCGACATACCTATGTACAGATGAGATGACGTGGGCACCCCCTTGATTTGATGAGGAGGGCTGGTCGTTGTGGTGGATAAATGAGGAAACGATTGAATCCTTATGGTCTGTTCTTCTGGTGGGGACACTTCGTGAGGTGCCCGGTGTCGAGCATACCGAATTCATCACCTGAAAAAAATTGAAAATGAAGGCATTGTATATATTTTTAATGTGAGAGAAGGAAATCTTGAGGAGAGAAGAATTAAAGTTCTATATGACAGGCTGCAATCGGTGCGGTAATTCCTGTATCGGGCTGAAAAAAAGGTGGATAGGCGCGCTCTCTCTCTCTATCACTTTCTCACTTACTCACTCTCTCTTTCTCTCTCGCTCTCGCTGTCCCGCTCTCTCGCTCACTATATATCTCGCTTTCGCTATCTCTCTCCCTCTCTCTCTCTCCCTCTCTCTCTCTCACTCCCTCGCTCTCTATCCCTCTCCCTCTCCCTCTCTTTCTCTCTTTCTCTCTCTCTCTCTCTCTCTCTCTCTCTCTCTTTCTTATCACTTTCTGCACGTCCAAGCGAAATATTTTTGCACATAACTAAATAAAAAATAATATATAGAATGTATAGAAAGCGCATGAAATCTATGAAAGTGTAAAGCGCCGTTTAGAAAACCAAAAAGCAAGATGGAAATGGGAAACATGGCTTTCCCCTCTGCCTGTTTTCTTGCCAAGCGAATTCACGAAATCACGTTTTGAAGTCAATAACAAATAGTGTCGAGCGGAATGAGATGCGTTATTCGGCCAAACAAACAGCTAGAGGCGAACGTTGGAATGGGACATGTGATTGAGACTGCGAGTCTGGTGGATAAATACCTGAGCCCGGATTGATAAGGACCAGATAGCCAAAGAGGTCGCCAGGGGATATGGGGGGGAATTTCGGGGAGCCATTAAGTTTGCCATATAAGTTAGGTATTATAGGGTTATTAAGTTCGATATTCAAAAGATTAGGTAGTACAACTTACCTTGAAAAATATAGACTTAAAATTGTAACGTTAAGGTAGTGTGGAACAACTAATTTGCATTTTTCTGAGTTTTGATATAACTAATTTATATTACACCAGGGTTGAAAAGTCGCGAAGCGACTTTTCAACCCTGGCCCCGTCCCAAAACCATGAAATTCAACACTTTGCATAATTCGCCCGAAACACGATCAGAAATAATGAAAAAAGGCTGCCTCTCTCACGTTATATAGCCTTCCGCCACTTCCGGAGCATGCTAATCGTTTCCTAACAAAGAGGAATGACCAATTTTTCAAGAAAAACTGAATTTTAATGTCGAAAACAGTATATTTTTGAAAACTTGATATGTGTGCAGTCATTCCTAGACCATTACGCATCTAATGACGTATCATATATACCTTTAAGTCCTTCCCCTAATCCGATACTACTGGAACACGCTGACGGAAGTCGCATGCTAATGCACACACATACATACACACACACAGGAACTATTTTTTATATATAGTAGGATTATTATTAAGAGTTAAAATTAAAATACACAGTATATTTTTGGCGTTCCAGCCAAAATCCCTAAAAATACCGAAAAATAGCAAAACCTCGAAAACTCGATCACGCGTTCAAAAATCCCGAAAAACATCGTAAAAATATTGATATCTTAAAAAATATATTTACGTCTTACAACAAATATAAAAATTACCAAAAAGGGTCAAAATTTTTAGAATATTTTTGTAACTTTTTAGAACTCAAGAACTACGAAAAAAACAGTATAAAATACACAGTTTGTTATTAACAGTTAAGTATAGGCGGAAAACAAAAACTAGTTCCCTGCTAACAGTCTAGGCCCGAATTTTTAAGGAGCATGAGCACCAATGGGAAGAGCACGAGCTATCAATTTAGAATAAGCACTAGAAGGGGACAAGAACGTGGCGGTTGATTACAGTGTATACAGCGTAGAGGCAGAGACAAAAAAAGCAAAAATTAGTTTTCCCCGCTTACAACCCAGTACCAAAATTTTTAAGGAGCATGAGCACCATTGAGAAGAGCACGAGCTACCAGCTGAGAATAAGGAAAATAACCAGCACAAGATCATGGCGGTTGATTGGCGCTTTTTGGTGGTATAAATCGATTGGTAAACGGGAGGGTGGAGAGCGGAGAATTGGACCGGGGCCGCCAGGGGGAGGAGACCACATTCTTTGCCGCCTTATCGGGCCGGGGAGGGGGCAACAGTGTTTGCGGCCATTAGGCCCCGGAATGCAATGCTCTGCTCTGGCGCCCCCACCACCACCCATCATCACCTATCAAATAGTTTTTTTTTGCGCAAAAAATGGTGGCTGTAAAACGTTTGGGGCGTATGAAAAGGGATAATTAAGAGCTAAAAGTAAATTCTGCCGTCTTACGCACAAAAAAAACGTAAAGTGTTGTGTAATGTACTGTACTGTACGGTGCACTGTAAATGCGTGGATTAAAAAGTAATAATTCAAAGTAAAAAAATATGGACGGATCTAGGACAATGAAATATCCTACTTTTCGTAAAAATAGTGAATTCTCTTGTTTTATGCAAAAATTGTTGTAAAATGACGGTGATAGAAAAAGGTCAATTAAAGGTATTAAGATAAATTAACCACATCTTACTATTAAGTTAAAATTTCGAATTTTTACCTGATATTCTATACATTTATTAAAAAGGCCGTTTGCCCGATTTTTTGGAGAAATTAGCATAGTACATAGAAAATGGAACAGTAAAAAATAGATGGGAAATTAAAATCAAAAAGACAAAACTCAATATCAGCCATTTTCAGTGAAACCAACGCGCTCCAGCCCCCCAAAAAACGGTGTGGAATGCCGGGTGAGGAATGTGGGGAGGGGGGGAGAAAAGAAGAGACGGACTGTCAGAGAAGAGGGGGGGCTATGTGACCTTGTGGCCTTCGGGGTACGGGGGTCGTCGGGGGGTTGTGCCAGATCTACAGAATAGATATCACGAAACGTCGACAATGGCCACGCCATACCCCCTCATCCGGCCCACTTCCCTTAAAAATTATCTACTATGCAAGGTGTTCCAAAAAAACGACTCATCTGGCATTTCGCCGCCTTACACCCGATTGGTCCTAAAACGAACCAGCGGTGTATCAGACTCTAAAGAACAATAATCCTGACTTATAGCCCTATAGCTACAGTAGTTCTCGAGTTATAGCAAAAAGCAACTTTATGACAAATGATTCGGCAAACCTTCTGACCGTAAGAAATTTTGTTGGCTTAAAACGAATCAAATAAACATAGATTAAAAGGATTTTTACAACGCAAAATTACGCGAGTTCTTAAGCGGAAATAGGGGTTCACAGCCGGAAGTCGATGCAAATGGATGCAACTTCCACAAGGTTAGCCGGAAAAACTTTCTAGAATTACGAAAAAAGTATTTGCGCTACAAACCGGAGAACTACTGTAGCTACAGGGCTATAAGTCCAGATTGTTGTTATTTAGGTCTAATACACCTCTGGTCCAATTTTCGGACCGATCGGATGTAAGCCAAGAAATTTGGAATTTTTTAGGAGTAAGGTAGCACTGACCACAGGGTATGATATATTGAAAAGGTTGGTACCAGTAAAAAATTCGCTCAGGTAATCGAATAAATATATATCAATTAAGTTTGCTAGATCAAATTGAAATGTTCTCACGCCGGCTAGATATCAAATTGTGGCGGGGGGCGGTGGAGAAAAATTGGAAGGGGGGGTTGCGCGGTTGAGGGGGGAGGCGGTAGAGCTTCGTGTGCGAATCGGGTTTTTCTGTGTGATGGCGAGAGAGAGAGAGAGAGAGAGAGAGAGAGATACATACAGGCAGAAGGCGGTGGTTGATAGGTGATACGGATGGAATGTGTTTGTGTGTGTCTCTATGTTTGCATGCCTCGCCTCCCATCGCCTCGGCTCTTTCTCGATATCTTTTCATCTCAGCCTCCTCTCATTTCATAGCATCTCGCCACATAGCTATCCCCCCTTCCGACCGTCAGCCTCCCCCCACAGGCCTATCATCGCAAATATGCGAATTCCGAGAGGCTCCTCTATCTCCCCCCCGCCCTGAGGGCTTGTTTTTTTCAGGCTCCCCAATCTGAAAACGAGCCTCCTCCTCGTTGCGCATAGTGATACATATGTGGACAGGCACCCCCCTGGGCCGGCACACACCGGATTTATGGCTCGCCCTTCTCACCACTGGCATAATCATGAGAAACCACCGATAAATTAGCGCCTCGTTGTCTGAGTGAGGCGACTGGGGACGGACTCAAAAATTAGGCAAAAAAATTCAAATTTGTAGCAAATTTTCAAAACTAAATTAGCATATTCGACTCTCTCTCTCTATCTCTCTCTCCCTCTCGCTCTCTCTCTCGCTCTCGCTCTCTCTCTCTCTCTTTCTAACTTTGCCAAGAACCAAGACGGACTTTGCAGAGAACGTGTGGGCGCTTGGGTACTGGACTATTTGGAGGGGGTTTTTAGCAGCGGAACAAACTAATTTTTGTTTTTGCGTCCATACCTACCCATTAATAATACATACTTTATTTGTATAAAGTTTTTCATAGCTTTGGTAGCTAAAAAGCTGCAAATATTTAAAAACTTTGAAAATTCGAAAATTTTGATCTTTTTAGTCATTTTTCATACATTTTTGAGCAAAATTGTCCAGATTCTAAAGCTCTATCTAACCAGCCGCGTTAGACCGTAAGGCGTTTTAATCCCAAAACGCTAAAAATGTTCAAAAAGACGAAAAAAATCCAGCAAAAAAAAACCTTACCAAAGCGCCAATTATAGTAAACTCAAATATTATTTCAAACCATAAATCGAAGCACCATCACGTTAGTCGACATATGGTTTGTAGGGGGAACGACACGAGGCATACGACCGGACAGCCCCCAGAGGGCATCATCCAATAAAATTTGCATCAGGAAAGGGAAGAAGGGAAGGAATGTAAGGGCGGGGGAAGGGGGGCTGAATAATCGTTGCTTGGGCTCTTCGTTCCTACACGCTACACAGTCATTCAGCACGAAAATCTAACAAAAATATTTCGGCTGTTTTTTCTCCCATTGAGGGTGGGTAAAGGTTTCTTAACGGGGGTGGAAGCATATTTAGTTGTACCTAATCTGGTATGCCAGCTGATAGAGTTTCGAAGATTATGTGAAGAAAATTAATTTTCAACCGAAAATACCTTTATTTAAAATTTAAATTATTACTTTATTAAGCCGGAAAGGTAGTTAATTAAAAACCGTTGTAAATAAGGGTTTTTGAGCTGAAATTAAATAGTTTAGTATAATTTTTGATGCTCTATCCGATGGCGTTTCTAAAATAACGTCAAACTTTTTAGAAAGGTCTTTAAAATGAACCAAAAATTTCACAATTTAAATTTTATAAATAATTCTTAAAATTATAATTCTAAAAGCCCCAAACACGTTCCAAATTCCAAAGAAATGCAAACGATTTTGGTTGCAGGGGGCATGCGCCAAACCTAAGCCGATGAGCCAAATTGAAGCGCTTTGCCGTGAAACAGCCGGTGATAACGGGAAATTGAGCGGTTACAGCTGATTCATACGACAGGCATTTTTTCGGTGCCTCATCCAAACATTTTGCCCTATAAAACACGAAAAAGGGAAAAATCAGCAATGTTTTAGTTACCAAAATGATACTGTATCGGTGCAATGAAAAATTGAAGCGAAATGGAAGAAAAATCATCTTTTCTAGGGGGTTGCCGCCGTTGGAATGTAAGCCGTGATGCATCGACTGACTGGGCAGACAAAATATAAGGTCTATTGCGTTATTTGATATTTTTTAGTGGTAGTTCTTTGATAGGGGGCGGTGATTTGGTTGATGGGGGAAGAATTCGAGAATCTCGGAGATGCGGACGGGGATGAAGACTAATTTGATAAAGGGATCGAGCTTTCGGTTTGGTCTTTTCGTAAGAATGGCTAATCAACAATGTGGAAATAGAAAAGATAATCCGAACGCTCCAAATTTTCCGAATTAAAAATTGTTTGATTTCGTTATTTTTGCTCTATTTTTGCGATTTTTAATATCTCATTTGATAGAGCCTCAAAAAATACGCTAAGGGTTTTAGTATCAAGCCAAAATACTGTAAAACTAAAAAGTTATGACAAAAACAAGATTTGAACAGGCTTTTCACATCGGAACCTGTGATGGAGCGCCAATTTTCGATTTTTTTTTGTATTTTTGCAAAATCTACTAAACGCCATTCGATAGAGCGCGAAAAATGATGTCATAGTTTTTAATTTCAAGCAGGACTAATATAAAACAAAAAGTTATAGCAAAAAAACAAGATGAAGCCGAATTAAGAGAGGTTCTCTTCGTTCTATAATATCTTAATTTATTTTAATATTTCGCTATTGTTTGTTTTATCAATTTCACCACATAAAACAAAAGCGCCGGAACAAAACAATCACCGGAAAACTATATGAGAGCAGAGCAGGGGGCAGAGAAATATCGAGCTCCCCCCCAAAGTGGGTAGGAAAGAGCGGGGCGGTGTGATCGACAAAGACGCGCGGCCTTGAGATTCCTCGGCTGCTTTGTCGCCTTTATGCCTTGGCTATCTATTCGCTCTCTTTCTCCCTCTCTCTCTCTCTCTCTCTCTCTCTCTCAGCCAGAGGCAGATCAACGGTGATTGCATTTCGATTCTCCATGGTAGGCGGTCCAGAGTACCGCCTCTCCCCCCCTCCACACCTCGTCATTTATTATGGCATTTCTTTTGGACAAACGCATCCGACGGATAGGGGCGACTGTTTGAGCAATGCATTCCGAGTATTTCCACGAGATCTCCTCCGCCCGGAAATTGAGACCACCCTTTTGCGGGTGGTTGTGTTAGGATATCGGGATGTGGCGGGATGTATGGGATACAAACCACTCGTGATTTCCCGCAAAAAACCGCAAAAAAATGCTGCGCATGATCGGGAATATATGGGGGTGGTGGAATTTGAAGATAACTAAACAAACACTTTCTGCGGGAAGTGTTATAATTTCGTCGATCTGTGGTCGGACTGTTTGAGACGAAAAATCGAGGCGAAAAGGCGTTTGAATCTCGCTTAAAAATGCCGTGAAAACGGTATTTCGATAAAAATGAAATGTCGAAAAATTGAAATCTCGACAACATAAAATGCCGACAAAATTATATTTCGACCAAATCAAATGCCGACAAAATTATATTTCGAAAAATTCAAATCACATCAAAAATATTGTTTTGAAAATTGAAATGTCATCAAACTAAAAATAATCCGTTTGATGCGTCATTAGGTGCGTCATGGCCTGGAGGTTTTTCATAGGATTAAATGAATTAAAAAATCACGAATTGACGGAGGTATCGATTTTCAGATGATGTCACCTCCTTAGAAAGAGGCCAGAGGAAAGGGTAGATCGAGAGGATTTGCGGAATGCGGCTGAGTCACAATAAAACGGAATGACCCCCGCGGGACAGCCACCCCCCCCTCGATGGCTACGGTATCCAGATTAACACTATTAAGCGTATCCCCTGTTGACAAGGATAATTCCTTCTAAAAAAATGTTTGCCTACGGGATTTTGGGGGTGAAGGCGTGCGAAGACGGCCAGATGTTCGCGAACGAAAAAAGATGGAATGGGAGGAACGGGGAAAGATAACGGCAACCCCGCAAGAGTTAAGCTCTTCGATAAATGGGTGAAATTCCGGGGTTGGTCATTTAAATTACCTGAAAAATTAGCTTTAAAAAGTTTAGTTTTAAACTTTAAAAAGGTTGAGGATGAAATACAGACAAAAAAAACGGATTTGCCACCTGACAAATGCGTAAATTGACAGAAACTGACAATGTTGTTGCTTTATTTATTTTTTCATTATCTTTAGTTATTTATTTTTAATAGTTTGATTCATAATTAGCTATGTTTATTTATATTTAATTAGTTAACGGTTAAAAGATAAAAAATATGGGTAAAAGAAGAGCGCAAACCCGTTAGAAACGAAATTATCAATTACAAACAGTACCCAAAGATCTCTTTTTTACGAGGTAGATAAAAACCAAATTAGAATTAGAATTTTCCGAAAATTTCAAAACCCCGATTTAAATTTTTAAAAATTTGAGATTTCGAGGCAAAAACACTAAAATTTCGACAAATTGAGCCTTCGACAAATTGAGCCTTCGACAAAATAAAATATCGACAAAACGAAAAAAGCCTAGCCAACTGCTGAAATGTCGGTCAATCCGTGTGACGTTTCCCCTACCCGAAGGCTATGGATTGGATTGGTGAATAAGAAGTGGAAGAAGAAGAAGAAGAAGAAGAAGAGGAGAGGGAGCACGAGAAGTGGAATGGAAGAGGAGCAGCAGAAACCGATAAAATCGTACGGCTGTTGGAGAGGAGTGGAATGGGGGGGGAAGACGGCAGATCGGCGTGGAAGGCGAACACTGTCTCCTCTCCCCATCTACCAATCTAGGGCATCCAAGAAGGCTCCGTTCTCTCTATGAATAGCCGAGAACCGCCGTCTTCATCCTTGATTAATCCCTCCTTCCCGCCCGTTCAGCCCGAGGCGCGCAGCGCGGACACGCTCATTTCGCCAATTTGGTATATACATAGGAAGAATGCTACGGTTTTCCCAAAAGTTCCGGAAATTCCCAAAATTGTTCGAAATTTTTATCGGGATTTTGACAACGCGAAAGGGTGCGAAACAGCACCGAGAAAATTGCTAAGAATTTAATTCCAGCCCAAAATAATACACTATAAAAGAGTTATCGCGACAAAATTTCGGAAGTTTAGGCTGGGGCTCAAGTAAGGTCTAGCCTTCCCAAAATAGAAAATTAGCTAATTTAAAGTTTTATTGCCATTTCACTAGGATTTTGACGCATTTAGACCTCAACATGATTAGCAAAGATGGAGAAAGCTCTTTTCATTATCTGCAAAAGCTTTTATTTACGAAAATATCGTTTAAAATCGACCGTTTTGATCACGCTTTATCCTCAACATCATCAGAATCTAGCCCCTTTTCAGGAAATCTACTCAAAATCGACATGCTAATTGCGAAAAAATAGCTGAAAGCGCGTTCCAATGTTTCGAAAAAGCTTTCAGCTATGAATTTTGTTATTTTACGTTTTTTTTGCTTTGACAATTTGGTCGGATATAGTTTTTATAGGCCTCCAAGGCTGGTAAAAATTTGAATTCGATCGGATAGAGGAAGGCCAAATACCGAGGGGGGTTTCTATTGGGGCACCCTGTATAGTAAAAACGGTACAGCGTAAAGATTTGGCAACGGAATAAAGGATGGTAGATAGAAGCCTAGCGGAGGGGGGTGGGTTGGAAGGGGCAGACGCTGTTTGTGGAGCCGATCACAATTTATCTCGAGGCGTCCGTAGCTGCCCAGTGGAAAAGAGAGGGAATAGAAGAGAAAGAAGCAACCAAGGGGAGGGGAGGGATCTCACGGTCAGTCGAAGAAGAGAAGGAGGACGGCGCGCGGAATGTTTGTTTTTGTGCTAATAGACGGCCTCCTCAGCACCCACCACCGACCTTTTGCTCTCTACCATCACCCACCAACACTCACTCATCCTACTTTGCTCTTATGAAAAACAGTATAAAACAATGCAGGGTAACAGTGCAGTAAGGGTATTGGTTAGCCGGAACGTCCAGAAATTTTTAAGAGCGAAAGCGAGAGGAGCGAGAGATAGGCAGTGTAAGAGAGAGCAAGAGCGAGAGAGAGAGAGGAAGAGAGAGAGAGATTGAGGGTAGACTGAGGAGTATTCAAAAATCACTAAAAAACTAATTTATTAACTACTCTCCAACATATCAGTCAATTTCATTAGGTTCTCCTTGACAGCCTTTATGTATTGATCAAGTTCTTCACTAGAAGAGTCGAAGCTGTCAATGTCCTGTCGCTTCATTCGAGCTTTTCGGGCCTGATTTGCTCATTGGCCATGTCGATCTTGGACAGCAGATCCCATTTCTTGAGACATTCTTTTGCCATCTCCAGCCGTGATTCCTCATTGCATTTTTCCAACGCGTTAATGTGAATGGGTTCCCAGTGCTCCGAGGCGTAATTGTTGAGCAGAGCCTGGAAATGGAAAATAGGTTCTTTTGCGTTAGCGGGGGGGAGGGGAGGGGACTAACTTTTTCTTATGATCTAATTTTCCACATACAAATAGCAGAAGTATTTCTAAATGGTTTTTACCGTTTTTAAAGATGCAAAGTACAAATTTTTATTGAAAATAGCAAAAATAGCGATTTTTTTAACGTTTCCGACTTTGTAAAAGTTTTTAGATAGGTTTTCTAGTTGAGATATAGTTACGTAAAACACTATTAAAACACTATTGAAAACATTTCTATTAAGTTACTAGGCGTTTTTAGACTTACACAAATGCGAAAGCACCGAAAAATAACACAAACCAAGAAATGCAAAAGAAAAAGGAAAAGCAATGAAAAATTTGCGATTTATACCTTCTTAATATTGGTGTAGGTGATGAATCCTGTCGGCATAAAGTCAACGATCGCCGCCTCTTTCGTGCCTTTCCACTGACCTAAACGAAGATAATTATTTCTTTTTTACCACTAAAATTTATATTTCAAAAAACCTACCACAATTATCAGAATGTAAATCGTCGATAAAAAGAAACGCGCCAAGCAGCAGAATTTGCACAAGAACTTCTGCACTGACGTCCTCTTCTTTGATGCTCGAGATAGGGACAAAATTGTCACACCATTTCGTTGCGATATACCTGAAGTTTTAGTAAGGTTTAGATCGGAAAAAATATTTTTACAAAGATCCCCTGGTGCGGGGCAATTTTTTCGGTATGATGAATTGGACATGCGGTCCCACATTGATGAGCTCAAGGAGTTTGTAGCAAAAAATCTCTTTAATATCCGGAACTCGACCCTTTGTAGAGGAAGAAGACCCAAAGTGATGACATCTAAATACGATAGTGAATATAAAAAATAAGGTTTTTCTGGCTATAAAAAATCTCGTAGTATATTTTCCGTACCTTATGGAATGGCATTTTCAAAATATAGAAAATATTCAAAATGCCTAAAATATATATGGGTCGAAGCCCGGGGGCGCCGCCAAAGGCGCCTCCCGAGGCACCCCTTGGGGGGCGTGCCGAGTGGCGCCTGGGGGCGCCGCCCCTATGATTTTTAACGGGGCGGGGGGCGTCACCAACGGCGCCTGTGAGATTATGCAAATCTTCGATTCTAATGTTAATTATTCATTTCAAGCGCAAGAGCAACGGACAGTAGAGAGTAACCTGCGAATAACTTTTTCTCTTGCACTTCAGAAAAGCCTAGTAACGTAATAGTCAGCCTTTTAATAATGTTTTTAGTAAAATTTAACTAGCTTTTAAGTGGAAAAAAAATAAAAAATTGGAAGGAATTTTAGATGGAATTTTCGAAATTGAAAGTGAGATTGAAAAATTGGCGATTTTTGGCAGAAAAATCTATATTTTTTTGTATTTCAGTCGCAGTTGGTAAAGTTTTTACGTTTAAGAATAATAACAACAGTTTCGAAAGCTTCCACTATTTATTTTAGAAAACAAGGTCCTTAGAAAAAAGTTGGTCCCCCATAAACACCCCCTTCCACTACAATTCGAAAGGATCAGGGAAAATTATAGGCCAATCAACTAATAGTTTTTGCCTTCTTTGATATTAAGAATCAGCAGTCAAATCTGATTTCCATAATAACACCGCATCTTTGCTTTGCATCTCGGTTTTCCGGCGCCTTTTGGTCAGCCCCAGGCGCCGCCACAGGCGCCACTCGGCACGCCCCCCAGGGGGTGCCTCGGGAGGCGCCTCTGGCGGCGCCCCCGGGCTTCGACCCATATATAGCCTAAAACATCCCCCCCCCCCGTTATGCTATGGTTGCGCATAGTTTTGAACGACTTTTTTATGCTAGAAAACTTTTATATAACGTTTTTCGTGCTGTAAAAAAGTTTGTTGGCATATTTTTCGCCGCGCTATCGCATGGCGTTTTCGACATACCGAAAATTTCGAAAATTTGGCTTTCCCCGATTCCCCCTCGCTATCCTATATGCTGTCCATGAATTTTTATCAATATTTCTTTACTTAACAAAAAGTTTCCTTTGCATTTATTCGGGCTGAAATTAAGTCTATTAGTATATTTTTCGGCGCTCTATCCAATGGCGTTTTCAAAATAAAAAAATTAGAATATTTCGAAAATTTGGCTTCTCCCCCGTTGGTCTTTGTGAACGAAAGATCCTTACTTCACATTGTACTTGGTCTCTTCCATCTCTCCATAAAGTTGAACATAGGCCAGTGTGTTTTTTCGCGTTCCTCCCAGATCGCTTGGTCGAGCTTCAAACCGACAGACGAAGTCCCACTCATCGTCGGCGCCGCGCTTGTAATGCAGAGCCCGGAAATGGCTGACCGTGGCTTCTTTCATTAGTGTTGTGCTTCCATCAGTCAAAAAGACCACTTTGTGATGGTTTTCCATGCGAAAAGCGGCGAAGCTGCAGTACACGTCGAAAAATCCTTTATCCATTAATCGCGTGTGCAGCCTGACGGCCTCTTCGGCATTTCTCATCCTTTCGGGGCTTGAATTTTTAACATTGATTGCAATTTCGACCGCCGTTTTATATACTGGCCACCACGAAAGCTCCGAGTGTTTCTAAAAAAGATTAAATTTAAATCTGGACATGATCTTTGAAAAATTCTAAAGATAAAAAATCAACTTACCACCACAAGCTCCGCAAAATCGTTGATCGATTCGAGAGGATGAAGTGAAGTGGGTAGCCGATCGCCACGGAATCGGATTTCTTGAAAATCGGCTGGAATTTTCGTCAAATGCTCAATCTTCTTCAGCAAGTCGACACGAGAAATCTATAAATAAAACATCATTTAGATGAACCCAATAAAGTTCAAACCTGCCGTTCCAAAATAACATACTGGAACACGCGATCTTCTGCTTCGCCAACTAGACGGATCGGCACAAAGACCATGCTGAAGCCAATGAATTAATGAAATCAGTAGATAGCTCAAAACACATTTTTTCGGAAAACCTGGCTAGCTCAAATGTTTTTGAAAGATTGTGGATGACCCCCCCCTACCAGGTGTTTGTGCCAGGGCGAGTAGCTGATCGCAAGTGACCCTAAGGACCCGATTGACCCCCAAGCCGCTAAAATAACAGCGCCGCGGGCTAAAAAATAAATACAAATCAATAAGTACAGCCCCCGGCGAAAAATGGTCAATTTAAAAAAATCAGAGAGCGAGAGAGAGAGAGAGAGAGAGAGGGCGAGAGTGAGAGAGAGAAAGCGTAATATCTACCAGAAGTATCGAACAAAGTTAAAACTGTAAAAGTTGTAAAATTCAGTAAACCTTACCCGCGGATGGATGCGCATCGTCTTCGCGTGCCAACGGGAAGAATTAAGCGAGGGAATGCGAAGACTGGCCGCCTTTTTCGCCGACGATCACCCGTTCCAACCAGAACCAATTGTTTATTAGTACCTTGGTCGGATCCCGAAGCAGTATTCCAGACTTTTTTACAGCCATATATAAGCTCGACTCAAAACGCGTTGACATAAGCCAAAATATGTCGTTGGAGTATATATTCGATAGAGATTTGTTTGAAATAAAAATGGTGCATTAGAAAAGTTAAAATCTGTCTTTTTTTTATTGAAAAGCGACAGAAAACCAAGGAATGAAAAATTTAAAATAATTATACCACAGCCTGAACAATACCTTACGATAAAGCTTCATTTTTTTTCTTCTCCGTTTCTTTAAAGGGATGCCGACGGCATAGTCAATCGGTTACGCGCGGAAAAGAAAATGTCTCTGCGCCTCTCCCCTGGGCGCGCTCTCTCCCCTGTTGGCTACTTGCCAATTTGTTGATGAGGGGGGGGGATCGACACATGCCGTCGGCAGCCCTTTAAAACACTTTCTTTCTCTTGTTAGCTTTTCCACCTTTCTTTAAAATAAAGTAAAGCCAAAAACGGGAACTTTGTTCCCGGTTTTCCAAAATTGAAAAATGTTCCCCGCCTATGTTTGGACCGCCATTGTACAATTGCACAGCGGTTGCTCTGTGAACGGGGTCTTTGATATAGCCCCTTGCGGGGGCTGCTTCGGTGCAAAATGGACCTGGGTCGTCTGAACCCAGGCCGCCATGGTCACAGAGCCTGGGGTCTTGCATCAGAGGGGAGGACCAGGTGGGGGGCGAGTGGGAGCGGCCCGGAGAGCATCTGAACTGTGCACAGTGAGTGGGTTTCCGGGGCTCGTGAAGGCTATTTTCGAGGCTAGCAAGCTTCTCTAAGCTTCTGGAAAACTCAAGCAAAGCATCAGCTTCATATTAGCTTCATTGAAAGCAAGCGCAAGCTTAGCTGAAGCTAAGGTAAGGCTTTGGCTGCAAGCTCAGCCCTATATAACGTTTATATAGGTTTCAAGATTTCGAGAGAGAGAGAGAGAGAGAGAGAGAGAGAGAGAGAAAGAGAGAGAAAGAGCAAGAGAGAGAGTGTGGGATTTACATACTTCCTCCACTGTGTCATTCATTTCAAAACATTGACATTCCATGCCACCTAACCTGCTGACGACAAAGTGTTTTAGACGGCCCGCTTACCTTCACCTCGTAACTGACCATCAGCTCATCCCCCCGCTTACGTTTCCCCGAAAAACAAAACACACCCAGGACGGCCGGCGTAAAGTTCGCAATTCCCGGGTTCTCACGCTCAATTTCTCGAACTCACACCAAAAAGTGTCAAGTTCGGTGGAGGTACGTGCGTGAAATGCACCTGGTCAACATTTCTACAAATCGTTACGTAATAGCCGAGGGAGCATGGGGTATTCAAGGGAACAATTGACGGGTCTGGATTTAAAGAATCGGAACTTTTCTGGACTTCTTGAGCTTGAGGTTTATTGAAAAAAAATTCTAAAAATAAATCGTTGTTAGGTGATATGCATGGGCTTAAGCTTAGGTTTAGGCTTAGCTTAGGCTGTGCTTAGGCCTGGGCTTAGGGTTAGGGTTCGGCTCAGGCTTAACCATAGGTTTCGGGTTAAGCTAGGCGAAGACTGAGGCTTATGCTAAGCAGGGCTTAGGCTTAGGCCAGATTTGGCGTAGGCTTAGCTTAGACTGTGCTGAGGCTTAGAGTTAGGCTTGCGCTTAGGCTTGGCTTAGGCTAGGGTTAGGCTTAGGCCTACGCCTAGCCTAAGCCAAGATCATCAGTAAAACCACTCCTTCTGAGCTTCGAATTTTTGCGGAAATCTTCCTAGTACATAATACACATCCGGTTGCAGGTTTAGAAACGATTATCCGAGTGTTAGGGCGCACGAGTAGATCACCCAGCCCAATCCGAGTCGCTGTGTAATCTCGGCAAATGGCGGATCTCGGAAAGTAGCTCAAAATAATTTTCAATATCTACAATAAATCACCTGGATTTTAGTCTGGTATCAGAAAATGTCGGCCGGATCAGCCGTTCGTCCCAAACAATTCAAATACTTGCTGGTGGTACTGCACCAGAACTTTCAGGCATACTCGTCGAGTCATCCAATCAGGACCGCCGTTTTACTCTCATTTTTTATTGTCGCCGTGCTCTCAAGTTCAAACCAAGCCGATTTTGTGTAGAATTTTACGCTGATTCCGAATATCTTGACGAATTCTCCGAAATCGCGATTTCCCAAAAGTTGTGTACGACCAAAGGCCTAGAAGCGCCCAAAATGAGCCAATTTCTATAGTTTTCCGAAATTAAATAACTCATCACTTTTCAAAATTGCAATTTTGCCAAATTTTCGGACCATACTCGGAATCAGCGCAAAATTCTGCACAAATTAGGCTAGGTCCCATCTTGAAGCACACTGCCTTAAAAAGCGTCTCCATGACAGAACAGATTTTCTCACTGAAAACAATATTTCCAGCACTTTATTGCAGCGTTTAAGTCAGCGCCTTATGGCCCAAGGGACGGGTGGAAAGGTCACAGCTTTCCGGTGGCTTTTTAGCATCCATTTCCGTACAGCCGCGCCCGGGAATTTCAATGAGTTCGTCTCCCCGTTCTCTCCTCTCCTGCACCCGCCATATATACACAAAACAACAATCGCCTTGAGCCGAACCGTATATACGTATACTTTCCATTAAGCCAGTTGTAAAGGTATTCAATTCATTTAAAATTATCAGAAGGCGAGAAAATTGGAGCGGACGACATTAGTGATAAAAGCTCGGTACTGTACTGTTAGCAGGGGACTAATTTCCCTGAGAAATCTTGTAGAGCCCTACACAAAATTACACTGTTTTTATAACACATTACATCGTGTTCAAATATAACAACCGTAAAAATCGATATTTTGGTAGAGATTTTATAAAAAATTAACAAAAAAGGTGAAATTTTCGAATTTTCAAAGATTTTTGTACTTTTCTGGCAAACAAAAACTAAACATAGAATATATTGGTTTTAACGGCATAGGCGCTAAAAAATAAATTAGTCCCCCCCTGCTAACAGTCCAGTACCAAAAAACTCTAGAATACATAAAAAAACGTGCAAACAAAGTTGCAAAAAAATTAAATTAAATACGGATCAAGAACCTACAGAACAAGTTCTCTATACTCAACCTAAAATAATTTAAATTCATGTTTCCCATCTAAGATTGTGGGCCGATGTTTGAAAGCCAACGGTCAAAATCTTCGATCTAATGACGAAACGCCCAAATTCCGTTCTCATGCCAATTACAGTGGACAGTGACACACCAGTCAATCCTTTCACATGCGCGTCAAATCTTGCCTTTAAAGCCGCATAATTTACCCGGTCCCCCGCAAAGCAACAGTCTTCTTGAGCACCACCTTCTCTAGCAATTTTGAGACGTCATCTGGGTTTGTGTGGACTGGTGGGAGATTTTTAGGGGGAGGGGAATAAGGGATCTTGTGGCCTTACCAAAAACAGAATGCTAATCCTTTCGCACAGGGCAGATGGAAATCCATTACAATTCGAAACTAGAAAACAGGTCTTATGCGTAGGTGGATGGGTTTTATGATAGATTACAGAAACTACATTTTGTCCCATCTCATCTCAACCTACAGAACGGGGAAATAATCATTTCTAATATTTGAAATCACTATGACATTTTATGTGCGCTATTTAATAAAGCCTGAAAAATATACTAGTAGGTTTATTTTCACCACGAAAAACATCATATAAAAGTTTTCTAGGCTACGGGTGAAATCTATGGGCGACCCGGGCGCCGGGCAGCGATTTTCGGCATGTACACTATTTAAAACGCCATTCGATAGAAAAAATACCGATACCCGAAAAAATATATTATCATAATTAATTTTAACCAAAAAAATTTAATCTAAAAATTTTATAGCATAAAAATTATGTTTAATAAACGATGGGATAATCGGGAGAACCACCTTTCCGAATTTTTGAATATTTTCAAGATTTTGAAAACCCGATTTGATAGAGCGGCAAAAAATATACCAAGAGCTTCTTAATAGTCCAAAAACCGTGTTTAACCCATTTTTATTATAGAAAAACTTTGATTCCCCCCGTTATCCTATGTGTACAAAAATTTCCATCACCTACCTCCCCCCCCCCCGGCCCTCCTTCGCCCCAATCGTACCCATTTTTGGCATGTTTTCGACATTTCGTACACACGTACACAACCGTTTTGGCTATAGACTGGCTATTCAAGGAAAGTACGCCTACTCCTCTCCTACACCTCCCCCTCATTTCGGCGAAAATTTCATGCAAATTAGTGCTCGCCCACCCCGGTATGGCTACTAAATGGATACTACCGCAAAAGTGGTCACTCTTTTCGGGCGTGGCTTTTTTGGAATCGTGCTTTTTAAAGTCGGCATTTTTTCGGGGTTTTAAATTTTTTAGACTTATGTCAGGCTTATTTTCGGTTCGTCGAAAATTGTTTTGTCGGTATTTTGTCGAAACTTGAATTGGCGGTAAATTTTTGTTGAAATTTCATTTTGTGAAATATCAATTTGCCGCAATTTCTTTTTTTCAAATTTCCGTTTTGCCGGCATTTCGGTTTGTCGGCATTTGTTGTGTCGAAATTTCGATTTGCCGAAATTTCAATGCCTTTTTCGCCTCTATTATTCATTTCAAACATTCTGAAAATCGACATTTTAGCGCTTAAAATTCCATCAAATTTCGACTTTCGACAGGACGATTTTTCGAAAAAAATTAGGCTCACTGCTTTTTTTGCTTACCCAACCCCCTAACCGTCATTTTCGCCTAGCTACTTGAAAGCCAACCCGCACAAAATTCAAGTATTATTTTTCCGAGGCGAAATATACCGTAATCTGACCCTGTCCCCCCTCCCAATCGCCAAGTGTTGTCGCCTCCTCGGCATAGGCTCGGAAATAGCACGCGATATGGCACTCACCTGCCTCTCACTGATGAGGCTAAATGTCTGCCCATAGAGATTACCAAATTGGGGGCACGGCTATTTGCAGAGCATACTTTAAACGGCTACACATGATTTTGATGTTTGGCGAGAAATATTGATTTTGTTTTTTGGGTCTGGGAAGATAGTTACAATTTTTTGATTACCTTTAATTACCGTATATTTTGTCAATTTCCTAAGATCATACCGCATTCTAAAATATCGGGTACTGATCTGTTAGCGGGGGGAGGGTTAGCTGAGGAAAACTAATTTTACACAATAATCCTGTGCGGCTATATAATAAACTATTTTGTTCTATAATATTTATAGCATTTTACATAGTTTTTAGGTTTTAAAAAGCGCGTAAAAACTTTAAAAATTTTTGGAATTTTTGATGTTATGAAAAATGACGATAATTGACAAAAAATTTCGAATTTTCAAAATCTTTAAAGTATTTTTTGTAACTTTCAAGAAATCAAAATATACTAAAAACAGACTACTAAAACTACAAGATTTTTCATTAATAGCTGGTTCAGCCGAAATAACAAAATTCGGTTCCTCCTTCAAACAATCCACCCCCCCTGCTAATAGTCCAGTACCAAAATCCCGAATGATTGGCTTTCTTGCTATTCGGAAGTGAATTAGGAACACCAACCCTGCCGGATACGAGCTAAAGGGGCGTGGGTACTGTAATGAGCGGTTGAAGCTCCTCCTCTCTTTCCGTTGCCCTCCTTGAAGACGTCCCTTGTTTACCGCCCTTCTCAGTCCCGGCCACTCGTTTTTTTCAAAAACGACACGGGGGGTTAGGATTTTGAGACCAACTCTCCGGTCCATCCACCTGCCTTTACTCGCCATTTAATAGGGCTCTTTTGCCGTGGCAGATCTGGTCGACGGCAAATTGCGTCACAGGGGGGTGTTTGCCTGGGTACACGGTTCGAATCTACAGCCCCCGACACCATTTTCGAGCCGTAGAAAAGCTGGTTAAAGACTTAAGGCTAAAGGGGATGTTCTTGAGTGCCCTCGGCATTTTGCAATATGACTAAGCCTGTCTTGTGCAGCATTTTTCGCTGATTAAAATTTTTGCCTGGGTGCACGGTTTGAATCTACAGCTCTGACACCAATTTCGAGCAGTGCCAAGCTGGGTGAAGATACCTAGAAGCCAACAAGGAGACCCTTTTTCGTGTCGACGTAATTTTGAAAGGGCATCAAGTTCAGGTTGTACAGAATTTTTCGTTGATTAAAACTTCGTGTTTAGAATCTGGGAAACTACCGTAATAAAAAAGTTATGAGGCTTTAAAAAGTGAAAAACGCATAGAGTTAGAATTTTGGGAATTTGTCACATTTTAAAGTGTATAGCTTAATTAATATGGTCGTTTCGCCAATTCTAAAGCGTGCGTTTTGAGCAGCGAAAAATTCTGCAGAAAATGGACTTGTTGCTATCTCAAAATTCTCTATTTCAACACTTAAAAACGTCTTTTTGTCAAGCTACCAAAACCGATAAAAATCATTTTGACGGCATAGTTCATGAACGTTAAAACGGGGTTTTTGTTGGAATTGGTGTGTAGCTTGGGGAATACATCGTACAACTCCCAAGAGGGATTCAAGAAGGTATCGTAGGAGTTGAACAGGGTCTGGACTAAAATAGGGAAATGTCTCTCTCTCTCTCTCTCTCTCTCTCTCCCATCTTTTCAATCTTATTCATTATCCGTCATCGTTGCACTTTATTTCTCGACGCCATCGCGGAAATCATTCCCATCTATGCTGATATTTCAGAAAGGCCAGTCAGAAACGCGCAGTTTTTGAATTTTCAGGGGTTTTAGTTGAATTTAATCCAGGGGTAAAGTCCGCCGGGGGAAGCCGGGATACCCACCATATTTTGGACGGACCGTTTGATAAGGAATAAATTTACGTCCTGTCTATGAGCTAAGTTCTTTTTTGAGGCGGGGCTTTTTTGTGTGTCTACGCTGATCTGGAACAAATCTACGGTATAAGACAGGCTCGAGCATCTATTTAATTCTTTTTGGGCTGTATTTTATGAATTTTACCTATTACCGTACACCTAGCAATACGTATATTAGCTTCATTTTGGCTTGTTTTTTTATTTTTAAACAGATCTCCACCATCTAAGCTCAAAAAATAAAACTTTTGCTTCATTTTTCCTTGATTTTGATTTTTAAACAAAACTCCAGCTATTTAATTCGTTTTAGGCTGTGATTTATGAACTATATTTATTACCGTAAACCTATCGGTACCTACGTTAGATCCATTTTGATGTTATTTTAATTTTTAAACAAATCTCAAAACAGCTATTTAATTATTTTCACCTTATTTTATTAAATACACCTATTACCGTACACCTAGCAGTACTTGTTAGCTGCATTTTGAACCCGTACCATTAATTAATCCGTACATCTCCCCCTCAAAAGTCTGGAATTCCTAGGATAGGCTTGTCATGTATAAGCTGCTCCCTTTGTCGCAAATCCGTTCCACCCGCTTCCAATGATCAAAAACACTGTCTAATTCCGATAATCCCCGGTTTTTAATCTAATCAAACTCCATTCTTTTCCCTACACCTCACTTCACCCATTTTAATAAAATTTAAGCGTCTTTTCGATCTTTAACGTTTTGTTTTAAATCAAGTTCAAATTCAGGCTCAACTATTCAAAAAAAAAAATGCGATGGAGGAGAAGCCTTGTAGAACTGCCTTTTATGGGTATTATCTTGTTTATACTAGCGTTACTCTGTGATACAGCCCTGCCCATAGGTAAGCGCCTCAGTTTTTGAACAGAAAGATGTCCATTTTTAGTCGTGCTCGTAAAAAATGATGAACTTCCATTCCCTCTTCTCGACGCTCCTATGGTGGTGAGTCTCCTAAACCTAAGCTAAGCCTAAGATAAGCCTAACTTAAGCTTGAGCCTAAGCCCGACCTAAGCCTAAGTTGGGCTTAAGCCCGAAGCCTAAGCCGAAGCATACACCCAAGCTACCTAGGCCTAAGCCTAAGCCGAAGCTTAGGCTTCAGACTGAGCCTGAGCTAAACCATGCCTAAGCCGAAGCCTAAGCTTAACTCTAATTTTAAGCCTAGACCAGAGCGTAAGCACAAGCGCAAGCCCAAGCAAAGCCTAAGACTAAGAATCGGCCTACCCCAAGCCCAAGCCTGAACCCGCCCATGACTAACTCTAACCAAACATCAGTTTCAGCGCGGTCGTCGAAATCTCGCCCCCGCTGTCTCGGAACCTTTAGATGTATGCGAGACGCGGATTATCCCCGACCACAGCCCGAAGTTCGGGCACAGTAAGTGAAACTAGACGATGAGCAATCACTACGAAACCTTCCAGTGCACAACGGGAGTCGGGTGGAAATCCAACAGGATAACTATTTCCACTTTACGGCGACATTTGTGGAATGTGTTTCTGAAGTCAGGGATCGGTGCTCAGCCATCGATCATCGCAGGCTTGTTTTTGGGCTGGTTAAAAAAGTTAAAGAAAACCAAAAAGAATATTTTCGGTTTTTGCCTCTAGATAGGTATTTCAATCCGGGTCAAAAATCACTTCAATTTTGCTATTTTTGCCGGAATCCCTCAAGAAAGCCGACTGAAGTGCAATTGACGCTTTGCTACAATTTTGTCAAAATTAATTTTGTCGACATTTCCGTTTGTCGGCATTTTTTTTGTCGACGTATCTTTTGTCGAGATTTCATTTGGTCAAAATATGATTTTTCGAAATGTAATTTTGTCGAAATTCAAAACGCGACATTCAAATTTCGACATAACTTTTCTCGACGATAATTTTTTGCGACTTAATAGAATCTAAAAAAAAGAATTAAATTTCCAGAAAATTATAGTGCGTTTTGGGACATACGTCTAATTCTTTATAATTTAAGTTATACCACTAAAAATCTTGCTCATAATCCATCTTCTAAACTCTCTGCCCTTTCCATATAAGGAACCACAAATACCCCCTCACGTATTGTTTACCACCTTTTAAATGGCGTCAGGCAAAAAAGAGCGGCCTGTGGCACCTGGGCATCGTTGAAAAATTGGTTGCCTGAACTCGGCAATCCTATCCTAATGCGTAGTTTTGCCTGGGAAAATAAAACGCTGACATAAACCCCCCCTTGTAAGGCGTTCAGGCACTCTACTTCCCCCACGCATACACCATATTCACCGCTCGGCCCCCAAAAATCTCAAATCCGATTCTCCGGGTCGAGTCTCCGTAATCCAACCGTATCATCATAGCACCACCGCAACGGTGGGATTCAATTTTGGAGAAATCATTGAAAACAAGGTGTGATGTTATTTTGTGGGGGTGGAATTGGGTAAATGTTGCTTAACGGGGGGGGGGGATACTAACGGGGTCGAAACCAATGATGCCTTCTTTTTTTAATGCGTAAAAAATACAAATTTTTGGGTACTGGACTGTTAGCGGGGGGATTTTACATCAGGAGAACCTGCTTTTTTCCCAGTATTGTGCGTTCCTATGAGAAAATAAAAACCGTTTTCTAGCATCTTATATTGTTTTGGATAGAAAAAGCTCATAAAAACTTGAAAACAAGAATTAATAAACAGACTTTTGGTTGAAAATGATTAAAACGACCAAAAAAAATCGAAACTTTTGAATTTTCAAAAATGTTTCAAATATTTTTGTGACTTTCTAGCCATCAAAACGACCAACAAACATTATAAAAATACAGTATTTATTATTAAGACAGGTATAGACGGAAAAAGAAGAATTAGCCCCCCTGCTAACAGCCCAGTACCAATTGATTTCCGCCCAATAACATCTTCCTCCCCCCCGTTAAACAACCTTTATCGTAAATTGATGCTCAATTGATATTTTATAGTTTGTCCTGACGGGATTTTTGAGCATCAGGTGCATTGAGGAAAAGGAGACGTGCGTAGAATCGGTTCCATCTGATTCATGCATAACTTAAGCGTAAATCGACTTTAATTGGGGGTCTGTTGGGTCGATTATCTGGCCATATTGTGTCGTGTCACACAAAACACCTGCTTTCCTCCAAAAGTATGTCGATTGGTCGGGGGGAAAAATGCATTATTGTGGCTGGATTGGGGTCAAGTTTCTGATATCTATCGTTTAAAAATCTATGGCTAGAATGGAATATAGCGTCCTTTAAAGTAAAATTGTTTAAAAGCATTTTAAGCATATAAAAAATAAAAGGAGCTAATTTTAGGGTACTGGACTGTTAGCGGGGGGAAACAAATTTTTGCCAGTAATCCTGTTCTGGTCCCATAAAAAAATGTTAATATAATTTTACACGTTTTTAGATTGAAACAAGCCTTGTCAAAATTTTCGGATTCTCCAAAATGTTTAAAAAGAGTTTTGTAACCGTTTAGCAATTAAAACTACCAAAAACCATGTAAAAATACACGAATTGTTTTTGACAGGTAGAAGTAGAAACAAAAATAGTTCCCCCTTGCTAAAAATCCCCCCTGCTAACAGCCCAGTACCAAAATCAAGTTAAATTATACAAATTAAAAGCTATTTAAAAGTCCAGTTAAAAGTTATTTATTTCATATCAAAATTCCAGATTCATATCCGAATGCGTGACAATGTATGAGCATCGCCCAGCCGGCGTTCGACTTGTCGGCTATGATGTTGATTTTATTGAGGCATCTATTCGGGTACGTTAATTAATTTTTGTTAATTAAATAAATAGGTTTTTATTAAATAACCGAACAAAAAAAATCAATGCCCTTTCAGGTGCCGATAGGATGCTCATGCAAAGTGCGAAAAATCCTTCATCCATTCCACTATCGCCCTGAAGACAAATAACCTCTGATTTTTCAATGTTTTTAGTTTAAGGGTTCAAGGAAAAGCTAGTCATCTTTAATTGACAAATATTTTTGAGGGCCTTGTCGGAAAAGTTGTTAAAAAGTCCCAAAACAGGATTGTCGGTTCCGATCCTTATTTTTTGAGCCTCTAGTCTCAATGGCAAATCCGCTCATCAAAAAAAATGAAGATTAGCGAGGGATGAGCAGTTTTTTCCTGTCAAACCTGATCGTTTTAAAGGTGTCGTAAGGCGGTAGCAATCAAATAGTGCAATCTATACGATCTTTACTAAACTATGTGGTCCGGGTAGTTTTTCAAGTTCTTAATAATTAACAATTCGACCTTTCCCTCCCGACACCAAATGGTCTTTCGGTACTGTGCTGTTAACAGGGGGAGTAATTTTGGTTTTTTCTGCCTGTTTCTCGTATTTTATAGCGTTTTTTTTTGCAGTTTTTGATTGCTATAAAACTACAAAAATATGTTAAACATTTTTGGAAACTCGAAAATTCTTACCTTTTTTGTCGCTTTGCATTCATTTTCGAAGTTTTTTACGAAATTTTTAAATCTAAACACTATGTAAAATGCTCTCAAAATACAGGATTAATGGAAAACTTAGCCTCCCCCCCGCTAACAGTCCAGTACCTTTGAGTTCTGAATTTTTCCGATTTTTTTGTGTATTCGGTGCCAAACATTATTCGTATTTGAGGGTCGAAATAAGCGGTTAGACTGGCCAGTGAACTGCTTGAAAACGTTGCGGCTAGCCAGTCTACCCAAATCAGAATTCTCTTTCTTATGCTAGCATTTCCGTGCTTTTCCGCTGTCACTTATCATCTACCCATCCCCGATGCCCTAGTCTTGTTGATCTCTATTTTCATATTTGTGATACACTCTTGGAAAAACTTGCTTGATCTCGAAAAAAGCTAGACCAGCCGATCTCCAGCCCCAGCTTTGTTATTATATTGTAAAATACACAAACGCAAATAAACTGCTGATAAAGAAAAGTTCGAAAATGCTAGGGTACAAAAAAGTCCAAAAACCCTTCAGGATTTGACCGTCTTGAATCCGATCGTAACCAAATTCTTACCAGCGATGGAAATTCATAAAAACTGCCAAATTTTCTAAGCAGAATAAGGTAAAATAAAAAATGTATCGCTAAAAACTGATTTTTTAAAAATGTTGACGCGCGTTTTTACTATGTTTTCGCAACTAGCATCCCGATTTTGAGTACTTTGCCAAAAAATGGTGCTACGAAAAATTTTGGGCACAAAGCAGAATACTTCCGGGGTTGCGCACACTGTGCCTTTCCAATCTTTCCCCCCGATAAGCACACACACAACACTCGCTGTCTGCTCTCTTCTCGGGTATGATTAACCTGTCGTAATCGATTCACGGCCAATTTAGGTATCTAAATTCTGAAGCGCAATATAGTCCCAACAATTATGGATGAAATTGGCTGGAAAAGACGCGGAACCGACAAACCTGGGGAAAAACGCAGACCATTTTTCCCGAGAATCAAACACGCCATCAAACTGATTCCTATTTTATTCAGGTGATTACTAAGAAAGAGGCGCTCTTAAATGTCGTGGCACGCAGCCTATCTTGTGCAGAATTTTACGCTGGTTTCAAATAAGTTTACCAAATTGGCTGAATCGCGATTTTCCGAAAGTTATGAACTAGCAAAGACAGAAAAATGTCCAAAACGAGCCACTTCCTGTCGTTTCCTGAATTATCGTCCATAACTTTCGGAAAATCGTGATTCGAAAAGTTTGGTAACTATATTCGGAATCAGCCAAGTATTCTACACAAGTTGGCCTTATTCCCAATTTACAACTAATTTAAAATTTAAATTCTATAAAAATAAAAAAAAATTAATTTTAGGTTCTTTCTCTACCGTTTTGGAGAATGGCTTAAAGGGCGAGGCGTTTTTATCGATATGCTTAATCAGATGTCACATGACCCCTATACCGGTTAGTCGAGTTAAAATACACTTCAAATTAAAATTAATTTAATTGAAGATCAAATGCCGACTCAAAGTTAAAATGATTTTCAGGGATGCCATTGGGTGGAATCGGTTCAGGAACGCTTGGTACAGATTATCGAATGGCATTCAATTCATTTTCAATTCTACCGGGCATTAAAGAAAAGGGTTGCCCCAATATTAAAGCCGACCAGGTATACCTAGAAAAAATCGTTAACTTTGTAGTTTGCAGTTTATCCTCTCGGTTCGCCGACCATCCGATGGGAAATTGTTATATGAAAAATGTCTAACTACAGCAACTTTCCGTTCTAAGCACCTTTCTGCTTGGGATCTATCTTTTCCGAAAGAACATTTCAAGTGAGTTATTCTAGCTTAACAACGAAACAATTTTTTGAGATACCGTAGTCTTTATCCGCGATCATGGACGGAATACCTGATACCGGAGCTCGGCCTGAAATTGGTGTGCGAGACTTTCTCCCCAATAATACCCCATGATTATAAGGTTTGTCGAGTTATCGAAACTGGTCTCTTAGTGGGGGGGGGGGCTTTTAGCAGGGCAACTGTTTTTTGTTTTTCCTCCTACGCTTGACGTAGTTTTATAGTGTTTTTAGTAGTTTTTTATTGCTAAAAAGTCACAAAACATTTTCTAAATTTTTAAAATTCGGAAATTTCTATCTTTTTTGACCGAAAGTCAAAAATTCTCATAATTTTTTATAAACTTTTTATATAGCTTGTAAAACGTTATAAAAACTATTGATATATCTTTATAGGAAAGTGCCAGATTATTGGGAAAAATCTGGTTTTCCCTGCTAAAAGCCCCCCCGCTAACAGTCCAGTACCAAACGATAAGCAGCTTTTCAAAACTGTATTTATAGGATCCATCTTTACCGGTGGCTTGTTTCGATTGGTCTATACAAAACGACAGCACAATCGATTATGACATATCCATCGCTTTCACCTTCCGAAATGGAACCGGAAACTCAAAATGGCAAGCCGAAGGCCCTTGCAGGTTTGTATTTCCACCTCTATGCCCTTTCACTTTTTTCTCCCAACTTAGCCATCACCCCATTTTAATTTACGCAGAGATCAGCTGTTTTCGACCGGAAAACTCCACTCGATTAATTGTGGCATTTCAAGCGCGACGTATTGCAAATTAGTTGCACCTGCTGAGCTATTTTTCCATAGCCATCCAAATGCTAGACTGGCAGGCGAGACGATAAGGGGCATGAGCGTAAAATTCAAAAAGATATTTGGGATTTTGGAACTTGCAGAGTTTTTGCAAAGTGTGGGTTTGGCAGAATTCGCACGAATTTCTCTGGGACGTTGAAAAAAAAACAATTACCGCAGTGACGTGTGCTTCCTAAGACGTCTGCTGGCTTGCAAAAATCATTTGTTTGAAAATGATAGGTACTGGACTGTTAGTGGGGGGGTTAGAAGCGCAAATAAACTAATTTTTCTCATTATTCCTGTAAGGTCCGCTAACACAATATAAACGATTTTACATTTTACAACGTTTTTATGTTTAAAAGGCTCATCTAAAATTTTAAAAACATTTTCAAAATTTGTGATTTTTTGTAAAAATAGGTGAAAAATGACAAAAAAATCAAAATTTTGGAATTTGAAAATATTTACAAGGTTTTTGTAAATTTCTAGCAATCAAAAACTACGAAAAACCTTATAAAAATAGTCTATTTATTATCAAGGTACTCATAAACGAAAAAAAATTCGTCCCCCCGCTAACAGTCCAGTACCGTTTGCGCTTATGCTCTTATGATCATTGCTCTCTCGCAAATTTGCAAACAACTCAAAAAAGAGTCCAAAAATGAAAGGCCAATCGGTACCTAATTGGCCGGCAAGAACTCCTACCCTCTCCAATAATGAAAGTGAGCTCAAACCACATGCTCCAGCAGGGTGGGGAGTAATAACCTCGAATCATTTATAGTTCAGCAGCTGTTCATTTGTAGCCCTTCCAAATGCCGCCATCAAGCTATTTTTGGGGGTCGACAGTCTGTTCTCTGCAAAATAGCACCTGGGCGCCTTCTTTATTATGGTTCCCGCGCGCTTTGACCAACTCGCAGAAAGGGTTTTAATTAAGGGGGACGAACGCTAATTTACAGTTAATAATAAATAGTGTATTTTTATAAGGTTTTTCGTAGTTTTTCATTGCTATAAAGCTACAAAACATATTTTAAAATTTTTGAAAATCCGAAAATTTTGATTTTTTCGCCATTTTTCATCAAAAAGTGAAAAATTTCGAAGTTATAAGTTTTTATGAGTTTCTATACCTCAAAAATTGTGTAAATTTCTTCCAGTACTATTTATTGAAATATAGAGGACATCTGGTGCGCGAAGGGAGTCTTTACGGTGTGGAAGTCGGCCATACGATACGCACGCTTCCAACCGTCTTCGGAATCTATGCTGTGAGTACAAAATAAGCTTCAAAACTGGACGATTTGATAGACGGCCGATGATAAAACAACCGTTTCGACCGATTTCTTTGACCCAACCGGTGATGGTCAACAGCTTTGGGATCAAATTGGGGCTGGCGGCCTTGAGAATAGGCCAGCTCAAGCCCATAAAACTCGGAAACAGCTTGGCATCGCGTGCTGTCAAACATTCACTTCCCACCATGGAACATCATCTCAAAAACGGTTCACCCTAGTGTGGAACATGCCTAGAATTTCGTTTGCTGGCGTGCGAAAATTCAGCAGGTTTGAAGCCGGCGCTGCTTTTATTCCTATACTACGGCTTTAGGAGATATACGCGTTGGTTTGGCACGGATTTGGATGATACATGGAAGATTGTAGAATATGCACTGCAGAAAGCCGACGACTGGAAACAGCGGATTACAGCGTGGCAGAGCCCGATCTTGGAACATAAAATCCTACCGGATTGGTATATTTTATTAAAAATACGGGGTGTCCAAAAAAACGCATCCGGTTTGATCGTCTTCGATCCAATCCATTTCATTTTTTACCAGCTATGGGAACCCGTAAAAACACTCGGTAGCCGAATTTTCTCAGTAAAATAATGTAAAATATAAAAGCTATGGCTAAATTAATGCTTGTTTTGAGGGATTTCGACCTCCGCATGTGTGGTGAAAATGAAAAGAGACTCTTTTCTATCTGGAGGATTTATTGATTTACGAGAATATCGTTTAAATCGGCAGTTTAATCGCAGTTGATCATCAAAAATGTCGGAGCCTGGCTCCAAAAATGACCACTTTTCGGGAAATTGCTCAAAATCGGCATCCTAATTGCGAAAACATTGTCGCGCCAGCATTTAAAAAATTGGTTTATCAGCTATAACTATTGTATTTTACATTAGTTTGCTTTGAAAATTGGGCTGTATATAGGTTTTATGGATCCCTATCGCTGATAAAAATTGGGAACCAATCGGTTCGAAGATGATCAAATGCCGAGGGTTTTTTATTTGGGCACCCTGTATATGATAACGCTTCCCTAGGTTCAAATCGTGTTTATTGAATGAGCTCTATTACATCAGTGACGGTTCTACAATTTGGTATGATACAGCGAGTCGGGCCGTGCAAATGATGGGCGAGTTTTAGGGTGGAATTCGACGAGCAGTGGCTAAATGACGAACCGGGTCTCAGCCCGCTCACTGTTCAACAATACCGCCAATATGGGCGATTCGGATATGCTGAATGTAATCCCTAGATATTACTAGAACATATATTTAGCATGGGAATATTTGATGGTGAACACCTACGACGTGCATTTCTACGGAAGTTGGGCCTTATACGAATTGTGGCCGCATCTCGAGCTCGGAATGCAATTCGAGTTTTGTAGGTGTTTTCATAGTTTCTAGTTTTGGAGTAGTTTTTGTATTTTGTGCACAAATTTGCGAGTACAAACGAGTATTGCAGCTGACCAATTTCGACGAATCGACACGCACACAGCCACTTCGCTACAGGCCGGTGCAGAAATGGCTAGGAAGCGAAAAGGGCGACTTCCACATGATGTTGGCAACCCAAGTTTGTTATTATAATTTTTTGGTTCCCTTATTTTCGAGATTTTTGTAGACGTCACTCGATAGAAAATGGAAAAAATCTACCAGGAGTTTGAATTTCCGGCTAAAATAATGTGATACTAAATAGTTACAGCAAAAACAAGTTTTGGAAATTAATGAAACTCTTACCTTTACCTACACTACGTCAACTAGACGCGAAAACCCCAAAATTCAGATGGAGAACCCTGGCTGGAGGTGAATGCCTATTCCCTACACGATACTAGCGGCTGGAAAGACCTCAACCTCAAATACGTCATCCTTTCCTATCGTGATTATCGCGGAATCGTCTTCAAAAATAATGGAGAAACGGAAGCAAAGAAGATACTTGCTTTCTTCTTTGAGCGAAGCAGGGAGATTATCGATTTAGGGCTTGTGGAATGGGATATAGTAAGGGAGTAGGGTTTTGTAAGAATGTTAAAATTAAGGACGGTGATGGGATGATCGAAAACAATGGTACGCCGGATCAAACTTATGATATCTGGTCGATGAAGGGGACAAGGTTCGAATTAATCGATAAAAATGTACTCGCCAAAGTCCTAAGCTTAAGAGAATAATCTAATAAGGATTATAGCGCGTACTGTGGCAGCCTTTGGATAGTTGCCGTTGAATGTGTCCGGAGGATGGCCATCGAACTGGAGGATCGAGACGCTGAGATGCGCTACAAGAAGATACTGGACAGGGCGTCCGACGCCTTCATGACAAAATTGTGGACAGGCAGGTACGGTAGCCGGAAATACTTTAACCATAAAAATCCAACTTTATACGTCACTCTATACAGCCACAGCCGTTTGAACGCCAAAAATGCGCTGGAAGCTAATACTATGAAATTTAGTAACCCTAAATTTATCTAAAACCAAAATCTATACTCTTATCCAGAATTACTGAATTAAACCAGTAATTTAGTTACTTTGCCTTCGATGAAACCCCGCAGAACCGCTCTCTAATCATGGCCGACCAGCTATGCGGCTTTTGGTTTCTTTCATTGATCGACCAAAAGGTAATACTTCCGACAAAAACCGAATTGTTTCAAAGGCGTGCGGCTCGCTACTGGGTGAACTTGGCCCGGGGGCCCTACAAAAGTCGATGGCGACGATCTACGAAAAGAATTTAATGGGTGTGTATGGAGGATCATTAGGACCTGTCAATGGTATCAGGTAACTAAAACAGATATGACAAGATCCGTCCACGTCATCCCTAACAACTTCTTCATCTATCCGATTTTGCAGGACGAACGGCCGCATCGACACAAGCAGCATTCAAAGCGAAGAAATTTGGACTGGTACCGCTTACAGCTTGGCGACTTTGCATTTCCTTTGTGTAAGTGGAGCGATGCAGACTTAAAATACTATCAGGGTCAATTGACGGAAGGCCTAGAATTGTGTGAAGGCATGCACCAAAACATATGGAACACCTTTGGGATGCAATACCAGGTAGAGTTACATACGCGTTGTGCCCTAAAGTAGTGTCTAAAAACCATATTTTTCAGACCCCAGAAGCGATTTTCCCCGCCAACTACTACAGGGCTATCGGCTATTTACGACCTCTGTCTGTTTGGTCAACGTTAGCTGCATTGCAGATGAAAATCTCCTGAGTATTTCTCGCCCCTTCAAATGAATATATATTTATCGCGGAAAAACAAAGCAACCTATTGAGATCGGAGCAAATCGGGTACTTTTCCACCGGCATTGAGACCATCGACCAACACGGCAATCAATCGGTAAATATCAACTGCAGCGAAACTAAAAAACACATAGATAAGCACAGCCGCATCTACCCCATATGCATAAATCCTGTTTCATGTTGTACATTCAAGCGTCTCGATATGTGGTCACCAAGATAGGATATTCTGGCTAGCTCGACGTCTCCTGAACAGAAAGTTGCTGAAAAACAAAGTTCTCTTACCAATAGAAAAGCTGATGGCACGTCGTTCGCTCAAATACAACTGCGAAGCAGACAATTCGCATTTGTTTACCGACAGTCCTAGCTCTCTGCAACAATCCATACAGGTAGTTAATAAGATCTTACCGTAATAGGTCAGCTATTATCGCCTTGACTTTTTCATTTGCTTGATTTATCCCATCTTCGCCATAGTGCATGATCAGTTGCACATAGACATCGCGCTGTCGACACGAAATAAGATCCAGCCCACCTAAAATGAAACGAGTTTCGCGACCCTAGGGCTGTATTTTACCTTGCGCGTGATATTTCGGTCCGGCAGAGTGAAGAGACACCGGCCAAAAATCAGCAGGATATGAAAACTTCGCTCGGACAAACGTGGAGACCAGGGACGGTAGAGAGTTCCCAACGAGATACATTTCCGGCGTTGCGGCGGTTCCTTCGGTAAAGCCACTAAACCAATGTTATCTGACGACCCAAATATACCAAAATTACCTAAAATTCGACGCTTCTTCGTGACAACCTTCTATGACCGCTGCTCGGGCAAAGTTCGAAGGCGAGATCACCACCGCACCAGGGAATTTGTTCAGGAAAAGCTCCCTAAAATCGGCTATGCATCTAAAGCGAGCGACGTACCTTAGTGTCCGGCTCCAAGCAGGCAAATATCCTAACATGTTGATTGTGTTGACCTCCTTGTTAAACGAAAGTAGGCCATTCCTCAAACCAGGGTTTACATTTTAATAAAGCGTTACTTGTTGAGGTAAGCCACATGATTGGACACATATTTGCCAGTGCTGGTGGACGGAGACTTGTCGACAACTAAAACGACTTATTATTTAAAAAACCGCCAACAGCGAAAAAATATTAAACGTACCAGGGTCAAGTGAATTCGGTAAAGCCAGGGCCCCGAGCAGCCCAGAATACGCCGCTTTCATATCCCGTTTGGCTTCTCGGATCAATGGAAGTCCGGCCTGAAGAATTTTCGAATTCATCCAAGAAAAAGTATACCTCCGTCTGCACCCGTTCCACATAGCATGCATACAGTTTCCACCATCTTTGGTAGGCTTCATAAGTGGCGGTGACGTCAACTCTGTAAAAAAATAAACTAGCAGAATGATGGATATACCGCATGCCACGCGCCTTCACATTTTCTTCCAAGGCTTTCAGATCTCGGAACGTTGTCGGTAGCAAAAATACCTAGATTTTAGATCATAGATCATCCTGTGATGATGAAGCTCACATGTGGGTCGACCACGTGTATGTGTCCAGCCGGGGAAAATCTAGCTGCCAAATTGAGCATGCGATTTGGAAACGATAATCGCATCTAAATAATTTATCGGTATGCACATTCCAAATTGATTGCCGGGAAGATAGAATATGCCAATAAGTATCACAGCCGAAAAAATTCGCGGAAAGAAAGCAATTTCAGACATAAGTGGAACCTCCACAGAGCAGCAATAAATACAAGGAGCTCATTTCTTAGAACCAAAGGCAGAAGTGTCCTGGGGCTTATCTACACCCTTATACCCCAGTAGCTTCTTCATCTGATGATCCTGGCTTCTCACGATAGTATCGTTCCTATCGGCCTTCGTCTGGATTCTATCCAGCATTTGGTTTTGATCCTCCACTTCTCGGCCCAAAGCTTGGCCAAGGTTTTTCAAATTGGACAACTGCGACGACATTCCATGAAGGTTGTCATTAATTTGTTGGTCCATCGCCTCCCATCTTGATCCCTTGATCGCGTTCATCGATGAGTCGCTCAGGGTGGGCCCGGAGCTTCCTGATGTAGAACAACTTCCGGAACCCATCCCTGACACGGTGTCGGAAAGATGAGAGGCCGACTTAGATTGCGGGACCGAAACGTCATTTGGCTGCTCAGCGGGCTTCTTCGAAAACTTGTTCTTGAAATATCCGCCAAACAAGCTTTTGAGGCTGTTCAGGCTCCGTTGCGTTTGCTGAGTAGTACGATGAATTTCATCAAGATTCTTCTCGGTGCGCTCAAGTTTTTCGCGTTGCTCAAGGAGATCCTGAGCCGTTTTGGCGCCGACCTGCTCACTATTGGCCAGATTCCGCTTGCTGCGCTCAGTGCTGTCTAGCGATTCCTGCATACATCGCTCGATCTCTTTCTCGTAGTAATCCACATCATCCTCAATGGAACCGCCGCCATTTGAATAAGACTTGACTGGCTGGTTGTTGTAATCCCCAAATGGATTCGACATTTCCCTAAAAGTCAAAGTTCATACACGTTGCTAACTTTTTGAGAAGGTAGTAGCCGTGGAATAGATACCCGGTATTGAGCACAAACAAACTGCATCTATTTCCAAAATTCTTTATTAACCCGTTTAATACAGATGTAATCTGAGCAATTCACAGAAAAGGCATATGATCAATGGAAGTATGGTGCTCGGGAAATCTTCATTCCGTATTCCTTTAGCACTGGATCGAGGATTTCGTTGGTCAACGTGTACTTGACATCTTTGTTGGAGCTCGCCTAAATTTCAGGTTAACACTAGTTACAAGGCAAAAAATACCTTCTTGGACGGACCAACGCCCAGACCCTTCATACGAGCCTGTTGCATGCAGTCCAGGGCAATGTCGGAAACGAACTTCTGAGTCGCGAGCGAGATGAGCCTAAAATAGGAACATTAAAAAAGTCACGCGAATGAAGCCTTACCGCACAATACGAGGATCGCAATTGGATACACCGGCCTTGCCCATGTAATACTGCGTCACAGAATCGGGGATCACCGGGACAAAGTCGTCGAGAGCATTCACGAACTCGCGTAAGTCCGCTCCGGGATCCGTCTGAACAAGCAAGTGCAAAAAAAACGGCAAAAAAGGGTACCGTCGCAGTTTGGTTAAGTACGGAAAGCTGCGCATCATTCAAGGGGCGCTGGACGTTTTGGCGAACTTCCTGGAGAGATGGCTCCGACAGCATAGCCATGCTATTAAACTAAATGAAACACTTAGATCATTAGGCTTATGGGCATACCGTAGACGGCCCATCGCCTGCCCGGTGTTGCATATCGTGACGTATCATATATGCAGGATCGGGTTGCATCAGGGTTGGTTGAATCTAAACAGAGGGTATACACTGCTAAAACCTCGGTTACCGGATGACGGATATCGTCCATGACCGGTGGAAGGTGCGCATTAGCGAGTTGGCCAGAGTGGTCCAAAAGCATTGCGGAAGGATCGAACTAAAAAGCAATACTGTTGGCACAAATTCACAAGAATTACTCCGAGCATCTGCGAATCCCCGATTGGCGCTAGCATGTGTTTCCTGTTGTCTTGGACGGAGCCGGGCATAGTCGTTGTACGATGAAACTAAACGTAAACTTTAAAAGGCTTGGCGGTGATCAAGATTAGTAAGATTTCTACACTATGTTGACCATATGTATACTTCGTTCTCCAAAAGATGATAACGTTAGATAACAGACCTCAGACCCCTGTCCTGGTCCCGCAAACCCTGCGGGCGGCACGAATCCCAGAAACTGCGTGGATGAAGAGGCAGCAGAATAAGATTCCCCCGCTTCCATTGCTGCAAAACCCTATTAATTGAGGCAAGCCAAATACACGGTATGGCTACTAGCACTTAGCTCAGATAAACGTTTGGCACACGTACGTCTACTACCGAATGCTTCAAGAGAAACCGAACCACTTTTAAAATTTATGCCGGTAAGAAGATAACAAGAGAAAGCAACAAAATCGATCAAAATGACAACAAAAGCAGAACCGCACGCAACAAAATGTAAAAAATCTTAAAGGAAGAGTGATCATGAAAGCTGAGATTTGTGCTTGAGAACGAGATGGGAGCAAGGAAAGCTTGATGTTAGCCGATCACATCTGCTGGGGCATTCCTGGCATCATTCCGCCAGATTGGGTGCGAGGATTCTTCACCGTCTGGTCGATAGATAGGACCAAGCAGACGGCCTCAGTGGCGGCAGTGATAGCGTTCTGAAATTAATGAATTAATGAACGTAAACATAACGCGCAGATAAATCCAAATTGCCAAGTAAAAAGTATTATACCTTCTTGACCAAGCTCGGCTCCCAAACAAATGCCTCATAGTTGTTCATCACGATCTCCTTGTGGATGTTGATGCCAGCCCAGATTTCACCTGTTATTCCTTTATATAAATTTTATAAACAATCTGTACCTTTCGCGTGACGGTGACGCAGCTTGTTGAGCACATCAGTGGCGTCAATCCCGGCATTGTAACACAGCTGCTGTGGAATGATCTAAACACAACAAAATAAGTATACACCTTCATAACAAAAAAATTCTGTCTATAAGCGATAAAGCATACCTCAAATGCACGAGCATAGGCCATCCAGAAGAATTGTTCCTTGCCCAGAAGCTTACGAGCCTCGGCGCGCAGATGTGTGGACAATTCCATCTCGATGGCACCACCCCCTAAAGCAAAACTCTTAATAAACTGACAATTTCTTACCAGCCACCACAGAGTCGTTCTTCTTGGCGCGGCGTACAATCATGATAGCATCGTGCAGGGAGCGCTCAGTTTCAGCAATGAATTGGTCAGCGCCTACGAAACAATATTTTTGCGGAGTCGGCAAAACGAACCTCCACGGAGCAACAAGGTGCAGGCCTCTGCCTTCTTGCAGCCTTCGAAGAAATTGAAACTTAAAAAATATATATAAACTAGAGAAGCTAGGTAGATACCGTTCAGAGCCGACTTGCTTCTCGGAGAATGTGTCACAGCTACCGAGAAGAGACTCGTCAATTTGCGACACCTAAGCCACTTGAAAATGTACCCAGCCAATTTTACCGTCGTCAAAATGCTGCCACCGCAAGCACCAACGATTCTATCCAGATCATCTTCTGGAATACGGCCAGCGCAGAACATATCTCTGGAAACCTTTGTTAAGCATCAGTAATGGAGGAAAATTGACAAGGGAAAAAAGTAAAACAGGAAATCAAATTCTGAATACCTGTCGGCAAACCACTGCGTGGCCACATCTCCGACTGGAAGCTTGCTGAGGACAATCTTGGCGCCACTGTCGTGGATCTTCTGCAGTTTGTCGTAGAGGATATTCCACTCGGCATCCACAACCTAAAACCAGCATAAAAATAAAACGCTTTCGCTCCTACCGCCTGATAGTCAGCAACATTCTTGATGCGCATCTGAGCATTGTCCTTTTCCGCCTTCAGCTCCAGTTCGATGTTCAAAATAGCGATCTTCGGGTTCTAAAAGCTCAGTTCATTCAGAAAAGTTTAACAAACCGCATATTTCTTCGGCTGCATCTCGAAACCCGCATAACTGAAGGCCTTTTTGAACGCAATTCCACGAACAAGGTGCGACTCCTAAAATGAACACTACAAAACAGATATCGAGAAAGCGCCGTACAAAGCGGAAGCTGACAAACGCGGCGTGATGCACGCGCATCAAAGTTTGACGGATTCGTGAACGGAGCCGTGAATAAGAAAATCAATTACCAAAAGACTTCCACCGCCGACTTTCTTGATTCCAATCATCTTGAGGGGAAGGTCGTCGGCCAAGATGTTAACGGCATCAACAACCATCTCGGCAAAATGGGCGCGCTCTTGCGAAACCTGAAAAAATTTTCTTGCCTCTAAAAAGTGTCTTACCAGTTTGCTCGACAGTGTAGTGGCAGCACATTTCACGAGCATTTCGCGTTGAGCCTCGGTCCCTTCAACTTTGACGGCGAGGCTATCAAGCTTCTTGATGGCCTCATCGCAAGCCTTGCCGAAAGCACGGATCAGAAGCTGAGGATGGACACCGTCTTCGATGAAAGGTTTGGCACGCTTCATCATCTCGGCTGCCAGGACTACCACTAAAAAGAAATCCGTTATGTAATTAGGGAAATTCAACAAAAGTAAAAAAGGTGCTTACCAGATGTGGTGCCATCTCCAACTTCGCAGTCCTGCGATTTGGCAATGTCAACCATCACCGAAGCGGCGGGATAGACAATGTCGAGCAACTTCAGAATTGTGGCACCATCATTGGAGATTGTAGTTTCGCCTACAGCAACTTATCAAATAAGCATATTACCAACCTTTGCTATTGACGATCAACTTGTCGAGACCGCGAGGTCCGAGTGTGGTGCGAATCGAGTCAGCCACGAGACAGCATGCGTTGATGTTCGACACAATCTGACTTTTGCCTGCCACGAAATCAACAGAAAGGGTAAAATCGCATACCCTGTTTATTTTCAGTGCCGTCTTTCAGCAGAACGATCGGTGGGGCCATCATCTTGCAAAGTGTCCGTGAAGAAGGTTACCTAAATTTATCTTTGGTTAATCAGCGAGACACCGACAAAAAAATCAGGGAGGCTTCGAGATTACAACCCACAAAATAGTCTAATCACAATAAAGTTTATTATAGCTGAAAAGATATAGCCGTAAAATAAGTGAGAACATCGGAAAGTGAGGTAATATGATAAAACAGGGGCCAAAAAGGCAATGTGATCAATTTCGGATTTACTACGATTCGAGCGCCGTGTCAAAAGTATCGCCTTGTTTGCGAAAGAAAGGAATCGGTTGAGATCGAAAAATTCGCAAGATGTACCCGGAATTTCGTAGTTTTGGTGGGCTGTTCACAACAATAAAGACCAAAATGAATAGAGTTCATGCCAATTGGGTTAATTGTGACGCAAGCCAAGGGATTGTTCAAGTTCATGGCGCCGTTGTTGGATCTTGGCGTAATAATGACGATGAACTGCTTCGGGAATGTTTGGCTGTAGATATGTCTCCGCTTTCTTTTCTTCTTCGATTTCGCCGTGTTGTTCGGAAACGCGCTTTAGCTCGTTCGTTTGGGCCTCGATCCATCTCGATATAAAGCGATTCGGGTTTTCGCTGAAATCCTTGAAAAAATCGCGCCGCTTCTGCAATTCGTTGGCCTGATCCACCAAATCGTAGATCCGCTGATCAAGTTGATAAATATCATGGTTGTTAGACTGCAGTTGCATAAACGTGAGAAAATGTTGCTTCAGGTGATCATCGACTTCGACCTCAATGTCGTAGCAGGCTGTATTATTACCGCCTTCCTTTTGTTCAATTGTGTGATGCAGGACAACTGGATCGGGCTGTTGGAGAAGGGCGTGCAATCGTTGAGGAATTTCCAAAACGCGCATTCGCTTGCAGCCGAAAATCTGCTCCAGGAAAACGTCGTTATTGATGCTGTCGGCATCAATCGGATCTTGAAGTTTGTAGGCTTTGATGTATTGCCATAGCGCCTCAATTATTTTTGGACGCGTTTCCGTGGCTATTCCAAGTAACTTCGCCAGCCTTGCATGCAACTTGAATTTCATTGGTTGGTGATCAAGCAGCAATAGAATCGTACATTTGACAGGTTTATTACCCGGTCTCTTCACTTGGAAGCCATCGGTTTCTCCAGTCTGAGGTGTTCGATGCCATTCCACCAAATGATTATCAGGGCCATAGATGTCCTTCTCCAGCTCGATCACCAGGCTTTTGAAATAAGACGAAAATTTGCGTTTCGGCAGAGATCGACTGGACGCCGCAGATATCTGACCTGGCTGCGCTTCTTCGAGGAGCCGACCTTCTACACGCAACTCCCACATGGGGATGATTGGCTCGTCGCCTTCTTTTTCTGGCTCTCTCCCAGGGAAGAATGTGTGGCTGATAAAGATTCGCAATTTCCGCTTCGCTTTCATCGGCCTCTTGAGCGATTCCTGGATATCCAGCTTCTTTCGATTAATCATCAGGTCGATCTTCTGCTCAACGGTGATGAGATCCAAATAAGCTTGAGCTTCGGGCACCAGTTCTTGAACACGCGATGAGACGTACTTTTCCGTGCAGCGCTTCTTTTTCTTTGGCGCTGTGTTCGCACGCGGGGTCAAGCTCGTCGAAGCCGGCCCTGTAGTAAGAATGCGTCTCGCTTGCTGGCCGGGACCATTTTGAAGAAAGCGAGCTTGCGGCGTTCCTGGCGGCGGCAGGCGACCAAGCGAGCTCATTCCTAAGAAGTAAGAATTAGAATCGGAACATAGTGAATGTCAAAGACGAAAATTCAAATAAAAGGAAAGCTAGAGGTGATGCATGCGAGGGGCAAATATTGCCTTTTTGATAACATCCATTTTTAGGCTGCTGGGAGGTTAGGACAAAGGAAGGCGCGGTGCAAAAATGTGAAAGAGCGTGGTAGGGATTTTAGTAACAACTTTCCAGCACCGACAAAATATCTAGGGATTCTTTCAACGAGAAGGTTCTCCCCCGCCTTACACTAACGAAAGAACGAGAGCGATGCGGCCGGTGGCTACGATTACAGGACACGCTTTAGCGGTCGCGCCCAAAGCTGCATTGCGAAAGCCTCACCTAACCGCCAGTTTAAAATGCTGGTGAATAAATAAGTAATGCAGTCAGACACATCCAGTAAGCCAGACCTTCAGACATAAGCAGTCCAGCAAAAAAAACAACAAGAAAAATATTGAATCAGCGCACAAAACGCTTTAGGAAAATAATACAACCACTTTCATTAGAACAATTTATAACAAACAAGTAGTCTAGTAGTCTCCTAGTCAGCGCAAGAGGAATCGCAGCTTCAACTCCTTCGGGCCTAAGAACATTCCAATCAATATCAAAATCGCACCTGGTTTCAAGAACATCTCCGGTAGAACAAAATCAGTTGGTGGTGAGTTGGGAGCGGGGAGAGGCAGTAGATACTTCCACAAGCCATATTTATCCTCGGGCTTCTCAGAGGATGTGCATGCCTAAATCAAAACGTTGGCAGGTGAAACAAATACGGGGTACCTTCTTAGGGCTATTAGGCGTAGTAGTTGTGTCTGAGGGGTAATTCTTGCTGGTCGACGGCATAGCCTGAAAGCATGAAATGTATGGATAACTTCAACGTTACCTTTTTAGGGCTATGGGGCATAGTAGTTGCGTCTGAGGGGTGCTTCTTGCTGGGTGGCGACATGGCCTGAAAGCATGAAATGTATGGATAGCTTCAACGTTACCTTTTTAGGGCCATTGGGCGTAGTAGTTGCGTCTGATGGGCGCTTCTTGCTCGGACGCGACATAGCTGAAAGCATGAAATTGTATGGATAAGTTCAACGTTTGAGGGAGCGTTGGGAAACCGAAATAACGCGGGGGGGGGATTGCGTAATGTGGTCACTAAACGGATTTCGGATTTTTATATGTCAAGGTGATCAGCAGTGTCAATGTCAAAATGATCGTGAACCAGCTTGAACTGCTAAGCACTTGGATATCCAAATAAAATCCAAAATCCGTTTAGTGATCAATCATATAATGCATTTCGATATTTGGTAATGCAGTTAACGGAATACGTGTGAACCGCATTGTAACTTCATGTATTTATCAGAAAAACCAAAAACCGATACCACGTAACATAATTCCAAGCCATCATGGCCATTGATCACAAAATAAATAACACGGATGGAGTTTGGCGATGGCTCAATGCTCATACAAAAACGGTGGCAAGGCCATAAGATTGCAAAAAGACACAAATATAGCTTCAAACATCAGCACGTCATAGAAAAAGCTGTTGGATTAATGCATTTGGGAGGTCGACGCGGAGCCCCAGGATCGTTCGGACTTCTTTTTCGCTGAGATGTGTCGTCGCCACATGGCGCCAAAATTCAGCAGCTTCTTCCACCGTATCCACATTCAACAAGTCAACGACCCAAAAAAATAATAACATTGACATACAGCGAGCAAATGAACCTGTGTCATCCTTGCGCATCTTTCCCTTGCTGACCATCCGGCAACTCCTGATAGGTATCTAAGAAAATATTATGCGCGACAACAAAGCATACGATGTAATTTTCCGGAACTCCTTGTCGATTTGCAAGCCGCCCAGGCGATTGAATGGGCATTTTAGGACAGCACGTTCAAACTGCTTACAGGTCTCACTCGATACGGCGAGGAGGAGCGCCTAAACATTTTTTTAGGCTACAAGTGTCATGAAGTAAATACGTTGTAGTTTTCCACATGCAGCGCTGCTTGGAAGCCGGCCGCGGTTTTGTCGACGACCGACACCAAGGTATCAACCCAAGGGTCTGTGGCATCATAGGTGTTCAGTTGTTCTTCGTTCAACACATGGCTGATGTCAATGTAGGCATCACAACTAAGCAGAACAATCTTTGTCTAATCGGTAGTAACAAACCAGGCGCGGATCCGGGGGCGGAAGGCCGATTGAGAAAGTTGCAGAACCGCCCGCTCAGCAAGATTTTTCATTTTGCTGCCCACTTCCTCGAACTGAGCCAACGAATGTTCCACCTTTACCGCGGCGGCCGCAAGACGCTAGAAAAACAAAATTATATTAAATACTATAAATAAGAATAGCATGATAAGCCAAGCGACGAGCATAAACCTTACCTGAAACTTTGTCGATTCCGCATTAAGACCCTTCTCCAGCTCCCAGATGAGTTCCGTGGCGTGTCGGGCATTATTTGCAGCGGTAATAAACTGTTCTCGTTGAGCATCAGGGCCAGCGTCAGCAGCCGTCTTTCCATGTTGGAGGACATTATAGGCGGTTTGCGCCGTTTGGAACGCTTCAGCAACGTATCCAGTAGAGGGGTAACCAGCCTAACAAAACATTATCGTGGTGTCTAATTTAATACTACCTTGATCACTCCGTGAAGATAGTCGTGAAAGCACGAATCAAGTAGCGTACAAACATTATTCAATGTCGCACAGACGCCATCGATGCAGGTGGTCGAGAAAGAACGTTTGATCGACTTCCGGCAAATAAAAAGCACGTCATCGACGACGGAACTAAAATACAACACATAACCGCGGCGTTCTAATTTTAAGAACCTGTACAGCTGATCAGCCTCTTTTTGATCCATCGCGATAGCTTTTTCGATACTTTCCAGCACGTAGAAGTTTTCCAATTGGATGTAGCATCCCAGCAGTTCCTAGAAAAGTCAGGTAAAAAAAGGGAGTTGCCAGCATTACCTGCATTTTTGTGCCAAGCAGACTGCGATTCAACAAAGCGTCAATTTTCTGTTCCCGTTGCTCTTTTCTTTGCTTCATCTCCTTTTCGCGTTTCACCTTTGCCTCCTCATCAAGGTCGTCGTCATCTCCACCCTAGGAATAAAGATGTTACCAGAAAGGAAAGCCAGGTGAGGAGAGAATCAGTTAGAAATTACCGCCATCCGCTTTTCATCGCCTACTCGGCGCTTTAGGAAACGTGAATACATTTCAGCATGTGATTGCATTTGCGCCATCTCAAAGATGATGCCGTCCAAACCCAACGCGTCAGGTTTCTCTAAAACATACATTGAAGAACCGTAAGGCGGAAAACCTGTCGCAGAATCAGGGTCTCTCAAATATCTTTCGACGGCTCGAGCCAGTCGGTCCACGTGGCGACTCTTTCCAAACTCCTTCAGGATTTCGTCGACGAACTTGTCAATTTCATTCTAAAAGTTTAGATAATGTACGGTAAAGCCGGGATACCTGTAGGAGCTGAATAAAATCCAGATAATGGTCTGAACCGAAGCTATTTTCCAACAAGTTTTGGCAACTCTCGATTATTCCAGCAACGGCTGCAACATATATTTGTTTGAACGGTTTCCGAATAATTCACCTTCAAAAAGAAGGAACAATGAGTCGGCATAGAGTACATTCCGCCTAGAATCATCCGTTCCTCCAGCACGCATGACCTTAAAAGAGAAGTAGAATCACAATTAGGAAACCTTACCGCCAGACAATCATTGCCAATCTTTTCGATCTTCTTAGAAATATACGCCGCATAGATTTCCAAACCAATTTTATGCTCATTAATCAACGGAAGCAGACGGATAAACCTAAAAGGGTTCTAAAGTCATTGACACTTAATCTCTCACCGCTTAATGCCAGCCTCGTCATTATTAGCCACTGCGTCGCTCAAGCGTCGTTGTAGAATATCCCGGAGACGCCCAGTTGCCGCCGTAAGCACATCGTAACTGGTCTTCAGTGATTGGCCAGCATCTAGAACAATACAATCCGGAAAAATGGCCAGACCTTTGTCAGAAGCTTCGCGTAACTGAAAGACCGCCTTGTCGAGCGTCAAGAACCTAAACCACATCATCGAAAACATCTTCTAAATACCTGTGGATATGTTGTGCGGCCTGCTCGAAATCTTCCCCATTGATTGCCGCATCAACTCCTTCGCTAGACACTCCCAGATCGCGCATGTCAGCTAAAAACAACATATAAAAAGGATTAGAGACTTTAATACCAGCCAGCTGCAAACATTCAACAACGCGCGTCTTAGCCATGTCGAGCGTTGAAACCTAGAACGAGGCAATCATAAAGGTTTCGGTACAGCATCAGCCATACTGCCAATGACACACTGTTTTCCTTACCCTAGAGCTTATATTATCCGCCAATTTCGAGATGACTTTCAAGTTATTCGCCAGCTGCTTGCCATCCCTTTCGACCAATAGCAAGGAATTGTTGAGCCGCGACACCGCAAGCCCGAAGGAACGGGACGAATCCAGTCCACCTAAAGAAAAATTAAATAAACAAATAATATTTACTTGAATTAGACTGTTCCATTTTAGCTGCCACTTCCTTGTGCAAACGGACTTCCTCGCGACGTTTTAGATCAAGATCAGAGCTAAAAGGAATTGGGTAATCCAGACAAAGATACCGCAAGGACGAAAGCAGAGAATTGAGATCCAAACCAAACGGATCATCATCTTCGAGATTATCTACGGCCGCTGCTTTTCGTGGTTTGCCTTGAGGGATTGCGGACGAGTGCTAAAAGAAATGGTTCATGACGATATGATAGGGCTAAACTTACGCGATTGTTATCGGAATAGAAGACAGCGTCATAAGGCGATTTGGAAACGCTCGTGTCGCCATTCAGCACCATTGTCGATAAAAGAATGAGTTGTTGTTATTCTGCTGACCAATCAATGGGAGAAAAACCTAGGAAAAAGTTTTGTAGAAGAACGAGCACTTACACTATCATCAAAAAGATGAGGAAGACGTTCCAAAGCGCAATAAATACGCGAAAGTATTGGAGAGCAAGGAGGAATTCGCGGACGCTAAAACGAATAAATAAAAAAATAAAGTTAAACACAAACCGATCTCCAACAGACTTGTTCTCGGTCTCTAGAATGAAGTGGTTGGCGTCTTGCACAGGCTTCCCACTATAAATAAATATACAAAAATCAACAGATTTCTCACAGCTTAAAGTTCAGCACAGCAAAGGAGTTTACTAGCAGTGTCGATGCGATGACGAGCTCGGATAGCATAACTTGTACCCCTCGAAATTGGGCTACGCCGGAAAGCGACTTTCGAAGAAAGTATGCCCTAAAGATGGTGTTATTTCTGTTTGAAAGATAGAACGAGTACGGAAAGAACAAATAATACTCATACGCACAAAATTATTCTCTTTTACAAGATCCCCCGTCAAAAGAAGGAATGCCACGAAGGGCCTGAGAGTCGGTGAGAGTAGCCGCTACGGTAGTCCATCCAACGAATAGAAAAGGGCCCGTGACGAACACCGGATCCGGCTGATTGGCCAGCTGTTTTTCTTGAATGGGTGCTAGTTTCTTCAGCTACCGTAAGATTAAACCAATGCCGCATTATTACGATAAAAATTTCTAATAAAACTCAATTTTCGGTACTGGATTGTTAGCAGAGGCGAGAGGGTTTATCGGGCGACTATTTTTTCCTAGTAATCCTGGACGGTCCTATAACTAAATCTAAAACCATTTTTGTAACATTTTAGACAGTTTTTAGATATGAACATCTTAAAAAATGCTAAAAATTTGGAAGATTTGCGACCTTTTGGTCAAAATTTTTTGAAAAACGACCAATAAGGTAAAAATTTACGAATTTTGAAAGATGTTAAGAATTTTTTGGTAACTTTCTAGCAATCAAAAGCTACTTGAAACATTCTTTATTACTACTTATGTATGATCAGGCTATGGCAAAAATAAAATTTAGTTTTCCCTGCTACCCCCCCGCTAGCAGTGCAGTACCCAACCAAGCCTACCGAAAAACTTCCACAAGTTCAGTATCTCTTTTGCCAAGCAAGCGTAAAATCAAGCCATTATTGTGCTGTCACCCTGATTTGCGGCCCGATTTGGAAGTGGCGAGATTTTGTACATTGCTCCTCAGCTTTATTCGGTTTACAAAATGAAACGATGATTTCCTCCCGTCGCCAGCCTGTCTCCCTAGTCGACGAGTCGACAGGGCTCAACACTCACCGAGCGAGCGTAGAAACTCTGGGCAGTCCTAAAAATTGCTATAGACTTCAACGGTACGATTTATGTTACCGCGTCACTGTCGATGATGGAGCTGGCAACAAAGTCCGCGTAACCTGGCGACCTAGAAATGGGTGATTCTTGAGTGTTTTCGGGGTTTTGTTTATTACTTCCTCTGCTGCTGTCCCATTTTGAGGAAGAAGTCGCGAGTCTTGTTGATCTGCTCGCTGAGTCGCCTCTGGTATTCGTCAAATTCTTCGTCGGAAGTGCCATTCAACTTAAATAAAAGGCACATGCCGGGGAATCCCACTAGGGAAAAAAAAGAGAGAGAAGGGATGTGATAACGAATCGACAGTTCGACGTGCACTACAAGCTCACCAGTTTTAGGAGATCCTGTGTTTCCTGCGTGGCTGGATCGATGCTTCTGGAAGGGTATCCATTTTTTGGATTCTCATGCATTATCGGGGAGGGGGTGGGGTGCGGATTTTTGTATAAGTCTAGAAATGCCTTGGAACTTAATAAGATGAATTTGACAATGTTTATAGTAAAATAAAAACTTAGAAAGACAATCTAGAAACTTAATGGTTTTCAGAAACCTGGGATTTTGGTAAAAACGGTCATTTTGGTGGAAAAAGCTATATTTTTTGAAGTTTTTAATAAGGTGTTGGAAAAGTTTTACGTTTCGAATAGTAAAAGATGGTTTAGAAACGCTTCCGCTATTTATATTGAAAGAAGTGGATCCTCAGAAAAAATATTGCCTCCCCCGATAATGCGAAAGAACCCGGTTTTTTAGGTTGATTTATTGATGTACCAGTGCTACCAAAAATACAGTATCTTTTATGCTAATTTTAGAGCAAAAATTTACCGTGCCGGGGCAGCAACGGCAAGGTCAGCGAGCAGGAATAGGGCGCATAGAGCCGCGCATAGCATTGCCGTGTTTTACCTAAAACCCGGAGACTATAGGTGATTTACAAATAACGTCACAAGACCTGGATTCAAAAAGGATCCAGCCAAGAAGGGGGCGCTTCCACAAGTGTGCGTTTCGCACGAAACGAAAGTTTGGTGATGACCAAAAGGAGAGAGAGCGAGAGTGAGAGAGAGAGGGAGAGAGAGAAAGATATAGATATCTAAGCAGTGTTTGATGATCTGAGGGCGTTTAATTTACTGAATATTGGGTGCCCCGAAGGGCCAATTTCCCCCGCTGGTGAGGGGGGGGATCTGGTGAATATTCATCCCATCGCGCCCGCTATTCATCGATGCACCTCTTTCGCTCTATGGGGGGCAGTTATGCGAGGTGGCAAGAGGGGCTCTTTTTTGATCGAATGGCCGAAAGGTGAGCCCCTGAGGACGTAGGTGTAGAGATTACGGGAGAATATTTGCGCATGACCCTTTTGGGTACTTGGAATTGTGGGGGTAAAATGTTATGAAAAAAATGTAAATGAATTCTGTTTTTAGCATATATTCAAGGAAAAAAACGAGCATTTTCTGGTGACCCAAGACCGGACTTAGAATGACCCGGCATGACGGGGGCGAATTCCCGATGGACCAAGCACACAAAGACCCGCAGCCCAGTTTTAGCCCCCGAATTTGATGAAAAACAGAGTGCCCAACATAAATCTTGAAGTGGGGGCCCGGCCCATGGGACGGCCCCCGGTGGGCCCTTGCCCTATTTATTTTTACCTTTTTAGGGTGGTTTAGAAAACTAGCGGCTTTTCCTTCCGCCTTATGGTTAGCTGACAAGGGTCATAATGTACAGTAAGATGCTTTATGTGATGTCTTGTGCGGTAATTAGCTTGCCTAAGCCTACGCCTAAGTCTAAGTTAAGCCTAAGCCTATGCCGAAGCCTAAGCCAAGTGTAAGCCTAAGCCTGCCCTAACCATAAGCTGAAAAATATACCCGCCTATGGCTAAGCCTAAGCCTCTGCCTAAGCCTAAGCCTAAGCTTAAGCCCATAACTTTTATTAGGAAACCTTAACATATGCCGGAATTAGGAGTATCGAAAATAATAATATACTTTTTCGTCGTTTCCGACATATAAAAAGAAGGATATCACGGGATCAGAAGCGGAAACACCCCTGACTTTTAGAGAGATTACGGGGTGAGAATTCCACCCCTGATATTAGTGGGTTTCTGGGGGATGGACCGACGCAAAAAGAGTAAATTTTCATTTCCTTGTCCGATCGTCGGGCTCAAGTAAGAAGCCCCAGCACTTCTATTTCGCCATTTCTGGGGTCTAATTTTTTTGGGGTTTTCGTGTGTCGTCGTGTGGGAAAAACGAGTATAAGGAATTTCGGTGCGTCTCCTGCAAGGCGAATCCCGCAAGAATGATTTATTTATTATTCGATGATCCGGCAGACCCAAATCCGAAGCCGTTGAATCCCTGAAAAATAGGAGATTTGCGGGGGGGGGGCAAAAATAGGTTGAATTCGCATTGTGTTATGGCCTAGGGATTTTGAGGAAATTCCGAGGTCTGCTGATAATCTGCTGATGTAATGGTTGAAAATAAAAAATAAAAAAATAGAGAGAGAGAGCGAGAGAGAGCGAGAGAGAGAGCGAGAGCGAGAGAGAGTGCGAGAGAGAGCTAGAGAGAGCGAGAGAGCGAGAGAGAGTGAGAGCGGTTACTGGTTTTTGATGGATATTATTTAATTACTAAAAAAACTTACATTGGGCCCGGGTTGCTGCCCATTAAATTCTGCTGCCGGTCCGGAAATGTCTTGGTAGTTCTAAAAAAATGTGGAAATGCGTCTTTAACTCACATTGTCAAACCCGAGGGGTTGACTTGGCTTTCCATCAAATTTTAGGTAATCGTCACTTCCGAAATCTTCTGTAAAATTAACCGTTTATATAACTTTTCTACCATAAATTACCGTAATCAGCCATTCCGTTTGTCTGACCGGAAAAGTATAGCTGCGCTAAAGGAATTAAAATTTTTGGAACTGGCCTGTTTGCGGAGGGGGGGGGCTTTTATCAAGGGAACCAATTTTTGTCTTTTGCGGCTATACCTACCAGTTGGTAATACATACGGTATTTTATATTGTTTTTAAGAGTTTTTCATCGCTAAAACTTTTTTAAAATATTTGAAAAAAATATTGAACGTTCGAAAACCTCGACAAATTGAGTCATTTTCATACATTTTTGACGAAAAAGCCAAAAATTTCAAATGTCACCAATGTTTTAATATGCTAAACAGTGTAACAAAAGATTTAACACTTATAAAAATATTATTGGATTTAACGAGTATTTTTATATCTAAAAATTGTATTAAAAGGTTTTAGATTTCGTTATAAGGCTGTACGGGATTGCTTGATAAATGTCGTTTTACCCCTCCCCCCGCTAACAGATAAGCACCAAATTTTCCAGGTAAGGTAAAACCCACAAATTCCCAAGAAACCAAAGGGCACGAAAAAAGTGGGCGGGCCATCAAAGCCGCTAAGGCCGTTGGAACTTGAAAAGCTGCCCGAATTAGGGCCATTAAATCCGGTTGGGGCGCCGTTTAGCATGCCATAAGAGCCATGAGAGAATTGGGCATTTGTCGAGAGGCTGGAATATTTTTAGAGTATCCCTTAAAAGTCATAGAATTACCATAAATACAGAAAGACCAGAAATATCGTTTGTAACATTGAGTAACCGCACCCAACTGTTCGCTTTCCGTTACATTCCGGCCTGAATATAAGGCAGTTTCCGGGGCCGGGTTATTTGAGCAGCTGATTGAAGCGTGGTCATCAATATTTCGGGTTGGAAGGCACTACAAAAATCTTCAGGATGAGTCAATAGCTTGGTACTGGGCTCTTAGCAGGGGGGATGTTTAGCCGGTGGAGCAGTAATTTTTGTTTTTCCGTTTCTACCTACCAATTAATAATAAGTAGCATATTTTCATGGTGTTTTTGTAATTTTTGATCGCTAAAAAGTTACAAAAATATTGTAAACAATTTGGAAAATTCGAAAATTTGAACATTTTTTGGTCATTTTTTCATACATTTTGATACACGTCAAAAAATTTTGTGATTTTTTCTAAAAACAGTCTAAACGGCATATAATTGTATTTTGCATCAATACTTTTACCATTAATTATTTATAAAAATCATTTTTCAATTTTACAAACATTTATCACAGTTTTTGGTAGCAATATACGCCGGTAATGAGGGAATATAAAAGAAAAAGGTTGTAAAAAGCTTAAAAGTGCGGGGATGACAAGTGAATGACAAGTGAGAAGACCCGTTTGGTTGCACAATGGATGGGTTCTCTTGCATTATCGGGGGGGTACATAAATTTGTTTAACGTAAAAAACATCGCAAATTTTCCTTAAAAATATAAAAATTATCGATTTTCGTCCAAAAATTACCGATTTTTTAAATTTGCAAAATTTTAGCCAGTCCTTTATGGAAAATCCGGCTATATTTTACTAAAAACGCTATAAAAATACTTCCTATTAAGTTACTAGATATTTCTTGACCTTTACAAAAGAGTTCGCCTCCCCCCGATAATGAAAAGGAACCAATAAATGCTTTAATTCTTAAAGGGCTAATGAAGAAACGATCAATTCCCGATTCTGCAGTAGTTCTGGCATTCGAGCTGCGTTGCAAAGCTGAAATTGCATAAATAAATTTGAAATATAAAATCTAACAAGGGAAGTGCACGACCGGCCCACGAGAAATCGACACGAGATATAGTGGATCTGATAGAATCGAACACGGGGATTTTGAATCTGTAATCAGAATTTGCTAAATAAAACGGAGAAAAAAGTTATGAAGCATCAAAGTTGGCCAAATCGCCAAAAACGGTACCTTTAAGGGCCCGTAAAAACCGGGTGGAACGGAATTGAGGAGAAAAGACTTAGTGCATCTTGTTCAGCAGAAAAAGCGCTTTCGAATGAGCTGTAATACGCAGCATTTGCAAACAATTCACTGAAAAGAGTTTTTTTTGGATTCACGGGCCTGTCAAGTTCATAGAAGAGATTTTCGCGAAATCATCGTAAACTTGAAGTAAGATAGCTCATTCGCAAGCGCTTTTTCTGCTGAACAAGATACACTAATGGGTTGAGGGAAATTTCCATTCTCCGGGCCTTTACAGGCCCATAAAAGTCCGATTTTTGGCGATTTCACCCACTTTGAAGCTTCATAACTTTTTTCTCCGTTTTATTTAGCAAATTCTGATTACAGATTCGGAATCCCCGTATCCGACTCTATCAGATCCACTATGTTTCGTGTTGATTTCTCGTGGGCCGGTCGTGCACTTCCCTTGTAAGATAACTGGCAGATCCCCGGATTTTATATGTCCATAAAAAACCGACCGATTTTCGTTGCCTCCACAGGTTTGTACACCAAATGGATAGCACTGCTGGGTGGCTGGATCAAAATAATGGCGTATTTGTAGCTCGCCGGCTTCTTCGGAGCTGTCGAGGCTTTGTGAGGGGCACAATCCCGAGTCTAAAGTCAGAACAATATTTTTTTCGAATGGAAAATTATGTTTACTTGGCTTAACCTTGGGTTTAAGCTTGGGTTTAGGGCTGGCTTAGGCTTATGCTTAGACTTTGGCTTAGGCTTCGCTTTAGCTTGCGCTTAGACTTAGGTTCAGGCTTGAGCTTAGGCCTAGACTTGGGCGTAGGCTTAGGCTTATGCTTAGACTGTGATTTAAGCTTAAGCTTAGGTCTAGGCTCCGCTCAGACTAGTTTTGGGGCTAGGGCTGGTTTAGGTTTAGGCTTAGGCCTGGGGCTAGCTTAGGTTTAGGCTTAGGCTTCGGCCTGATCACCTGATAACTCCGACATTATAAATTTAGAAAAGTATGAAGTGTTAACGTTATGAATCTCGACATTTTAAAATAACGCCGAAAAGTATGTTATACAAACCTGGCGGCAAATAACAAATGCTCGGAAAATGCTGAACTGCCGCGAAAACCGGCGGACTCGGTATCCTCATCGAATTGTTGAGGTGTAAGAGCGAAAATAAGGCAAAAAGCCTCTCTAACCACATCTGAAAAAGATCGATGAATTTTCACAGGGAATTCAATATCGAGGAACTCAAGAGTCTCAAAAAAAAGGAGAAGAGTGAGGAGTTTGGAACACCAAAAGCATCTGATTTACATGTCATTAGGGTGCAGGACGAGGCAGGAAAAGCTGTGTAAACGTCAAAATCTGCCGAGCTGGGGGCATTCTGCCGCGCCGGCCGGCTGCATATTTCATAAGCACTATGTTTCTATGGGGCTTTTAGGCGGGTTTATCTACGCGTTGCTTTTTTTTGGTAGTAGTCATCGGAATTATATTCCTCTACGATTGGGCCAAGGGTTTTTGGGTACAGGTTGCTTAACGGGGGGGAGGAATAATGGAGGTGGAAACGATTTTACATTTGTATTTTTTCTGTATTATCTTGTTTTTTTTGAGAAATGCCATCGGATAGAGCGTGAAAAATCATACTAAAATATTTAATTTCAGCCCGAAAAGACGTAATTTAAAATTATTACTGTATTAGTGTGAAGCCAGTTGTTGCCTCCCACCCGTTAAGCAACCTTTACCGTATTAGACTTATGCTAAGGAACGCCCCGACAAAAATCAGGTAAAAGCGGGTACCGAGCGCCAGGCGAAAATTGACTTGCTGCGATGAAAAGGGGAGGTTGAGAGCGAGGATGGGTATTTTTGAGGCGGGAGGAGGACCTTGGAAGGGGAGGAGGACTATCGGTGTCCGTCTCCTGTCCACAATACATAAACATCAATCCCATTCGATGTACAAAAAAATGGCGGAAAAGGAGGGAGATGGAGGGGACTGGAAGGAATGTGGTGATTCAGAGACGAACCACGGGAAATTTGAATAGTTCTTTCACAGGATGGAGCAAGAAATTTTGTAGGAGTGATAAATAAGTGTTCTCAAAATTTTGAGGCTTGATAAGCTACAGGAATTCATTAAAAGTGTGGGCTTAGTCATTTGAAGTTGTTCGCTGATCAAGAAGGGTACCGCGAGAGTTGATTGTTTGGAGAGAGAGAGAGAGAGCGAAAGAGAGCGAGAGAGAGAGGGAGAGAGATGCCAGGCTTACCAAGCGCATCAGGGGCCCTACGTTCCCTATGTTGACAAAGAACGAAGAGCAGAAGCAGAAGCGCAATTCTGGCTAAACGTATTTACACGAAAATTCAAATTTAATGCCGAAAACACCAAACGTTGAAAGAACTGCTCGTATGCAGTCGCCCCAGCCCAGTACGCTCCTAATGACGTAGAAAACATCCCTTTAAATTATTCCTCAGTGTAGATACTACAGGAAAATTGTGACGGAATTTATGCAACGTGGCACACTACAGGGTGCCCCAATCAAAAAACACTGTATGTAAATTTTAATGCTGATGCATTCACCGATGCTATTTTAATTTGTTGTGCGGTGCAAAAAATCAAAGCAGCCGGTAAAAACAGATGGCCTAGCTAGATCGAGAGCGATTCGTGTGGGTAGAATTGGCGAACGAGCCGAACCCGCCCGAATGGGTGGAGTAGGGGTGTGAGTGTATAAGGAGGTTAGTCGGAAGGGTGAAATGTTTGCGAAGGTCGGGAGGAGGAATGGGACGGAGGATGGGGGAGGGGGGGGGGGGGGCGGAAGCCTTCCCGCACAACAATACCGAGTCCGAGCCTCACTATTCGGTCGCCGACAAAAGTCAATTCTTAGATGCGTTAGTTGTGGGTAGGGACAGTTCATTAATGGAAAAAGGGAAGGTGACAGGGCCTGGACAAGCAATATATCAAGATAAAAATACAAATCAAAATATAATTTTAATTCAGAACTAAATTTAGAATAGAAAATCGATTTTTCCGATAAAAATAATATCTAAAGTTATCTCAAGTCCGTTACGCACCTAATGACGCATGAAACGGAGCCAAAATTATCAGAATAGCATGCCCGACTTTTAAAGACCAAAAAAATGAGCGAAAAAGAGTGTAGTAGGTGATGTGGTACATAATGTGTAAGAGCAAAGAATGAACAACCCAGCCATCAAGTCAAGCCGGGACAGCAGCACGGGCAGGAGAGACCGTTTACCCATGCCACCCACAACGAGTGTTAGCCAACAGAGATGCCCGATTTTTCACTGTTGACTGAATGGAACTGCTATGAAAAGATTCTTGGCTTTCACAATAGTGTTTTGAATCCAAGGAGAAAATCGACACTTTTCCGATTCGTTAATTCTAAATTACCGTAACTGCGCCCCTTCGAAGTCACTAAACAGGGTAGCTTAGGGAAGTTAACGAGAAGTTTCCTAAATTCGGCCAAAAATTCGGCATTCTGATTTTGGACAAAATCTTTTCCGAGAGAGTCAATTTTCGGTATTTTGATTTTCGAAATACTAAAATTTTGACAATGCAAAATGTCGACAAATATACCTTTTTGCATTGTGATTACCGACGCTTCGATTTTCCAAATTCCAATTTTCGACATTCTGGGACCAAACCCTTTGCGAGGTATAAGCGATAGACCGATCAAGTTGTTGGTGGTCGGGTGGAGAACGGTCGTAGAGACCCTTCAATTGGTTAGCGCTGATATTTGCCCATCCTCTACCCTCCTTGAAGATATTCGGCCCTCGGGCTGTCAATTAGGACCACCCGTACTCCCTTCCCACCCAAATATACCCACGAAATGCAGACGGAAACCACGA